AAAAAAAAAAAAAAAAAAAAAAAAAAAATCAAGAGAGAGAGAGAGATAGCACACACAAAACCCTCTCCCCTTGAAAGAAAAACAGAAAGAGAAGAAAAATTCAGTCCAGTCCACAATAAACCGAGATCACTTCTCCTTCCAAAGAATTCCAGACCGATCGTAGGTATCCTTAAGCACAGCATGAGGCGAGTCAACACACTCCAGAACAACCCTTCGCAAATCATCCATCACTTCCTCCCACGACGGCAAAATAAGTCCCTGCAAACGACCCTCCCACTTCTGCATCTCGACGAGAAACGTCAAATCCCAGAAGCGATGCCAGTAACTGTACTGCATCTCGTCGAAGTTGGCGTTGGCGACGCGTGATTCAACGTCTGCCTTTGCTTCCAACCAAAGTCTGTATGGATTTTCGAGGAACCCTTCGAGGAGCTCGATGTACTTCTGCGCGTACTCGTCGTAGGTGCGTTGGTCGACGGTGAGTTTTATCGTCGAAGGGTCGAGTTTGGCGTCGGGAGCTAGGGTTGGGTCGAAGTTGGCAAAGTTGTTGTTGTTTCGGGTGCGACGGGCCATGAGCCGCGAGACGGAGCCGATGTGGTTGAGAGCTTGCTCGGCGTTGTTGAGGGGACACATGGCGTTGAATCGCTTGTTGTGGTTTCTCTCGACGGCTTTGATATACTGCAGGGCGTGTGAGGCGGCCCAGCGGGCGTTGTTGAAGGCCTGGATGATGTCTGAGGGGAGAGATTGTTTTAGGGTGGGAGGGAGGACTAGACAGTCCTTGTCGAAGAGGTAGAGCTCAGTCTGTGACATTTCGATTTTGGTGAGAGCTGAGATGAACTTGGTTACAGAGGGGTGGAATAAAGTCATGGTGAGAAACCTGAATAAGTAGTTCTGTGATTGATTGAGAGCTGACAGTGAAGTTGAGAGATGAAAGAAAGGATTGCATGGTGAGAGGGTAGAAATGCTGTGAATGCTGCCTGTGCCTAGACAGGCTTCACTGAAAGAAGACTTGACATACATCACCAATGTATCATAAAGACAGTGAAAAGGGTTATTTCATTAAATCAGACCTAGAATGAAAATTAGTTGGGGTTGACCTTTTAAGTCTGTTGTATCTCAAGTCAACACAAAGACAGCCCCATGGAGAAGCTGAAACAATAGAACAAAGATATTCAAATATCATTAATGCTCTAATGCAACTAAGGACAAGACATTATTCTTCTAAATGAATCACGAGTGGCTGCATCGAGTCAGTCAGTATTTATTCCTTTTTACATCCCACGTCACCCCCACAGAACCCGTAACATATAAAGACATACCGTTGAATGAGATGAACACCCGAGGCCGTATCGACAATACCACTGACCTGTCCGGGTTGTAGAGCAAAGGCCGCATCCTCGAATTCCTTCTGCATCTCGCTGCGCCCGAAGAAACCCCTTGACAGTATTAGCCTCCGACGACAATATACCCTCCAGGACGAATACATACAGATCTCCCTTCTTCCTAGAACTGCTGCAATCCGACTCAGACACCGCCAAGTCTCCCAGATCCTCACCAGCCTGGATGCGCTGGTAAAACCCGTCGAGTCTCTCGAGAGCTTCCTCCTTCGACCGGGTGATCTCTGCCTCCCTCCAGCTGCTTGGGCGTCTGCTGTCTCTGTGCTTCACGAGAAGGTGGCTGCAACGAATCTTGCCATCGCCTTGGCCGGAGCCCTCAACACGACCTCCCGAGGCGCTGTGGTGGAGTGCCATGTACATCTTGAGCTTTTCGGTATCGGTGTCCGATGGCGGTTCCCAGCGGGATTCCTTGGTCGCGGGGTTGAAGTAGTATGGGAGGTTCTTGGAGTTCGAGTGACGAACCTCCCATCCTGTTGGAAGACCAGTTTCGGCCTATATAGAGACACCGACGTCAGTTCTCGAGCTCTCTATGAAAGGATGATCTAGCAAATAAACATACCATTGTAAAACTTGATAACGGAGATATGGAACGTATAGAATACAAGGAGCGCTGCAAGCTTTGAATTAGCCCTTAGCAACAGAGAACAAGTAGCTGCAGAGTCTTGGTATAGAACTGGCCTTCCTTTGAGCAAGGAACAAAAACAAACTGCGGGGGAGGGGCTGCAAATGGAGCAAACTAAGCAAACAGAACAAACATATAAGGCTGCGTCCGTGCATTCCTGATCGGGAATAGCGCCAAGCCGCTTCTTCTGACTTCTTTTCTTCTTCGCCGCCTAAAGACTGTTGACTCTACATACCTTGCTTTCGGTTCTTCTTCAACGCTACAAATTTTTACTTTGTTATATATCCTGCGAGTCGCTTCGAATACCTCCGTCACCATGTCCGCCAGTCCATCTCCTTCCGCCGGCGGCGACAACAACAAGAGCGATCAGATTCACTTCCGTTTCTGTCGCGAATGGTAAGCACATCCCCTCCCCCCTCGTTTATTTTCGCGTTGTCTTTCTATAATAGATAGCTAACTGGTGTATCTGTATCAGCTCTAACTTGCTCTACCCGAAAGAAGACCGTGTTAACAACCGCCTGATGTTTACGTGCCGAACATGCCACGTCGGAGAACCGGCTTCCTCGTATTGCGTCTATCAACACAGGCTGAACAGTCAAGTGGGAGACACTGCGGGTGTGACTCAGGATGTGGGATCTGATCCTACGGTTTGTCTCCCTGATTTCTGTACCCACTGTGGGGAGGAGATCACTTGCTTTGTGTGTGGGATGCTCCCGGATGAAGCATCATCATCAGAGGAGTACAGTGATTTCTACTAAGAAGAATGATTCTGGGGTCGTTGTCATGGAAGATTTTGAAACTCCCGTGGCTAACATGGTGTTTACTCTTCTCAGCTTCCACGATCCAACAAGCTCTGTCCGAGCTGCGGTGAGACCGAAGCGGTGTTTTTCCAGTCTCAGCAGCGGTCTGCTGAAACGGGGATGGTATGTCTTCTCTCCTTTTTTTGATTGATCCCTCATAGTCTAATTATCTCAATCAGAAACTCTACTACGTCTGTTGCGCTTGCGCTAACGTCTTCATGTGATGCCTTTTACGCCGTCGCGGCCTGTTTACGATACCCTTTTATAATCCTATATGCATGGTTCGGAGTTTGGGATATTTGTCTTGGTGAAATGGGGTTGATTTGTTAGATTTCTGATTCTATTGGTACATAAAGTGGACATAGATTAAACACGACACGCTTTTTCATTGGTATATGTTACACATGCAGGGGCGCCAACGACAAGATCTTCGACCATTGCTTTCCTCGTAATTCCGTAGCCACGACACCTGTACTTGATCAGTATAATCGTAGATAAACCGGTGGACGAATACTGACCGTTCATTCTGGTTCCAATCGGATCACCCGACTTGTTGATCAAGACACAGGCGTTATCGTCAAACTTCAGAATCGATCCATCAGGTCGTTGCATCTGCTTTGCTGCGCGAACAACCACGGCGTGCCGGATGTCTCCTCGACGGACCTTGTTCGCGATACCACTGCTCGTTGCGCTCTCGGGGCCGAAGTTTCGCTGTTTCTGGACGACAACCACGATCCGATCACCTAGTGACAGAGACATATTAGAAATGATTATCGCAGCAATAAAGCGAAGGGTACTCACCAACTGTTGCGGGCCGCTTCTTCTTCAAGACGTTTACGCACTCGACAACTGCGGCACCGGAGTTGTCGATGCAATTTAACATCGTCTGCAAACCACCACCATTAGCACCTTGACTACCTCGCAGTCCCTCTCTTCAGCATCTCCGGTATCAGCACTCACCTTTAGTTGAATCATCTTGTTTGCATAACTGGGTTAAACCGCTCTTACTGGAAGAGAGCCCTCGGAGCCAACCTCACAAAAGATTCCAGTTCCTCCGGGCGGAAGGTTTCGCCGAGCTCCGACCCCGGCCGGGCGCATTAACCGCACTGTTCTGCCTTCTGTCGCGCCCCGACTTCCCTTGGGGAGGTTGTTTTCTTTTCAGTCCATTATGTTGGTTATATTGGAGATTCACTCTTTTGTTTAATTTGGCGCTCGCGAATTGACGCTCTTTTCTGTGTAATTCACCCTTCACCCCCTAATTAGATCTCTTCGCTAGACTTCCGCCCGCGAGCCGTTATCCGCCCATCCCCTTTGTCAGACAACTCCAACCACTCTACTCGACCCATTGGTGGCCCTCGACTTCAGATTGTGTTTGGTTATATGGAAATTGGCTTCGCAGGCATCCCTCATGCCGAATTCCAAAGCAAAACCCAGTCCTTCAGAGGGCCGTCGCGACCGTCTGACGCTTGCGAAACTGGCCAGCTATGATGATGTCGCAACGGATGCGCTGGTTGACCGGGTGGGTATTCTCCAGATATTTACGCTGTATAGCGATCAATTCTAATTCTCTTTATTATCACAGGCCTATTTCTGGACCAACACCCGAAAGAACCGAGCCAAGTACATTCCCATGCGGGGCATCCAGGACGACGACATTGGCCATCTCCTCCTCCACGATGTGATTGTCGCCAAGAACGCGCCCAAGGCTGAGAGGGAAATACTGGCGATGACGGGAATGAAGAGGTTCATGGCGAAGCTCCCGAACGATCGCGAGCGGGAATGGTTCCGTCGACACCTGCGCAAATACGTCCAGATGTACCTTCCGGACTCCCCATTCGAGGTCATGACGACGAATCGCTACACTATTACCGTACACGAAGCCGCGGTTTGCGCCCGGAAGTTCATCAAGAAGGGACAGGAGGTCAAATACCTCAGTGGGACGCTCGTGCCGATGACTGCGGAAGAAGAACAGGATTTGGACTTGACGCGCAGGGATTTCAGTATTGTGATGTCGAGTAGGAGGAAGAGTCCATCGTTTTTTCTGGGGCCGGCGCGCTTTGCGAACCATGACTGCAACGCCAATGGGCGGTTGGTGACCCGTGGGACTGAAGGGATGCAGGTTATGGCTACGCGAGACATCGACGTTGGAGAGGAGATTACGGTATCGTATGGAGAGGACTATTTTGGAGTGGACAATTGCGAGTGTCTCTGTATGTCCTGTGAACGGGCGCTTCAGAATGGATGGGCTCCGCAAGTGGACACGGATGTGCAAAGCCAAGCATTAATCCCGCCATTGAACGACGATAACGGCTCAGCTGATGGCTTGCTTTCACCAAAAAAGTGCAAGGATGCCCCTGACACTGATTGGGATACTTCCGGTGTTTCCACACCTCGAAAACGAGCCAAGTCCAACCGGCCATGTTCCAAGCTGAGGTCTGAAGTGTGTCTCTCCGAAACTGCAGATTCGATTGAGACTGCTACGAACGAGGTGTCTAGTGAACCACTAGTCAATGGAACATACCCCGAAGTTACGATTACCAAGTGCGAAGAAGAAACTAGCGATGTTACTGAGACCACTAACCTCAACCCGGCCACGGAATCAGGCGCACAATCGTCTTCCACTACTGACTGCGACTCCCCTCCATCTCTTGCGGCAGATGATTCTCAGCGATCTTCAGCATCGACAGCGGCAACTTCGGTATGCGAAGCTCCGGTTCACGTAAAAACCGAGGACGGCACAGCAACACCAAAAGCAAGTACGACTCTCGAGATTACCGCGGATAACATCGAACGACACCTGTTGAACGGTATCAAAGGCGAGCCTTCCGAACCATCCACCTCCCTCGAACCAGAAACCGAAGAAAAGCAAGACGGTGCCGCCCCCGGACAGCGCAAAAAACGGAAATACACCAAAAGAAAATGGATAATCCCCTCTGTCGAAGCCGTCTCGCGCGCCCGAACCCCAGGCGACTACACAAAAACCCACCTCCTCCTCGCCCAACCCTACGACCGCTGGGTCGACTGCCACACCTGCAACGCCTGGTTCGTGCAAAAGGATTCCTACCAGACCCGTCGCGAATGTCCCCGCTGCGAGCGCCACTCTATGCTGTACGGCTTCCGCTGGCCGAAAACCGACAGAGAGGGCAACTCGGATGATGAGGAGCGCGTTATGGATCACCGGACTATCCACCGCTTCCTTTACCGGGATGAAGAGGCGCAGGTTTCAAGGAAGGATCGAGGTGTTAGTTCTGGGATTACGCCTACGCCGGAGCTATCGGATGCGAAGACTGAGACGGAGGAGAGTAGCGATGTGAGTGAGGAGAAAAGGAATACGAGAGCGAGTAGGAGGAGTACTCGTGGACTCAGGATGACTATGTGAGATATGTGGTGGATTGATAAGTATATGATGATATCTATCGGGCTAGGTTGGTTTGTTTATTGGTAAGTCGGTAAGGAGTTCTAGCGTATTTGGGATTTATTTTTTCATTTACTTGTTCATTTATCTTCTATCTACCTTGCTTTGGGAACTCGCATCTAGGGCTGGAATTGAGCGCTGTTTAAACGATGGTTGGCTTTTGTCATGTTTTTGCATTTAGTCTTGTTTTTTTTTTTTTTTTTTTTAGGGTTTTTACCTGAACTGGTCTTGTACACGATATCAGTCTTGTTTCAATAAAACTATTTGGGTATATCTGGTACTGGTTGGAAATGTTATAGATTGGTCTTTGATTGTCATTTGCTCTAGTAGGCTCGTAACCATATAATAGAGGGTCTAATAGTATCGGAGAGTACTCTGGAGAGTACGCTGTCTCCCCTACTATGGATAATTCTCCCGTCCTGTCTCCACGAACAACTTACTTCCTTCCGATCACTTTTCAGAAGGTTTGATAACTTCCTTCACTGTTTGGTCATTGACGATACAATTATCACGAGTCTAGGCCCTAGGTTGGGATGGTAGCAGGGCAGGGACCCGGCTGGTCGACGCCAGCGTCGACTTGATGATCCTGGGACACTGAGCTAGCAAAAGCCCACGAGAGTTTCGAAACAACGTATCTCATTGGAGACGGTCATCGTCGCAGTCTGCTCGAGTTCTAGTCGCTTGCGACGGGCATCAGCACTAGCCTTGGCTGCACCCGTTTTTGCTACAGCAAAGGATATCTTTTCAGAACATTCGTCAATGGCGATCGCTGTTAGGGACACTGTAGGCGAAACGACTGATTGATGTAGCGTTTCATTCTTGTTCCCGTTCGCTCGCTTTATCTCGACGCCGGCGAACATAGGGATGTTTTGCATGTACTCATCAATGGTATTCCCAAGGTACGTAATTTCCATTGAGCATTTTGTTCGCAAATCCAAAAGAAGTATGCCTCATTAGTTGATAACACGAGTGCATAGTTGACTTCTCTATCGCCGACACTTTTCTTTGGTAACCCTGGCAGGAACGCTGAGTAGCTGGGTTTGGCTGCTTGCTGCTATTTAGTTGCATCCGCAACGCATCAAGCTATAGCTTGTACATTCTTAATTTGAATCACCTTCGTTTTTGTGGTGTCTAGTCTAAAAACATCCTAGGCCACCCCTGCGTCTTCGCAATATGGGTCCCCATTCATCTGAAATGGCCATTTATTGGCACTTTCACTTGTAAACTTGCTTTTGATCACGACGAACTGATCGTAGTCAATCTTCGAGTCAGGCCGAAGGTCAAAATCGACCAAATAATCACAGGCCCGGAGCGTTGTGGTTCTGCTTTTGAATGGAGGTTTGCTCATTCTTCTCTCCGGTCCCGACATTGCTGCAACTCTTTGTAGGTTCCATTGCATCTCTAGGATAGACATGGACGCAGCGGAAATTAAGGATTGTGTGTTTTGGTTGTAATATAGTCGCTATGTTTTACTCTCTGCTTTGTTGACTGCGCAACTTTCAACAAAGACGGTCGAAGCCAGCTCTGTGATACTAGATCATTTAAGTGCTCCGACATGATATGTTGGAGACCAGTATCTGGTCGGTTAACTTCTTCCAAGGAATTTGAGAGTCAACAGGAAGGTTCGTCAGTAATCTTCCAGATCTGACATCTCGGCCAATTCACATTCAGTTTAGCTAGGCTATGTGGCCTCTTGAGTTGCCAGCGCTATCGCAATACAATCGTAAGTGGATAGGAACTTTCGATTGTAATTGCTGTGACAGTTATCAGTGCGGCTGTCAACTATTTTTGGGGTTGACCTGCGGTGATCAAAGGGGACCCGTCAACTGTCAGATTTCTCTCTAAGCTCAAAGCTCAGCAGACAAGTAGTAAAGTTTTAGCCGTAGTAGAAGTAAGTCTAGACACATGACTTAGGTCTGCTACTTTAATTAGTTAAATGGAATCGGGATGGGGCCCTGTGGCTTTTCGGAGCCCTTTGGCGAAAGATGGAGATACTTGGACTCCGAATGTTGTTGCTTAGCAAGGGCAAGTATCCTTATAATCTAGCATATGCATCATCAGGTCCTAATGCACCGATGTAGCGGAACCGATAGATATATGCCAGTTATTGGCCAGTCAGCACTGGTAGAGTGGAGGACATTAGATGTGCATACACGCCTGGGTTTGTCGCTTCCTCCGACGCTAACCTCATGAGTTTCTTCTAGGTGGGGTAGCTATCTGCCAACTAGCACCTCCTGGATCTTTTGAGGAGTCCACTTGGTAAAAGGCGGCCACGATATTGGCCTTGAAAGTATGTTAGGATGGCCTCCCATGCGAGAGACATGGAGAAGCGCTCTGGGATGTATGTTCCGGCCAATAATGAAGTTGGGCTGAGCTGTAACCATTGTGCATTCGATATAACAAAGCAGATCATAGCCCCGTCTCTTGCTGTCGCTTTAGGTGCTGCAACTTGCTGCTTTCATCGTTTTTTTGATGCCCCTTGAGAACATCTGGGCTAAACTGCCGACCACATAATGAGCCAATGAGGGGAGAAGTGCACATCTCGTGAGAAGAGGACTCAAAGGCCGATGCAGCGCAGGATGCGTCGGGCTTTGGGTGGACACGTTCATCGGCTTTCTTAGGGTTTCCGCTCTCCGGACCATGGATCGATGCTGTAGGTCAGGCCTTATGAACGGCTGAGAGATATTGTCGGTTTAAGGTTAGGTTCTGGGCCATTTTGAAGGCTGACTCCGGTGCTTCGGCTTCTTGCACTGGACGATGAGAGCGATGTCACGCGCGACGACGGCGTATTCGTACTCCCTTATATTTTCATGTAAACGGATGACATTGGCCTATCGTTTCGGAATAAATCCCCGGAGGTGCTTTTGGAGTTTAAGCCGGGATAGCACTGTTGAGCGCCGCATGGCTACTTCTGAAGGATATATCGAACAATTCCAACCGGCTATTCGATGGCGTTCCAGTGTTCCCAGTTGCTCTGTCCAAGCCGGTTAAAGAAGAAATCGTTTAAATCCCTGGGGTTGTAATTGCCCACATATTCCAGAGCCAAACGGCATATCCGTGCACCATGCAATTTGCTGAAGCTGGGTTTCTACAGCAAAATTAGACGGGTGATAGGCTGGTTCTAAATTTGAGGATCCTGAGATCATTTACCCGAGTTAAGAATTTAGAGCACTGTAGCGACTGTCGAGTGTAGATGAACTGTTTCAGGGTGTCTCGCCATTGGCTCGCTTTTTGAAGAAAAGGAGGCACTCCCAAGTCAAGTCCCAACTGAAAGCTGAGAAAAGAATGCTGTCTGTATGGCTGTGCGAGAACAATGGAGTATGGGGGTATCGATGTTGATTCAAACTCATGCGTTTGAACGTTTTCGACAATCGCATATTCTGATATGGCAAGTCCCGAAGCCCCTTGATCCATGTGATCGGGGTTATTGTGGGCAAAGGTTAAGAGCCTGTCAAGACAATATTCAAAAAGAAACGATGCTATTAACATCGAATGGAATTGTTGTCGTGGTCGTCATCGCCCAGTACGAACGGTCTTCCGTTTATCCAAGGTGAGATGCATTTCAAATTGATAGCTCTAATATGATATGGATTGGATTAACTTCGTAAACTTGTACTACCTCATTAACCAAATGATAATTTTGGGAAGCTATCAAATGAGCGGTAGAAATTTGGACTGGAATAGCACCATCCGACTCGAATGCTGGGAGGTTGAAGAAGGATCCTTTTGTACTCCTTGGAAAGTGGTCCTAGTCATTTACCATGTTGTCTAGCTTCGTTTTAGCAGCTACCAGCATTGCTTCACTCATGCTCTGGACTTCATATTCTAATAAGTTCTAGCGTCTATTACTTTGTCACTAACCCTTAGATAAAAGAACTAGTGTCTTGTAGTAGTAAAGACTCTGGGTATTCGAATTGTCTAGATATAGGGCAAGTAACGGACGCTGTTCAGGCAATGCTTGATTCTCATCTCAGATAAACCCTAGTCCTCTCCTCCATTTCATATTGAACACCACCCCTCCGTCGGTCCAACCCCAAGAAAGTCTCAGTCAAATCAATAACATCCTCAAAATACCTCTCAGAAGACATCCTCTCCCACTCACACCCTTCCAATCCCCCCCCCCCCAAAATACTCCTCATCAAAAACCCGATACCCATCCAACTCTCTCAAACAAGCATCAATCGCCTCCATATTCCCCTTCCCAACACCCGACGGAAGCACATACCTATATAACTGGTTCTTACGCCCACTTGCCATTCCCTCACGCTGAGATGCTACCTTGGGGTCATGAGTAATCGTGGAGATACCTTCATTGTACTGCTTTAGATCTGTGAGATTTTTAGACTTTGGTGTTCCAAGGATCTTTGAGTCGGTGAGATATTCGAAGAGCTTGGTGTAGTCAATTCGACTCCGGATAATAGCGACTGCGAGCCATGTAATCGGGTTGTCGAAGAAATCATTAGGTCCACACTCTTCCATGAACCGATCGAATGCCCAGAGATCGAAGCAGCGGAGCAGTAAATTCATATTGTGCACGCTGTCGTTTATATCATCACTGTAAGGGGTCTCGTTGATGTAATCCTCTAGCACATTCTCTGTTATAAACCCCTCCTTTCTCAAGGTCTTGAAAACCTGCAAGGTTTGGGTTTGAAAAGTAGCCCTGTTGTAGAGGGTCTTCAGGGCGAAGTCGTAGTCCTTTTGTGTGGTTTTGAGCATTCTGCCCATGACGGTGCCGTCGATGAAGAGGTCGTAGGGGAAATCGTAGTCGGGGGATAGGGCTGCTGCGATGTGGGTGTCGATTAGGGTGGTCATTTTGCGGCGGAGGGAGTTGTATTTATATTTGGGGTCGGGTATCATTTTTGCAGTTAGGTGTTGAAGTTGTGTTGTTAGTTGTATAGTTGGAGGGCTGGTTGCTTGGGTTATTCTTTATTGTATGACTCTACGAGGAGCATGAACGTTAATCATATGGTAGCCTACCTGGTTGCCTATTATGGGCTTCAATTAGGGCTGGAAAACAGATAAGAAGATGATAATGAGATGATTGATTGATTTGTTGTTATGAGATTTCGATTCATGGCTATATACACGGGTATTCAAATTTTACGTCCAATGTCCCAAACCACTAACGCCGTTCATCATGATGTTTTGACACTAATAATACAGACATAATCGTACAATTCTTCAACTAGATCAAGGCTTGTCCGCGGAACATACCCTCGCGGACCTCCTTGACAACATCCTTCCGGTCCTTCTTCCCAACAAGCACAATACCACGACCACGCTTACCCATACGACCCAGACGGCCTAGACGATGAATAAAGTCGATCGTCGTGTGTGGCACGTGGTACAGGATAACCGTCTTCACGGCCAGGGTATCGATACCCCGGGATGCGATGTCGGTCACGACGAGCACCTTGGTGTTTGCTAGTCGGTATGGGCTCTGGTTGGCAGGCTGATTTAATTCCGGCTCAATGAAGGGAATCGCTCCTTGTTCTTTGCGGTCTTTCTGGGCTTGCAGAATTTCATCCGATGACGGTGTAGGAGGGGTTTCTGTGAATTCGGCCAGGATCTCCTCTTGTTTCCGGGAATCTGAGTCACGAGACAGAGAGACAGCGTCGATGCTCTTTGATCGGAGGAACTGAGCAACTTCATCTGCTTCCTCGCGCTCGTTGACGAAGACGAGGATCTTCTTCACCTTGCTGCTGGGGTCCATATACGATTCAAAGGGTCCTGTTGGTTCCGCATCACCAGCTTTACCAAGGTGCCAAATCACATCGGCACAGGCCAAGCTGCGGTTGCCGCGGTAGGGGTCTTTTTGGATGTCCACCACTCCAAGTTGGACGCGACGGGGGATAGCGTGCAGGTTAGGGGTCGTTAACCGGGTGATATCCGGGTAACGCTTTCGGAGGACGGAGTCGAGACTCCGCGGGATCGTGGCGGAACAGAAAATCAACTTTTTGAGCGATGGTGTAACCTTATCGATTATTTCAGTTGTGGTAGGGGAGAATGACCGGTCCATCAACGAGTCGGCTTCATCGAGAACCAGATGGCTAACACGGCTGAGGACGTACGGATCTGTTTTGGCGATGGATGCGAGGAGATGAGGAGTGGAGATAAGGACGTCAATGCCGGCAGGGTTGAACAGTACGTTCTTGATCCGGCGAGGCGTGAACTTGGACGAAATCATTCCCGAACGGAATTTAACTGTGTGCGAGAGGGCTTTGACCTTGACGCCCACTTGGGCCACCAACTCGGATGTTGGAACTAGAATGATCACTCGAGGTCGGCCGGCATTGGACAGCGGAGCGACTTCGGGTTCAACATCGAAAGCCTGGTTCTTCATCCTCTCCTCTTTTTCTTTAGCTTGTTGTGCCTCCATGCGCTTTTCCTCCTTTATATCCTCAACCTCTGCGCGCTTCACATGGTCGATTAATGGAATTAGATACGCCAATGTCTTCCCCGAGCCTGTTTCTGCCGCAAGAAGGCACTGATCGTAGTCTGGCTCAGACTCGTCGACTTTCTTTTTATGCTTCCGGTTTGGCTCTTCCATCAATCTCGGAATCGCTAAACGCTGGATCGGAGTCGGAGTGATATCCATCATGCCAGGAAGAGCCTGTGTGAAGATCGACTCCCGGACAACAGGCAGGATAGGAAACTGGTCGAAACTGGTAATATTCGCAAGCTTTGCTTTGATTGCCGTTCTCCGCCCATATGGAACCGGTGACAGCGTAGTTTGCATCTTCAATGCCTTGTATAACGGACTCTCTTTACTGCTGCTCGTCTCTCCAGGATTACCAGAGCGCTTGACCTCGGCCTGAGATCTGGAGCGGGGCGTCCCACGAATTCGAGCTTCGGTCTGGTTCATTCCGGAAAACGGACCCCGTCGTTCATCGGCACGGGGTTTCTTTAACGAGGCTTTGGCGACATTGGGCGAGAGGGCCATCCGGGCTGCTGAACGGCGCATGCGAGCTGTGGCCATAGAGCGAGCCGATTGCCCTATTGTCGGAGGGGTCAATCCATATCGAGGGAAGAGAGTGGCGCGAGACTGGCAGGCCAAACACACGGAGCGGAGAGGCAGAGGCATGCTGCCGTTAATCTTGAGGATTGTCTATACAGAAGAGCAAAATGGTAGCAATAAGTCGAGAACCAGGTCTATCGGGCTATCAGAAAAAATAAGGCGGTCGAATATTGCCACTGACCGATCGAGACTAGTGCGGGATCATCAACACCTGACCCGTGAGGCATACATATCCTGAAACATGTGGCAGAAACAAGGCAGGAGTTGCCATGGCGACTCCCGGCAAGCAGCAAGAGTGACAGAACACCAGCTCGCGTCGTGCTTCAACTACTCCGGCCAGACCTTGATATTGCTACTTTCGGTGTTTGTTGTCCTGCATCTTCATTATTCTCTTTCTGTTCATTGCATTTCCTCTTTTACTCTTCTTTCCCTCGCTTGATTTCTCTTCTTTTTTTTTTTTTTTTTGTTGACAAACTCCCACTATCTTTCCGGCTTCATTTGTGACGTATTGCTGCATTTCTACGATTTTATGACCTGGAAAAGACCGTTGAAGAGATAAAGAAATCCTCCGAGCTATCGATAACTGCAACTATTGTTCCGGCCTGATTCGTATCACTGAGTTAGGACAACAAAGGTGGGTTGGACAAAGCGATCTATCTCCTAGGAAACATAATCCCACCCCCTTTGAGTCGGAGATATTTTTATACATCGCCCTCGTTGCGAGGGAGACCAAACGAGTCTTTGCTGACAGATCCACTCATCAAAGCGTGCTTCTTTGTTTCCTCGTGGGCTTTCCTGTCTGGGTTATCGAGTGTTATATCAGGATGCCCAATGGTGCTGTTCAGCGGCCGCTATCTGAAGTGAGTCCTGTGGCTCAAAGAAGAAACTCTCCTAGCTGGAACCCAAATACCAAGGTAAACATAGCCGGTTATTTTTGGTTCTCGTTGGCAAATACTGACTCAGCCAGCAAATGTTGAAAAACAATTCGCCAGACAAGCCCGCCTCGCTGCGCCTCTACTGGCAGGGTCGCGACTCGTCGGAGAAATCGGAGAACCAAGCTCCCTATGACCCCGACGCTCCTCACAAGCCATCAAAGCGCCCATCAGTTGAGAACCTGAAGCGTGTTGCGCGCGTGAGGAACAGTCACATCTTCCGTGATCGCAACCCCGAGTACGATCCCTCCCAGGCCGACGTCCCACAACGACCTCTTTCAACAAACGACTCCCCCCAGAAAGAACAGACGACGGGGCCACAAACGAACAACTCCATCGAAGGTCCTAGGCCACCATCGCCCGCGAAATCCTCCCTCTCCAAAGCTAGCCGTTTTGGCGTGAAAGGTGGATTCGACCCTGAGTATGAGATTTGGTCCGACGCCGATGGTCATCGACACGCGAAGAGTGTGACCTTCGATGCAGCTCCTCCCCAAGTGAACGAGTACGAGATGACGACTCCCGATCCCTCTGTTTCCGCTGCATCAGACTCTCGTGATGGTAGCTATGACTCGGAGGAAGAGGCAGAGGAAGACGAAGGTGATGTCAGTTTCGAGCGCGAATCATCTGCAGAGCATGATGATAGTTTCGACGCTTCCCTGGAAGATACTGAAAAGACTCCCGTCGTGCTGCCTGAGGAATGGCGATACGGACATGAAGACGAGGATGGGCCCTTTACGGAGGACGAGGAGGACGAGGACGAGGACGAGGATGATGCAAGCCACAGCCCTGACCCTCGTCCTTCTTCGCGTCAAGAGCCTTCCCGGCCACACTCTCGCGTTGAATCGCTTGATTCAAACGGGGAGCCTCGACCCCTTCCACCTCTTCCTTCGGTGATGCGGTCACAGGCGAACCAGTCCTCTCCGGGCAAGTTTACCACAGCTGCTCTCGAGCTTGGAAGCGGCGGCCAACGAACGCTGCCATCTCCTCCTGGCCCTGCGACATATAGCAAATCAGACATCACCGGCTTCAAGAACTCGTCGATGTCGTTGGAGGACCGGTTGCGCCTGATGATGATTCAGGACGAGAAAAAGGATGAGAAGAAGCAGCCAGAGCACAATGAACCTGTCCAGGAGCCCGCCAAAGCGGACAACGGCCAGCACGAGGACATCAAAGACGAGGTGAAGCAGCAGGAGGATGTCGAACCCAAAGAAGAAACCGATGATGCAGCGAAGGAGCCTGATGTCTTTACCCCTCCTCGTATCTCTAGAGATTCCATCTTGCGCGACCTTCGAAAAGGCGATGACTTTTATGATGACGACGATGACGACTCGTATCTGGACTATGATCCGGACGTACCGCTCCCGTCTCTTGAGGACGATGATGATGGCGAGTATGACACGGACAGCGTGATTATCAAGGAGGAGGACACCAGCGAACTTTCTGACATTCCCGAGCATTACGAGAGCGCCCCCTCCAAGGATCCCTCGATGAAAGACCTCCAGGGCAAACTACCTCATGACGGGTCGAGCAATTACTCCCTCCACTCAGCGGGAGCAGTCAATGCTCCCTCGCCACCCGCTGAAGAACCTGAGGACCGTAGCTCTACCCCTGTTCCGGCTCCCGCCGAGCAAAGCGAACAAATAGAACACCAAGAGCACCTTGATCACCATGAGCACCGTGACCCTACAGAGCCCACTGACCCTACAGAGCCCACAGAGCCCACTGAGCCCACTGAGGAAGCTCAAGAAGCCCCTGAGAAGGAATCTTCTGTTGATGCTCAGAATGAGCATGAACAGGCCCGACCCTTTTCTGCATTTGATATGCGGCCTGCTTCTGCGCTTGATGTTAGGCCTGAATCTGCACTCGATAGCCGACCGGTTTCCGCACTCGACATGGCTTCTATTCGTGAAACCTTGCAACGCCCGGGTACTCCGGAGCCCAATGACTCGCCGGTCTCAGAGCCTTCGACTCCAGACTCAGTCATCCGCCACCCTATTGAAGATGATGACATGAGCGACTTTTCTCCAGATGGGAGTGTGACTGACGAGAGTGTGCCTGATCCCATTGCTACAATCAAGGCGCCAGGAACTGCTCTCAAGGCGCGGCCATCCTTGACGCCGGCTGACCTTGAACAAATGGCAGCCACTCGACGCAAAGTTAGCGGCCCTCAAGCATTCCGCTTGCCGTCCCTGAGCAAGCACTTTTCCAATGACTCCCAGCACTCGAATCACGACGACGAAGCGCAAGAACCCGAAGACGACTCGACCAAGTTGGCTCCCCCCTCCCCGAGCAAGGACACCCAGCGGCAGAGCAGTCTCGTGAAATTGGATATCCCATTCAGCATCCAGGAAGAAAGCCTCGGCTTTGGTTTGAACAGAGAATTTGATCGTGTTATGGAAAACCAAAAGGTTGCGTTTGAGCAAGCCCTCTCCCAGTGTTCCTCATTTCGACCCATAGCAATCACCACCCACACCCAGGACCCCTTTATTTCTATCCATGGACCCAACCCCAAGGACCCAGCAGCCCTAAGTCACGTTCATTGTGAAGTCTCAACTGCTAACCATCCTCCTCCCAAACAGAGAGGTTACCTCATGCGCCAGAACACCAAGGTCATCGTTGCCAGTAGTCATAACGAGGAAGAGACAGCCACCACCCCCGGCGAAGCCGCGACCGAAGCCCGTTTGTCGAGGGTCCCTGGTAATTCGAATCGCAAGCCCAGCCAGCAGACATGGACGACGGTCCCCTGGAACAGCCAGCGCCGCCGCTCCAGCATCAGAACGCCCAGTGGGCTTAAGAAGAAGCCTGTTCCTGGTGCTGTGCCCCCTCTGCCTGGTCAATCTAGCAACGTTGATGCGGCTGCAGCAGATGAGCCTGGATTGAACGAAGCCTTGGATGAAGGTGAAGAGCGCGGTCGTTTGTTTGTGAAGGTTGTTGGTCTTAAGTACTTGGACCTCCCAATGCCCAGAGGTAGGTTTCTTTAACCTGAGCATGATTAGTTTGGATTGGCTGACAATATTGTAGGCGAGAGGTCATACTTTGCCCTTACTCTTGACAACGGCCTCCACTGCGTTACCACCGCCTGGTTGGAACTCGGAAAGTCGGCACCAATTGGCCAGGAATTCGAACTCATCGTCCACAACGACCTTGAATTCCAACTGACCCTCCAGATGAAGGTGGACGAAGAGAAAATGAAGGCACCAGAAGTCGCTCCTCCATCCCCAGCGAAACAGAAGGCATCAACCTTCAGCCGTGTCTTCGCCTCTCCCCGCAAGCGCAAGGAGCTCGAAATGAAGCAGCAGCTTGTCTCCCAGCAGCGCAAGAGCCAGGACGTCAACGCCGGTGTTTGGGACCGTCTGAGGACATTGATCGCACAGGACGGCAGCTTTGGTCGCGCCTACGTCGCGCTCAGTGACCACGAGAAGCACGCTTTCGGGCGCCCCTACACGGTCGACATTGCATGCTTCAACGAATGGGCCGTGGAAGAGCAACCCAGCAGTATAAAGAGCAAGAAGAGTACCTCCAGCAATTCTTCTCAGCGACGTCCTCCTTACAAAATTGGTAAATTGGAGGTGCAGTTGCTGTTCGTTCCCAAGCCCAAGGGTGCGAAGGACGAGGACATGCCGAAGAGCATGAACTCGTGCATTCGGGAAATACGGGAGGCGGAGAGCGTCTCGACTCGCACTTTCGAAGGATTCCTTTCCCAGCAGGGTGGTGATTGTCCGGTAGGTTCTCGTTATTCCGGTAATGATTTGATGTATTTGGCTAACTTTCGTGTAGTACTGGCGTCGCCGGTTCTTCAAAGTCGTAGGCTCCAAGCTAACCGCCTACCACGAAACAACCCGCCAACCCCGCGCAACAATCAACCTCTCCAAGGCTGTCAAGCTAATCGACGACCGTTCCTCCCTCACCCAGCGCGAAACCTCAACACGCGGCGGTGGCCGTCGTAAATCCGCCTTCGCCGAAGAAGAAGAAGGCTATATGTTCGTCGAAGAAGGTTTCCGCATCCGCTTCGGTAACGGCGAAGTCATCGACTTCTACGCCGACAGTGCAGCGGAGAAGGACGGCTGGATGAAGGTCCTTGCTGATTCCGTGGGCAAGGGCACCTCGGCCAGTGGGAGCGTGGCCAAGCCTTGGACTGACGTTGTTCTGCGGAGGGAAAGGAGCATGAAGTCTAGACGGCAGCCCAGTGGTACGCATGGTCCTCCGCCACCGACTCAGGCTCCGCCCGTTCCGCCGGTGAAGAATAATGTTGGGGCACAGCCTTCTACGTCTGCGGGAGTGCCGGCGCCGGCGTCGGTTCCTTCAAGGCCGAAACATAAGCATACGCAGTCGCAGCCTGAGGCGAGGGGGTTTGATGCGAGGCGAGCAAAGACTCGTTCTTTGATCTTTTAGGTTTATTTCGGTGGAGGATAGCATGTTCCGGTTGTGAGTTTCGTTCCGGGTTTCTTTCTGTTTATTCGTTTATTTTTTTTTTTTTTTGTCAGTGTCATCATAAGCGGTTTGTTTCTCGGTTTTTTCTTTTCCCAAGCATATTGGTCTTTCATTCTTAATTTGTCGGTTCTCATTCTTTTCACTGCGTCGGTGCTGGTGTTTTAAATATTGTGTCCTCTTTTCTCTTGTCCATGTCTAGCCTTCGCGTTGAATCTCTTTTTGTCTTATTTCATTTTGTCTGGGCTTTGGAAACGGACGAGGATGGAGCATCAAGCGACGTAATTTTTCCATGCTTCATTCCCGCTGTCTGTACGTACAGCTAACGATATTTAACGCCTTTCCTTGTCGATAATTGAGTGTTTTTGTTGGCTATTTTTGCTTAGCTTCGATACAAACAAAAGTTCTTATTTGGATTTTGTTTTATGATTTAGGTTGGGGATGCACCCGGTTGCGCGTAATATATATCTACTACGGAACTGTAGAACCACCATCGCTGGAAACATGTATTCAACTTTTGATCTATAACAGTCACGGCAATCAACCGCCCTCTTCATTCTCACTCTCATTCTCCGACTCAATTGCCGCCAGAGCTTCTCTCTGCGATATCCTGCCCGTCTTGTTGTCCTCAGCCTGTGCATTAGGCTGCGAGCTGGGTTTGGCAGCTGCAATGCCGCCGGATGTCACGTAGAGGAATTCCTCCTGCGAGAAGTGGTCGATGTGATTGAAGAAGGATGAGAATCTATTGCATTTGTTAGTTCGTATATTTGTATAGGGAAAAGGTGTGATGGGGACTCACGCATTAGTCTCCTCTTCCTCGCGGAAAATACGGTCGTAGATCTCTCGCTGCTTAAACTCGTTAATCTCAGCCTCATACTTGTTGAAATCAATAGCCCCACGGCCCAAATCCGCCGCTTTCTTATTATACGAGTCGAACACCGGCCGTTCCAACAAAAGACCCAATCCTGGCGCCTTGGGAATAGCAATCTTCGTATTCTCATACGTCTCCTTCATCCTCTCTGGATCAGCACCACATCTCACAACCATAGCAACCATTGCAACCATCTTCCGAATCTGATGCATCATGAAACTCTGTCCGTGGACCTTCAGGCTCAACCATTCAGTGTTGTTGATGAGGATGGGCTGGCGGTTGAGGTTGAACGACTTGATGTAGCGTTTCGCAGACGGGTCACTGTGCGGCTTTTGGATGGTGTAGTTGAAGAAGTTCTTTGTGCCAACGTATTGGTCTAGGGCGGACTGGATGCGGTCGAGGCGGGAGGTGGGGATGCGGTAGGCGCGTTTTGCGCGGAGGTAGGCGGCTTTGATGGCTTTGATTGTGGTGAGGGTTTGGCGGCGGCGGGATTCTTCGGCTTCGGTGAGTTGGGGTTTATGGACATCGGGTTGTTGGGTGGGTTCTGTGGGTTCTTGGGCTTCTGTAGGCTCAGCGGACTGTTCCTGGTCCTGCTTGTCTTCGGCCTTTTCGTTGATGTAGAGGGCTTTCTCGACGACTGTCCGGATGTCCTCGGGTACACCTTCGAGAATCGGCTTGATGTAGTTCTCATCAACGTCCTCCCAGAAACCCTCGACCTCAGCTTGTCTCTCCTTGTACTTTTCAAGATCCCCCTCCTTCTCCGCAATCTCAACCACCTTCTTCCCCAAATACGTACTCGTATGCGGCGGCAAGAAGCAATGGCTAGGGATCAAGAACTCGTAGACTCGAGAATCGCACATATGGTAGCAGCTGAAGCTCTTACTGGCAACTTCGATGCCCCATACCCGGATCTGAGGGCTGAGGTGTGAGTTGATTCTCTGCACGATGTCCTCATCTTCCACGATCATTTTTAGCGAGATGACGTTGCCGGAGGCATGGACGCCTTTGTCTGTGCGTGCGCAGCGGACGAAGGAAGATTTCTTGGGGTCTGCGGCGTTGGCTTTGGAGATTGCGCCTGCTGCGACGAGGGCGGGGAAGAATTCTCCTTCGATTGTCTTGTGCTCGGCGCTCCTGCGGGAAAAATTCAGATTAGTTTCTCTCTAATTGAGTACACAATGGGGAAGGAGACCGTACAGCTGCATTCCGTGATACCCAGTCCCCGAGTACCCAAGCAACACAGCAGCCTTCTTCTTCGGCCGCCGCTGCTCATTCTCAATGTCCTCCTGCGAGAAGTTCGTCGCATATATCGGGGTATCAAGTTCCTCGCCCTGCTCAACCTTGCGCTTCTTCACTGCATTGATCTCATCATTCCGCGCTCTCTTGTCTAGGTTTTGCCGACTTGCTTGGTTAGTTAATGACTTGCCCCCTCAATTCTCTGGGAATGATGTAGCATACCTCCATTCGTTCCGGCCCATATTCCTCTTCTTACGCTTTCCACCAGCATCTTCTCCTCCCTCCACTCTTCCGGGGTTATTGTCCATTCTGCCTCAGTGACGACTCGGTTTCTGCGGGGAAAATCTGCGAAATGTCTGCGAGCGTTGACTGTCGCAACAATGGGTTTCGGTTGAGAAAGCAGTTGATGATAGATAGCGGAATCTCGCGAGATTGAAGAGATTCCAGATAGGCCCTGGCGCAGAATCGCAAAGATACGCATGAAGATCGACTAAAAATTCCGCGATTCTAAAAACGGCGTTGCGTTTCGGTTCTCGTTGGTCGACGGTTCGGGTTGCGCTATACCGTTTTAGGTTGGATAATCCTGCCTCAGGTGTTAGTCCCGTGACTTCTTTCATGTCGGCGTTCCGAGCTTCGATTCCAGACTTCGTTTTGCTTTCCTTCGTTTCGCTTTCTCTCTTTATTTCTTTGTACAACTGGCAGGGCCGTCCTTGGTCTGCAGCAGGCTATTCACTTACGCTCCCGGATCACCGCGAAACCCCCGTTCTTTACAGCTTCGCTGCTGTCGGAATCGAAGGATGTTGCTCTTCCTCCGCTAAGCTCCAGACCGAGTATACCAGCTACCAGGAACTTTCGCTCGCTTGACAGATTGAGACCTTGAACGAGGCCATCGGATATCAAGAAATTAGCATCCACGGACACTACGCAATGGATCTCGCAAACACTCTCATCCGGACCGTCGTCCGCACCTTCTACGAGACTCGCCACATCCTCGTGGTTGATGCGCTTTTTATTCACTCTGTGTATGTGCTGGGACCGCATGGGCTTCTATCCAAAAGAACCAATACTGATTGTTATCGCGACAGTCTTCACGCCGAAGACCTCGCATTCCTTCTAGGCATGCAGCAAAAAGACCTCCGCAAGCTCTGCGCCAAACTACGCGAAGACCGTCTGATCGCTGTGTATGGCTATTATCCACCGGACATGCTCACTCCGTTACAGCTAGGCTGACAGGAAGATACCCGCAGTAATACACGAGCTGAGATCCGAGACGGCGCGACTCGTCCAGTGAACCGCGAATACTACTTCATCCCTCTCCACCCGGTCGTCGACGCGGTCAAGTACAAAATCTCCAAATTAACCTCGACAATCAAAGCGCAATACACGCCGAGCGAAGAACGGAAGGAATACGTTTGTCTGCGATGCAGTTCTGAGTGGACGGAACTCGACGTGCTGAGTCTCGTGAGCGAAGAAGGATTCGAATGCCAGAACTGCGGAGCCATCCTCGAAAGAACAGAAGACGTAAAAGGAGCCGATGGGATCGACCGAACAGGCCACGAGAAAAACAGCAAGCTCATGGCCCAACTTGATGGAATGTTGAAACTGCTCAAGCAAATCGACTCCGTCGAAATCCCGCCCAACGACTTCGACACAGCCTGGGACCACAAAGTCGACATTATCCGGAACCAAGCAACCCACCCAACCCGCACTACAGTCGCTGTCCCCTCAAAACAACAAGAAACCGTTCGCGGCAACGCCAAAACCGACACAACCGCCCTCGAAATCTCCCTCACCTCAACCGAGGAAAAGAGCGCCGCGGAACAAGCCGAAGAAGCAGCCCGCAAGGTCGCAGTCGAGCAACAAAACGCCCTCCCAGTTTGGCACACCCATTCCACCGTCTCAACTAACGCCGGAAACCTGGGTGTCAAAGCAGAGGAAGGCGTCGACATCAAACCAGACATCAAAGGAGAAGAGGAGGAGAAACCCTCCGCCGATGCATTGGACGACAAAGTCGCCGCGTACTATGCGGAAATGGCTCGCGAACAGGCTCTCCAGGCACAGGCAGAAGCCAGCAGCGCAGAGGAAGACTCGGACGAATTCGACGAGTTCGAAGATGTTGGAGTCTCTGGCAGTGGGTCTGCGACGCCTGCTGTTGGTGGTGCTGCACCGGCACCTACCAACAATGTAACTGGTATCAAGCGTGAACTCGATACAGATACTGGTTCGAGCATCCCTAAGACAGAGTCTGTTACTCCCGCCACGGCCGATGAAAGCCCAGCGGCGAAGAAGGTCAAGACCGAACCTGAATCGGAGGTGAAGAAGGAAGAGTCCGACGAGGATGATGAGGAGGAATTCGAGGACGTCTAACAGGCGACCTTGAGCAAATAGGAGCTCTATTGCATTCTGAAAACAGGGTAAATATCACAGCGCTGGCCGCCGGATCAAGAGAAGAATGACGAGGTAAGATGATGATAGATCGGATGGATGGTTGAGCTGCATTGCATTCGTAAGTAATCTAAACTGATGTAGAAATATGTACTCTGTACGAATATAATATCAAGACACTCTTATTAAATCCTCGTGTATTCAATTCCCTTGGGGGATTTCAATCCATTCCAAACCCCTATCCCTATCCTTGTGCCTACCTTATTCCCAAACGATTCCCCAGTAACAAGCATAGCTATTTAGAAAGCGCAGTACACAAACAATCCCCGATTAATTAACACATGAGACGAAACAGTCGTAAACAATAAACAAAAGGATGCCGAAGGAAGAAAGGAACCAGAATTTTTCCGAGACGGGGCACAACTGAACGGAAAACGCCGGTCCATGCAGAAGAAAATCCGGGGTAAAATCTCATAAATTCGTCGCTCATATGTCAAGACAGCACCACAACACCGTAAAAATCAGTTATGGAGAACCCTCGGAATCGCTGGGCATCATCAAGTCATCCCCCCACTCATTGGGCTCTGGAGAAGGCATATCAGACTCTGGGGGCCCCAGGTTAGACGGTGAATGAGATGACATATAAAAAGGATACGTACCGGAAACCAACTCTCCGGGGAGATCGGCGGCGAGTTCTTCGATGGCTGTAGTGACCGCTGTGATGTGTTAGCGACCGGAGGACCGAATGTTTGATTAGATGATGGGTAGCTTACTCTGCGCCTGGTGAACCAACTCCTGGTCCTCCTCGCTATCACCATAGTACGTAACCAAGCAGTGGTCAACCACGGCCTTGATTTCCTCAATAACATTCGCTTCAACCGTCTGCCCCGGGGTCGACAGATAAGTCTTCCTCAGTCTGTCAATAGACACTTGCACAAGTTCTCTAGCAACCTCAGTATGACGCGACTGCCAGTCTTCACCCATCTCCTCGCTCTCTCCAGTAAACAATATTTGGCGCAGGACTTCCAAAGTCATATTCCTAACCGCCCTTTCGGGGTAAACGAGCAATGTCGGCGCCCAGTCCGGAACCTTATCGATCAATTGTGACAAAAACCAAGCCTGATTGAGACCAAGCCGGTCATTTCGGATGTTCAGCATGTTAGTGAAGAAACTAAGGTGAGCGGCCCCTCCACTGCCATTGATCGACTCAACGCCCTTAGCAACATAGTCTATCATGTAGATAATGCGCTCCTCATCGGGACTTCGACGACAGAGGTGCAGGGTAGCCTCCAAGAAAGGTGCACAAAACTCCGCAGGCTCAACTCTAAGACCGTCTTCCAAAACCTGGCAGATTGGATCCATAAGACGAGCTTCGGGCTCCGCGTCCAAGAAAACACCGAATATGTTCATGGTTGCCTGAGGGTTATTGTTCTGCTGGAGGATCTTCTTAATCACTACCAGCTCTCGGTTCCTTCCAAGTGGGCGAATAAAGCTATTTTCCACCACGTTCAGCGGGTATTTACCATCTGGCAGAGGTTGTCGCTCATCCTCGACCGTCGCAGGGGCAGCAAGGTCGATGTGCGATAGCAAAGTGAACAAAAGATCAGCGAGTTTCTTGTGCGAAAACCGGCGGCCTTTCTCGATAAGTTTGGAATAACCCATGTATTGCCGCTTCAACCTCTTGGGGTCCTCCCGGTCAAGCCAAACTATTTCCAAACATTTGAGCAAAAATCCGTTGTCGAGTAGGAGTCCGACTTCATAAGTTCCGAAGCTGGCAAGCAATACCAAGAATTCAAAATAGTCATCCCACGAGCGGCTAGCTGTGTGGAGTATGGACCACAGGTTCTCCAGCATGGAGACAACACTTTCAAAGGCATCTATGTATCGTTCTTGCCATTTCTCTTTCTCGGCCGCAGACTCTGCCCCGTCTCGCAAGTCCCGAAGTTTCGCAAGAGCTGCCGCGATGACCCTAAGTGAGCTGCCGCGAACAGCAGCATGAGGGCTCTTCAGAACCAAATTGCGAATGCTAGCCGGACGTTCCACAACCCATTCAAGGACCCGGTATGCACCCATCGGAAGTTTCGTGATAATTTTGAAAACTTCAGACACAATTGCATCCAGGCCCACGGAATCCTTGGACCTCGATATCAACTGCTCTACCGTGTCCAAGGCAATAAATGCAGTGGACCTGACCAACTTGAAGTTTGTATCTGTTTCCGAATCCGCCAATTCGTGAAGCCGGCCAAGAATGTATTGGACAAAAAGGGCGTGGTATGGATCCAGCAAGCAGTATGTCCGGATGAAGAGCTCATTGTCCATTGCGATATGATTCTTCAGATCCAACGGCACTGGAACGCTCACGGGGATATCATTGCTGGCCGGCTTGTAGGTGGATCTGGCGGTATCTGCGCTAGAAACACGCTGGTAGAAAAGCATGTAAGCGTTCCAGACCTTGTTGTACCGAACGTTGTTCGCATTAGACTGAAACGATCCGTTGGGGCCTCCAAAGCACTGATCCGGAATCTTCGATTGGTCGAATCTGGTGACATCCGAATCGTTGAATTCAGCCCATGGCCCTGGTGATCCAGCTGTAGGCCTTTGGCGGATGTACGAGTAATAGTGGCCAGACTCAGCCGTGCCGCTGTGCACTAGGACACCGACAAGTTCAAAGAGATCCTGCTGAACTTCGGTGTTTTGCTCAGAGAGATATTCGACATTGAATGGGCTCATGTCAATATGTTCAGGGAACTGAAATTCATCGTTGATCTTGTTGCGTGTCATTGTGACCATATCAAAATCAAACCGTTTCAGATGAAAGATAAGATTGTCCGGGACATCTTTCAAACAAGCCCTAAATGGCGTTAGCTAATAAAGACAGAAGGAAGCACGATGGTGCCGGCTTACCTCTTAACAGCATCGACATGGCGTCCACATGATGTGCACGAGTATTTGTTGTCTTCAATTGTTAGAACAGGTTCCTATTGTTCACATACAGGCATAGGAAACTCACCTCCTTGCATTATCTCTCCCTCAACATAGGCCTGCAGACTTTCTTCAAGACTCGCCTTGCCCTTGATATCACACTGAATAGCAGAGAAAGGCTCCAGCCGCTCAGAGATATGCGTACACTCCTTGGACTTGATCTGCTGGACCAATTGACCGCCGTAGAACGTCCGGAACTTCTTCTTTTCTTCTACGTCGACGATTTGCGCTTCCCATCTATCGAAGAGGAGATTATAGAACTCATCAACGTCCATCTGGATGGTGACATCGATTGGCTCATTATCATAGGTCCGGATGCTGTCGACCAATCCCTGAGGATCGACACTCTTGAGCCATGTTTCTTGCATGTGCCCGAAAAGCTTCTTTGTCTCATCCAGGAGTTTCTGCGAGGAATCAGGTTCGGTAACCTGAAGCTGCAGCATGAAGTCACGGAACCCGACGTTCATGAACAGCTGCGTTAGCAGGGAGTTCAGGTAACAGGTGTTGGAGAGGTTCTTGAGTCCTGCATAACCCTCTGCGGATCGAATCATCTTCTGGCGGTCAAAAAACCAAGTTTGGGAGTACGTGTTGTCCCGTGGGATAATGTCTTCCAAAAGATTCACCACCTTCAGATAATTCTGATCATCTCTGATGAGCAGCGTCAGTATCTTGTAGAGCTCTATACGGGTTTGATTGTGCATGACCGGAACCCGAGGAACTATAGCTGTCTCATCAGAAGTTGACAAATCCGGAAAAAGGTATATGTCAAAAAGTTTCTCGGTAAGATCAAATGTGTTGACTGGGATGTTTGCAGAGTGCGCGCGATCCAGGCATGACCACAGGAGCCGAGTGAACCCTAAGAGAAGGTAGTCTACAGGCTCTCGTCCGACAAACTAGACATTTTATCAGCGCAATGTATTTTATCAGTGCCAAAGGGGACATACCTCTTGAGTCTGATGGCCCAACATGACGGTGCTCCATTGCTTGAGGTACTCATCATACTTGAGCTCGCGCGAGGGATTCTCAACAACCGAGTGAAAGACCAGAAGGGCGACTTGGAAGAACTCCTGAGATTTATGTGCATAATTCAGAGTGTTTGGCAAGATTTGCACAAAAGCCTCCCAAATCGTTCCAATGATGTCGACTTTGGCAGAGTTCTCAGGAGCTGTTGACTGCTGGTTGCCAGGATCTTCGGTTTTTTGAAGCAGCTTCGTGGGAGTGCAGACCAAGGCAATATTCTCGGATATTTCTTTCCGAATGGGTTGGCGACTCTCATCCAACAATAGCGAGAAGAGAAGCTGATCAAATTGGGTCTGTTGCTTGACCGCGTTCCAAAAGCCATGATCACGCATGGAACCTTCAATCAAAACAGCAAATGAATTACAAATTAATTTCTGTACACCAGCTTCGGTGAGACAAGTGGATGGTACGTGGCGTCCAACATCCATGAAGTGGAGAAGCTGCTTAACCAAAGGTGTAGTATCAGTGATCACGGATGAATCTTCCACGGGAGATGATCTCGCTAATATCTGGTTAGCAATTTCCGTCAGATTTCCTGGGCATACACTTACCAAGAAGGGCCAAAACGATGGACTCGACAAGGCTTGTTGCGAGCAAGAGCTTCGCGGGACTGTCTGCGAGTGACTCGGACATTTCAGGGCGTATGGAAGCGGCAACCAGAACACGAATGCTGTGAGAGACAAATTGCGGGTTCAACGAGGGCTGGAGGGGAGATTACATGTCAGCAATACTACCAGTAGATGAATAAGGCATCGACTCTTACCTTAGATTCTGCTTCCCTAAGCAACGTTGAAAGGGCCTTCATCGAATAAAGGAAGATGTACGGCTTTTCCATAGGGAGCACGTCCTGCTCTGTTTTATCAGGGGGCTTCACGAGCGCCAAAACACGCTCCTGTGGTGGGAAGACCACAAGGAAATCATATATCTACAGACAATCGTTAGCATATGATGAATGGAAAGAAGCTACTACCAAGAGGAAGTCGTACCTCTCGAGCCAAGTGGTCGTCAAGATTTAGGAGATCATAAAGGTCATCAAAATGTTTGAGCACCTCAGAATCCACAGGTGTCATAGATTGGCGCTTTCCAAACGACGGCACCACAGGACTATCCGCATCGTTGCGAATAAGTAGCATCCCTGAACGAAGCTTCAAATCTCGGAGCGTTAAGTCGGATTTTTCAGATAGATCAATCTTTTGTCCACCGTAGATTGTTCTGAACTTGGTGAAACCCGTAAGCTGTGTAATCTTGTCGGTGAGTTCGGAAGCAGTAGAGAGATCTCCAATGCGCAAAGTATTGACTATCGATTGAGCACCGCCGTCGAACGACTGATATCGGAATTCGATCGGCTGGCCTTTCACGGGCGCCGTGGGTAGATCTGGCGGTGGCCCTTGCGGTGGGCTGTATTGAGGACGGTTCCTCAGCCCTTGCAACAGTTGGCGGAGGAAAAGCAACGAACGGCTAAAACTCAGTTCTGCAGAACGGACCTCGTCCTCGGCTGCTGGTGTCAACATCGCTTCGGCCTTTCCATCAGGTGTGTGACCGTGGAATGATTTTAGCTTTGTAGCAGCTGATTTTAGCTGTTCTACACAGCGGTCGACTAAGCCAACGTGGGTAGCTTCAACAGCAGACCGTGGCGCCATTTTAATCACGTTGTGGTCGAGATACACCTCAATCGCAAAGTTTGTTGCATTCGTCTCGATCGATCCCGGAGGAGCAGTCAGTATGAAATTCCAAATCCGGTCCATCCCCGGAATAGAAACCACTTCATTTTCCTCGGCAATCGCAGGCGGATTAAAGCGGATTTCATAGATAATGGTCTGCTTCGCGAATGCAAGCACCTCCGGCGTATAGTTGCTCGGGGACAGTTCTGGAACAAATTCGTGGATACACCGCTCTATGAACGGGTTTCTCTTGAAAGCATGGTTGGCCAGTCCACATAGCATGTCCCACAAGACGCGTCTTCCTTGTTGGACGAGTGCCGTTGACATGAACACCTTTTTCCATAACGTATCACCGAGATCTGTCGAAATGCTGTCTGCGGCTTTGTCGATGATGCGGGCAAGCATATGGACGCGCGAAATAAAACCATTCCGAGAGAAAGAATCTGTAAAATCCGTTTGGTTCGTATCCACGGCATGAGCAATTTCGTCTATCGCCAGGCGGGTCAGATCGAACTCTGTGGCTAGCTTCCGCATTTCCTGAGGATCCTGGCCGATGAGCAAGGCAGTCAAAGCCTGCACACTGCCCACGGCAAATTGGTTCATTTCAGCAATGTCTTGGATGCAGCGCTCATACATCTCCATTTTATCTGTCTCGTCAAGTCCGGCGACACTAAACTTGCTTAATTGCGAGCCCGCGAACTGCTGCAAGATAGCCTTGTGTTCCACAGGAACATCCTCAACAGCGGTACTTTCACGAATCAGACGTACGCAAAGGCGCAGAGGAATGGCATCAACGTGCAAAGTGTCCACAGTGTCGAGGTTGTTCCGTTGATCATGTTTCTCCCGAATCTGGTGGAATAAATGATCACAGAACTCGACCATTCGTCCATCGAAGCGGTTCAGTGGAAGTTCAAGTAGTTTTGAGCAGACGTTGAGTAGAACTGGCGAGTTGGACGGGTGTACGGGGAAAGTCTTTGTGAGCATTCCTAGAACTTCAGACACCGTTCGAGAATCTTGGCTTTGGGTCACTGTCTTCCAAATCATGTCTGTATCGAGGTCGGTGTAGGTAGATGTCAGGATCAAGAATCCGACAAGGTTACCGCTCCTACTGATTAGCTGCGGGTGGGAGTCGATGCCCACGACATATTCAACGATCTTACTATCCCTGAGAAATTTGACCAGATACGAAACGATCGGATGCTCGAACCCGGAAGGAGCATTCTGGATGTGTTGCCGCCATATGCTGACCAAATCCGACTGCATCGTTTCGATACCGTGTACCCTGAGTTCCATCCGCCCGTCCGTTATGTGCTTCTTCAGGACACCGAATTTCCAGCCATAATGAATAATGAGGGAGCATTCGTCGGGACTGGCATCTTCAGGCAAGTCTATCGACAAATCATTTGCCAATCTCGATTGAAAATCGGGATCGGGCACGGATAGCGCGTGGTAGGTAAACGAGATCAAACGGATCATGGATTCACTGGTATCACTGGTGACCCAGGGCGTCTTTTTGGAGATGTGCATCTGATACTTTTCGTCTGCGGCCCGGACGAGACTGTAAACCGCTTGGGCGGCTCGCGCGCACACCGTCGAGGCAATAAGCGCATCATCTGCTCCATATTTTCTCCGCTCAATTCCCGACTCCGCGAGATTATGCGCAACAGTTAAGACTGATATCAACACGTGGGACAGGTAAGAATGTCGGTGGATGACCGGGAGGATACAGGATGCGAGCTCTGATAACCGTCGCATGGCATCAAGCGGGGGAGCCGCAAGCTGATCGTTGACACGGGAAACCAGGTTGATCACTTCAGCACCATGGATTCTTTCCATATTGCGAAAGAAAGGAATGTTGCTTATTTGCATGGACCATCCAAGCGAAACCAAGTAGATTCTTGATAACAGTTCCGGTGCAGGAATGTCCGTCTCCTCAGCCACTTGGCTCAATGCCAGCGTATCCAAACGAACCAAATGTAAAGTCAGCCGAGCAAAGCTCATGAAAAATTCTTCAAGGCATATCCACGGTCCGTGGCCTTCATCCGGTTGGAAGTCTTGCCTAGATCCAACATGTCAGTACCACGGCAGGAGCTATTCGGAAGTGTCCCTCTTACACTCTGCGGAGCAGGAACTCCACCATGACCGGAAGCTCCTCCCAAAAGTCACGATCATCGGTAAATGTATCATAATTCAATTGATCCAAGTTATTGGCGACATCGTCAAGCCAGTTCTTGACTGCCAGGAAAACCGTGATGTCATGCGGGTTTCCTATCAGATAGCTTTTAGTCCAGGTACGACGTGAATGTAGTCCGGTATCTTTACCTTTCTCGATGATCGCGCAAGTGTCATCCAAGTTCTCCCGTAATGATAGATGCTCCTGCAGCTTGGGAAAGGCGTCCGTCAGAGACAGTTGATCACGGATCTGCACAACCTCCGGCGTCGCACGATCCCGCAATGCCTCCCCCAAGGGTCTCCAGTTCGACATATTGGCATCCTGATGTACGTCCTCCACATCTGCCACCTCAATCTCCGGGCTGCGTGCTGGCGAAGACGACAGGGAAATGGCGTTGGAAGAGTGGCCGCCGATAGTATCTGCGGGCTGTGCGGGCGGAACAGCACCATCACCGCCGAGCGCGGATTGGTCAGGAACAGTGGAGGAAGAGGAAGAGGATGGTGCAGGATCATCGACGGGTGCGGACTGTGGTTCTTCAGACTCGGTCGTAGGCGATTTCATATTAATGGCGACTCTGCTGGAGGGACGCGAGACTGCCGCGGCATCAGTCCGCCCGGACATCTCGTCGGTCGACAAGGACTCGCAGGCACGGCTGCCGCTGTCGAGACGGGGACGTTTACGGGTGGACTGAGGGTCAGTATCTTCCATGGGATCGCCGTGGGAACGCGTCTGATCGGACGAAGCAGCAGTAGCAACAGCGCCAGGCGGGGAGCTAGAGCTATCTAGCGGGGCAGCTGCCATGACATTTTTCCAGGCCCTTTCTCCAAGATACTAAGAAAGGGCGAACGGAGAGGAAAAGAGGATAAAAAGAACGATAAAAAGAGAGATAAAGCGCGATAAATAAAGAGGATGGGGTCGCGACGAAGATGGAGGGGAAAAATGACGGTGAGAAAGGAAGAAGCAGAGGTTGGAAAAAAAGTTGTGGCAGAGGGAGCTCAAGTTTGCAGAGTTTCCTGTTTGGGCGGACAACGCGATAGGCGATAACAGATAGTGCCAGACAGACACCACCAGCACTACTTGTTTATGATAGATTGGAGAATACAGAGTAGAAGAATTTGTAATGGTCTAGATAAATTGGGGTTTTATATGGTTTTATACGGCAATGTATAGGTTGAGTGGTGAGGCATGCAAGGCTGGGACATCTACTCTGTACGGAGCACTACTATACATGAGAGAAAGAGCTAAATATCGGAAGTAACCATAAAGAAGTATATATTATACTCTGCCTTCTCTATTTACTTGTACATGAGCTCTGGCTGTGTTGAACCATAACGCTATGATATCAGAGCCATTGAGCTCAGGAAGTACAAGCTGAGCAACCCACCTGAGAAATGCAATCATCCTTTTAGTCTTTGGTGTAAGTCTAGCATTGGGTAAGACTATCTATTGCTTTAGGTGCAATGGACTCCAGCGCTATGCAATCAATTATTCACACCACCCCGGTCAATATATACAATGAGACATTAGTCTACTCCGTCATGGACGTCTCAATCTTGCGAATAACCCTCGCTGGATTCCCAACAGCTACGTGAAATGCAGGTACACCCTAACACCACGCATTAGTCGCTCAGTCCTTATCTATAAACGGAAAAGAACAAACCTTGGTCACCACACTCCCAGCACCAATCGTTGCGCCCTTCCCAATATTAACACCGGACAAGACAACCCCATTCCCTCTTAACCAGCAATCCTCGCTGATGTGGATCTCTTTACCTGCTTCAGGACCCTTAGTTCCATTGCGCACAGCCGGGTCCAACGGGTGAGTTGCACTGAACAAGCTGACATTAGGGCCCAGTAGCGTCCGTGCGCCAATCGTAACCAAGCAGGTATCGGCGATAATGCAATGGCGTTGATATAGATGTTCGCACCTAGTTTCACGTTAAATCCGTAGTCGATTTTGATGGGTCCTTCAATCCAAGGTTCATCCTCGAGAAGGGCTTCATCTTCAGCGGAATCCTCATGCGGAGGAGGCAGAGGAGTCGTGTCTTGGACGATACTGAGTTCCGGTCAATCACTGGAACTGCAAATGGCAAGAAATTGAGCCTGCTTCAGCAAGGTCTAGATACTCACTCTTTCCAGAGCTCAACCTGATGACGACGAAACATCTTCAGACCTGTTGAACCGGTTGCAGGCTTGCTTGCAACGAAAACGAGCCGCAATTAGATCAGGTATAAATGCATGATAGAGCTCGCCTCGGAGCATCTTCTCTTTTTCCGTAGACATTTCGATGGGTTGACTATCCAGTGAGCAGTAATTGTCGAGATGAATCTCGATTTCTCCGAAATTAACCCGATACTCTGTCCTTTAGAAAAAGGCCATAGCATGTGATCTACAAGCCTCGCTTAACTGCATCTGTTAGTACCCATCGGGTCACGTGCTTGACCGCCCTCGCTTTCTGCCCGGTAGACATAGCTAGCCTGAGCCGATAGGCACTCAATAAAATCAACTACGTTTGCCCACTAAAAGGTTATGAGCCCTCTTGCTCTATAGCGAGAAAACTGTCCTTTTAGAGGCCTTTGTTTGGTTCCTTTAGCGTTTGAATTTCTTGTTAGACTAATCAGATTGTGCTATTTGTCTGCGAGAATTCATCGCTATCGTACGCTCCGTTAACCCCTGAATTTGACGATTTTTCACCACTTTCCGAAGCGACGTTGTAAAACTCGCCAATATGCCCCCAAAGAAGAATAAGATGCCGGCAGTCCTCCAGCAGGAGACGCCTCATACCGCACGCCACTGTTCTATCAATCCTGATGCTGAAACGGCTATGGATATCGACGACCAAACCCATGTAAACCCCGCCAATTACCCAGTTCCCAATACACCACCCGGTCAAGGGGATCAATCACAACTACAACCTCAACCCCAAGAACTTGCCTATATGAGCGCCAAAGGAGCCGCCCAGCCGGCTGATACCCAATCAGAACACCAAACTCGCCGATCAGAAACCGCAGATGATCGAGATGAAATTATTCGTGTACTCCGTGATGAAGTTGATACTCTCCGCCGGGCTAGACAGCCTAAACGTACATCTTCCGGAGGGGATAGTCAACTCATTGAACGACTATCGGAACTGTTTGAGCGATCAGATAGTCGATCAGCGATAGAACGTGAGGAAAAGAAAATTCAACTGGAAGAGCAACGAATTCAACGAGAAAAACAGGAAATCCGAGAGGAAGAAAAGAGACTCCATGAACTTGCAAAAACTCACTGGCGGGATACCCGACGCCTACAAGGCCGGGATAACTACTCTGAATGGAGAAAGAACCTTCTGTTTGATGCCAACTATATTGGAGCCCAAGATGTTTTACTTTGTCCCAATGATGTCCCTAAAGACACCCCACTGCAGTTAGCTCGCTATACCACGTCAAAGCAGCTGCTACATACCCGAATCTTAGACCGTTTGACCCTCGATATCCTCCATCAAGTCCATACAGATCATACTCAACACCCAAGCGAGATCCTATTGCATTTAGATACCATTTATGGTGTCTCACCCGCAGAAGAACGCCTACTCCTCATCAAAACGCTCATGAATTTGAAACCAAATGGCAACACTGTTGCAATGATGCGGCAGTGGCAGCGTATAACCACTGAGATAGAGCGGAAAGGATATGATGTCTCAGAGATATGCCATGACATAGGCATCATCCTTTTAGGTGACTTCCAACGCTCATTCATCCGTGCTCAGTTGGATAGTCTTTTCGCTAGCTCAAAACGAGACCGCTTTCATGAGATGGATATGGCCGATGTCATTGACCAAATAGAAAGCCGTTCACCATCTTCACCACATGCATATCAACAGCTTTCATACACCATCTATCGACAAGATATTTGGAATCCCATCCATACCACCTCTGGCCCAACCAATCGAGGTACACACAAGGGGGGGAACACATCATCAAATACCCCTACCTCTGGCGAATCAACATCATCTAATAGACGATTACCATTCTGCTCCCACTGCAAACGAGGCAATCATTCACTGGATGATTGTTGGACTCTCCACCCGGAAAAACGACCCCCGAAATCTGACAACCTAAATCCAACATCAAACAACACCAATTCAACGCCAAGGAAACCAGATGGCTATGCCAATCTAGTCCAATCAGCAAACAGTGCAAATGACTGGGTACTAGACACCGGAGCCACCTGGACGATCTGTAATGACCAATCAGCCTTTGCCAATTACATGCCTTTGACTGTATATACCACAGTTGGAATACCTGATGGTAGTCAACACAGGGTAGAGGGAGTTGGAACTATCTGCCTGCCAATAGGAGAGCACATGGTTGAGCTGAAAAACATCCGACATGTTCCTACCTTGAAAACTCGCCTGCTTTCCTTTAATCAGCTGGAAAAGCAAGGATTCCGCATTCAACTCACTAATAACAAACCATATAGATTCCGGTTTACCAGCCCTGACGGCGCTGCTTTCTTTATTTCCCGAACAATAGAGGATGGCATGTTCAACTGTTTAGAGGAAGAGAAAGGTGTAGCGTACGCAGTAAATGACACCAAAGAACCAACTGAGAATAAATCACGAAATTTAACGCCAAATAAACCTCCACCAGCACCCATTGAACACTGGCATCATCGCCTATCACACATGAATCAGCATGACCTTCAGTACCTACACCGAATTGGACGAATTAATATTCAAGGAAAGAAACTCCTACCCACCTGCGATTTTTGTCGCCAAGCAAAGACAACCCGAAAAGTAGGCAATGGGCCGACACCCCGTGCCACCCAACCAGGCCGACGCCTACACGTTGATATATTCGGTGGTGGCCTGACCCTAGGCAAACCATCAGATGATGATACTCCCCCTGCGAATGGCAAATACAAATATGCCATGATCCTTACCGATGACGCCACCCGCATGCGATGGTTATTTCCTCTTCAGAACCGTGATAAACCCAACCACACCATCAAGAACCATATCGACTGGCTTGCCAAAATAGGCTATAACGTAGCCTACCTGCGAGGGGATGGTGAATTCTTCAAGAATCCCCGAGATTGGCCTGGCATGAAAATCGAACCATCTGCCCCATATTCACCCTGGCAAAATGGCGTTAGTGAACGTGGAATTCGGATTCTTCTGGAGCGCACTAGAGCCGTTTTATATGCGTCAAAACTACCACGCCGCTTTTGGCTAGATGCCTTAATGGATACAGTGCAGAAAGCCAACTATCTACCCACATCGACCCCTTTATTCAACAATCCAACACCGGATGGTAATATCCTAAACGAACACATCAAGAAGTCAGCCTTTTATATTCCCGCAGAAGCTTGGGAAAACCGCCCAATGAATATAGCCTACCTCCGCCCCTTTGGTGCCAAAATATGGTATCATCGTCATGGCACTCAGAAACCAGAAGACAAAATGGATGCCCGCGGAACATCCGGCATACTTTTAGGCCATCGAGCAAGCAATATAGCTCTGGTCTGGAATCAGGAGAAAGACACCATAATTGATGTGCCTGACGGGCATGTTGATGAGGGAAAAGTCTCACTCACCAACCCATCATTCACTGAGCCATCAATGGCTCTACCCACTCCTCCAACCAATCAACAAGCAACACCCCAACAATCTTATTTGAACGACACCCAGCCTTATTTAGACGACATCATGACATCCCCTGCCAAAGGATTTGCTGCATATACAGTCGGTGCCACATCTCGCAACGTACCCAAGACAATGAGAATCGCTATGGATCGAGATGATAAAGTTAAATGGCTACATGCAATGGAAAAGGAGATTGCGAAACTAGAGAGCAAAGGGATTTTTGAGCTTGTCCGCATTAGCGATATCCCGAAAAATAAGCGCATATTCCCTGGCAAATGGGTGTACGACAGCAAGGAAGATTATGAACCCACAGATGACCAATCTTATAAAGCCCGATGGGTGATTCTCGGCAATCTTGTTGAGAAAGATGATATGCAGTACGACTACTGCAAGTATGCCCCAGTTGTATTTGCAGCCACCACCCGCCTGCTATTTGCTTTAGCTGCCGCATATGGATGGCACCTGCGAAAATTTGACATCGCTGTTGCCTTCCTAAATGGACCGCTAATAGACGAAATCTACATGCGTCAACCAACTGGATTTGAAAAAGGCGACGGCCTCGCCTGGAGGCTAAAGAACTCAATATATGGACTTACCCCTGCAGCCCGCATATGGTACGACACCATGACTGCAGTATTTCACCGTTTGGGCTTCAAGACATGCCCATATGATGCTGGACTCTTCATCCATAAAACACGTCCACATCTTTACATCACCACCCACGTCGACGATTTCCAGCTCGTAGCCGAACGAGCTGACGATATTGAATGGACAAAGAATGCCTTAGCTAAAGAATGGGAGATAAAAGACGTTAGCGACATGACGTACTATCTTGGAATGGAAGTTGAACTCAAAGATGGATGTATTCACCTCAACCAACGCGAATATATCAAGGATCTGGTCCAGTCATTTGGACTAGAGAACGCCCACTCCCAGACCACACCCTTACCATCAGGCCTAGTGATAGATGATCTACCTGACGGCACAACCATCATCCAAGAATACCAGCGAGGAACTGGAAAGCTGCAATGGCTAGCAGTAAAGACTCGCCCTGACATAGCCGAAGCTGCAGGGATGTTAGCTCGCTACAATACCAAACCCACAAAGAAATGTTGGAACGCGCTCATGCATGTCATACGTTACCTAAAAGGAACAATTGACGAAGGAATTGTCTACTATCCTCATACACAGATGATTACAAATCCTCTACCGAAAGGTTTCGCAGACTCTAATTGGGGAGGGCCTAATGCAGGAAGGAAATCAGTAGGAGGCTTTATCTTTCTGTATGGCGGCTCACCTATCTCATGGAAATCGAAAGTCCAAAGCTGCGTCGCCACAAGCAGCAATGAAGCCGAATATATGGAAGGATCTGAAGCATCAAAAGAGGCTGTATGGCTTCGCCGTGTATGCATTGAAATGGGCATCGCCAAACCTGACTCTCCGCCCATTGAGCTCTACATGGACAATGAAGGAGCAATCGCCCTATCCTCAACAGAAGGGACCAAGAGATCCAAACACATCGACGTCCGATTTCATCATGTTCGAGACCTACGGGCCCTAGGCCTAGTCAGCATAGAGAGCATACGCTCAAGGGAGAATCCAGCAGACGGACTCACCAAGCCTCTAAGCACCCCAGACCACCGACACTTCCTTCATCTCATCAATATGGACCGACAACACCACCACCGCCATCAAAACGGCCAGACTTCAGATGGAAAATAGAAGCGAACCCTTGTCCCATTCCGTTTCCTATTTTATTTGTTATTCACTGTTTTTGTTGAACTCCAGATTTCCTGTATATCTGCTTTATTTTGTATGCGTTTTACTATGTATTTAGAGCTTCTGTTCTCCGGGCCCCAGCTCGTGCGAGGGGGGGTGTTAGTACCCATCGGGTCACGTGCTTGACCGCCCTCGCTTTCTGCCCGGTAGACATAGCTAGCCTGAGCCGATAGGCACTCAATAAAATCAACTACGTTTGCCCACTAAAAGCATCATCGTACCTACATGGTAGATCACCCATTATGCCGACGGTAACGTCTACTGCAAATCCCTGTATTTAACTATGTCAGCCACAGAGTCACTTGTGGCTGGAGCGGTGTCCGAACATAAGATAAAAGGATGCACACAGCATTGTTCTAATTTTCTTTATACAGCCACCAGATAGCATGGAGTTTGACCATTATGCTGAAGCAAAACAGGAACAGAAATCTACTGTTTGGTTAAAGCTCTTTCGGAGCAAGTCCCCTAAAACTCTGTCTATGCGACTTGCTACAAAGCATCGACCGTGCAAAACATTGGCGGCATGTCTATGGAAAAGCGGCGCTTTCACTATATGTTACCGGGTCAAATACGAAGATGGACTACATGTCATTGTTTGTTTTGTTGCTCTTGGAAGGGCCATTCTTCGCAGAGAGAAAGTTCAGAATGAAGTCGCAACAATGAAGTATATACGCCAAACCACTTCGATCCCTGTTCCTGAAGTGCTCGGTTCTGGTATCTGTTAGGTGGGCCCCTACATTGTTATGCCGTTTCTTCAAGGAGAGGCTTTATCAGAACTCATCAAAGATCGTTCTAAAGAAGGAAGGCCGGTCCTGAATTCGCAACTAAGCGATCGGAGCTTGAAGCAGGCTTATCGCGAAATGGCCTTTCTTGTCAATTGTCATCGAATTATCGAAGCTTGAGTTCGATGCTATTGGCTAAGTGGGTATGGATCGTTTACCTATGGTGCGCTTGAGGAGAATGAAGACCAATTTTCTGTTGCGAGGCGACCTCTCATTTTCAACGTAAATGAGTTGATGGTGTCTGCAAATTTCCTGAGGAAGCTTTCCCCTCGCACTTAGCGACAGACTACTTTGAATCGCTTGCTATGCAACATCTTCTCCATCTTCGGCAACAGCAAAGAGATGCTGTCGACAGCGAAGAGGGCTGCCAGAAGAAGTACACTGCTCGTTGTCTATTTCTTAATGTCGCGAAGAACCTCTGCGCTGAGCATCCTCAGGGGCCGTTTAGGCTATATTGCGACAACTTTCGTCCTTCAAACGTCATGATAGATCTCGAGACCTTCCGTGCCTCGGGAGTTATTGACTGGGAGTTCGCATATGCTGCACCTGCTGAGTTTACATACGTAGCTCCTTGGCGGCTCTTGCTGCAGAGCCCAGAGGATTGGGACGGTGATCTCAACCAGTTTCTGCTTCGTTATACTCCCAAATTGCGTGCTTTCTTGGAAGTCCTGGGTGACTGCGAGGTCAAGCTGGTAGAAAAACATGTCCTCTCTGAACCATAGCACCTCTCTCCACGGATGAAAGACTCAATGGAGACTGGGTTATTTTGGGTATGCCTGGCAGCAAGATACAGCTCCATGTTCGATGAAATCTACTGGACTTTCATCGACCAGCGGTATTATGAGACCTTCTCATCTCTTGATGGCCGTATCAAGCTTCTAAACTAAGAGCAACAACATGAAATAGATGAGCTCGTTGGGCTCAAAACTCGCCAATGCTCTGAAGAGGAGTTCGATGATCACTATCCTATCGATAGGCTACTTGAGTTATGATGTGTATTTGCTTGTAAACCATAACGATAGGTGCCACATTTACCCATCACCTAGAGAAGACTGGCGTTTATAAAGAATAGGCTAGGGAGAGCTCCCTTCAATACATATAGACACATTGTTCATCTTCCTGGCCATTGTTCTTGGACGATCCTTATTATTGTTCTCAACTACAATCGAGAAACAGCACACCTTCCATTGATATGCTAGAAGTATAAAAGAGGAATTTCTCACGGCCTAAATCATTCTATTCGCGACTAGTTGCTTTTTCGGAGATTTCGTCGCATCCTATCTTCACCTCCGTCGGCCGTCATCTCCGCAACGTCCATTCCACGACTTTTCCTCAGCAACCCAACAACAACTCCCAATGCCCCTCGCAAATGAAACCATGACAATAAATACTTCTTCCAGCTCCCAGGCTCACCAGGAGTCCGAGTTCCCAACCTGGCGCCCCCCTCACCCAGCAACCTCGAGCTCGAGCTCGCGATCCTCCTCCGCATCACCAACACCATCAGCGACAACAACACGAAAAGCAAAACCCTCACCACCCCTCGACCTCTCTAACTACCCCAATGGCGAGAAATCCCTCTCCGGAATCTCCCTCCGAGCCTTCCTTATCGGCACTACACTAGGACTCTCGACCTGTGTTACGTTATTCTTCGCCTTCCTCCAGCCAACGCCCCTATGGCGCGTTCCCTTCTTCCTCGCTTCGCTGTCGCTCTTCCATTTCCTTGAGTTCTACGTTACCGCTGCACATAACACGCGCTATGCGTCTGTCTCCGCATTTCTTCTCTCCAGCAACGGCTGGGCATACAATATCGCGCACGGGTCCGCGATGCTAGAGTGTCTCGTCGGATACTACTTCTTCCCCGAAAGCCGCTACTACACTCTCAACATCGAAGACACCTCCGGTCTCAAGATAACTCTGGTTCTGGGATTGTTCTTAATGGCGTTGGGCCAGGTCGTTCGCACGCTGGCGATGGCCCAGGCGGGGAGTAACTTCAACCACACCGTGCAGGTCGAACATCAAGAGGGACATGTGCTGGTGCGGAACGGAGTGTATGCGATTTCGCGACACCCGAGCTACTTTGGGTTCTTTTGGTGGGGGTTGGGGACGCAGTTGGTGCTGGGGAATGTGGTTTGTTTTGTGGGGTATGCGCTTGTGTTGTGGAGGTTCTTTAGCAGTCGGATTAAGAGTAAGTTTCCCCTGCTTGCCTTTCGACTCTGAAACTAATGCTGACTACATGTAGGAGAGGAGAAGTTCTTGGTCTGCTTCTTTGGAGACGACTATGTTGATTACAAGAAGACTACTTGGGTTGGGATTCCGGGTATTTAGTTGATGTACATGGAGTTCTTGAGAACAGGTTGATATAGACACATACTAATAGCTTAACTATATACTGCTTCCGTTACCTTTGTCCAGACAGGTAGCTCAGAATACCCAATCGAAAAGTGCAAAGAGCCTAGTGCTATCTTCATCGACGGTATCTTCACTCCTGATGCTCTCAATCGCTCTCTTCAATAACTGTTAGCAACCATAAACCTCGAAACCAAGGACCAAGAACCTACCGCAGCATGAACCTTCAAAACAAAATCACCGCCCAACGCACCACAAGGATCATGATTCAAAAACCTCCCAAACCCCTCCACCCACTCAACACGCTTCCTTCCCCTCAACTCAGCAGGCACACGCTCAAACAAAGTCCTCACGCACCCGCGAAGCAAAGCAGAGCACCCAATCACCTCAACCTTACCCCAAATCGGAACCTGATTCGGATGATGCGGCACAAGAGCATTATCAATCAAAGGCACAGCCGAATCCATAATATCCCAATGACTGGCTCCCATAGAATAGCATCTGCCCTGCATGGCCAGCGCAACGATGAACTCCAGTCTTGCTTGCTGCAAATTTCTGACTTTTTCTAAAACACCATCAATATCACTCGAAACTTCCTCGCTCCCGAAAAATACATTCGTCCCATCTTTTGTTTCCCTAGCATCAATCGAACCACGTTCACTCTCCTCCCCCCAATCATCCCCATACGCAGACCCCTTGAATCTCTGCGCCCAGTCTACAAGCCACCATTTCAGAATGAGAAATGCGCCCTCGGGGCCTTTGATACCAGGAAGCTCAGCTGTTTCTGGGAGTTGAGCGAAACCCTGTGCCATGATGTTAAGGGCATGGTCTAGTGCGGGTGGGGTTTTGCAGGCGAATTTGTGCAGGGCGCGGATGGTGGAGTATATGGCTTCTTCTTTGTCGTCGGCCTCTAGTATCATTTGGCGGAGTTTTAGGGATGCGGATTCGGTGGTGGAAGTTGTATGGTTTGGGGTTTGCCAGCTCTGGGCGTAGATGTGGAAGGCTGCGACACCGGAGGGTTCGTCGAGGATGTCTTGTGGTGGTTCCATTTCAGTGCTGCCAATATCGGTATAGGATTAGGAATAGAAACAAATCAAATCATTGGGAAGTGTCCAACTCAACTTTCCTATATCAGAGGCAATGCTGCTGTAACATAAGAAGATCGACAGTAAGGCGTTTTTACCAAACGGGTTATTCAAATATACCTTATCCACATTATAGATATCTATACAGTAATATATAACACATAAGCCAACGCCATACGCTCAAATTAAAATACCCAAAGAGTGTATCACAGCTTATTCTCCCGCGCAATTCCTCCAATTGCACCACTCATATAAGCACCCTCAGCCTCCGGCTGCTCAGGCTCACCACCAAAAATCACAAGCTCACGTCCACCTCTCGTGCTCCACCACGTAACGCAGTAATGCGCACGATCAACATCCATCTCGCCGCTACTCAGTGCATCCCAGAACCGATCGATGCAGATATCCCGCAGGTTGGCGGGACGGATAACATTAAGCAGACGCGCAGTGAGAGGGAGCCATTCTTCGAGATCCTGCACGCGCAGGAAGCAGAGGGAGTCGATTAGGGCGAGGGTTAGAGCAGCTTGTTCGGAAACGGGTGGTGATGGGCTCTGGCTCGGGTCCGCATCTGGGCCTTGTGATGGCTGTGGGAGGAGCTCGTCAGACGCTTTGAGTGCGCGGTCGTATAGGACCTCGAGTAAGAAGGATGGCATGAGTGGTTGATCGTTGGCGATAAGTGATGGTGGAGCGGTGACTTGGATGACCGTCTTGAAGGCGAGGCGGAATTGACGCGCAGAGAGATTACGAGGGAAGACCTGTGAGTGTCAATGTCATGCAAATGATACACACATTCTCGAATACATACAGCAAATAGATTATCGATGTAGAACGGCAGGTGTTTGGCAGATATGGCTGCATTTTTGGGTATCGCGAACACAGCAAGAGCCACACTATGCGCGGCCTCGAATATCTGAAGCAGATGCTTGTTCGCAGCGGCAGCAAGGTATGGAACCGCAGCTGATATGAGCAGCTCCTCACTTGTCTTTGGTGACAAAACGATCGTAAATAGTTCAGCGGTGTTGAGGAAGAATAGGTCAAGGCACCGCTCAAGTGGATGCGCCGGAATCTGACCGAGCTCGTTTGGCTTAATACTCCTGAGGAAATTCTCAACCAACTCAGGATACTGCGCGAGGATGTCGACGGCCGTCAACGAGACAAACATGTGCTGAGATGACGAGTTCTGGCCGATTCGGGACGAGATGAAGTACAGACTTCGGAGTACATGAAGTGCTTGCATTGACAAGTATGGGGCGCCTGACATAAACAGTTAGACGATCAAATTTGGAATATTGGAATAGGTACTTACTCTTATCATTTGAAAGGAAGTGATCATTGAGTACCCTCCCAAAAGCGCCACGAAGGACAATCACAACCGAATATAGACAGTTACGAAGGACCTTCCACAGCATGGGAACAGTAGTACTCAATGTCTCCGCATCTAAGAATAAGGACTCCTCAATTTGGTCAATCTCGGACAACTTGTTCTGCCGCCACTGCACCATCAGCGTACGAGAAAAATCCGCAATGATATCTACAGATTGCGAGACGAGTCTCGGGTCGCGGACATTCTCAACCGCATGCGCAATGAGGCGAGACAGCGGGCCCAGTGCAGAAATAAGTGGCTTGTTCGTGATCGCAGAGACGTGGGCAAAGGTGTCAGAATGCGGAGACCACTGGAATTTCTGGCCAGGGATCTGCACAACATCGTTGTCAACGGCTCCAATGAAATACCCACTCTCGAGTCCTTCTCGCGAGTTATAGGCGATCTGCAGCATCATGGGTAGCAACCGGTCGTAGTCCAGCTTGGCCCTTTCAATGTCGGATAGCAGTTCGAAAGTGTAGTTCAAAACCATTAGAACGCAAGCCCCCTCAATGCCATTGTGCGAACCCCGCTCCTCCAAAGCAAGTTGCGCAGCTGTCACTAGAGCAGACTCCAATTTCGTCCGCAAATGCCATGGCAAGCCCTGGCGATTCTGTCCCTCGCCTCCCAGCAGCACTCCTCCCAGTAACAGTACGTGTCTCCATCGGGGTGACTTTTCGTCCGCGCCGCTGACCACCGCCTTGATCCATGCTTCACGGCTGAGCTTCCTTGGTCCTCCGTACGGAGTTCGATTGTCTCCATGTTCTTCGTTTTGTATAACACCGATGGTGGCCGTGTTGAACACGCTGAGGATCTTGCGACAATCGTGCAGATTCACGGGATGGTCCCATATCGCAGGGACGGTCAATAGTTGCGATGCGAGAAGACTGACATTCAACGGATTCCCCAGCATAGACAAGAAGCCGGTGGCCCTTGGGAGTAGTCTGGTATTCTCGTGTTAGCTAGCTGAGCTGAATTTCGGAGATTGTCGGTCGGAGCATGTTTATCTCACGTGAAAGCATCCTGGGGACTAGACGAGGTCTGAAGCGACCTCACATGAGTCGCCAACGACCGCTCTATGGCCATATTCAAAAGAGCATGGGATGACCCTGAAGAGCCGGGGATAGTATTGTTATGGTCGAATGTCTGTCAACATCATCGTCGCCATAACCGCGGAGATGAACCCCGGATCACCTGCCGAGGCTGGCTGGCGGTGAGATGCAAACGGTACAAACAGGAGGTTTGATCTTATCGCGGCTCCAGCTTCTTGCTGTCAATAAAGTCTCATCCTCATTAATTGTACCAAAGACTATGTTGAAACGTTCTTCTGCTGCCAGCCGTCCCCATTGACCAAGGCGAAACTAGCCTGAGGGATAATGGCCAACAACCGCGTCCCGATCAACTACGAAATCCCCTCGTTCCCGTCACTTTATGACCCGTTCCCGACTCACAATACCTATGCCTACTACCTCTACTACACGCAGGATATATGGCGATTCACGCTCTATTGGACGTTCATTTTCTATGCGGCTACCCACCTCTCCGTCGCGGCTTGGGCCGTGGCTATGCAATGCCGCAGTTGGAAGACGGGCTTGATTATTCCAGTGATATACACGGTGATTGGGGGGTTGCAGGCGCTTATGGCCGGGAGTGTCGTTGGCTTAGTGTGGGTTCTCACTCTCTGGTAGGATTCTATGGGGATCGTGAGGCTAATTGAACCAGTCTCGGAGCAGTCTATGAATCTGGGAATTTCCGAATGTCAACATGGCTTCCTATGATATGGGGGGGTGTCAATGTGATGGTTCTGATACTGTCTAGCTTTCCGATGCAGGGTGGACTGTGACATAGAAAGAAAGGATCGAATCGTTCAATTCCAGTTCCCCGAAGTGGATAGAGCAGAGCAACCTATACCTTGGCTTCGCAACCGGGACAAGACGAACGGATTCAACACGCCGAAACGCCATCAAGGTATCACATTGAGGTACATGCAAGAGGATGACACGATCCTTTTCAACACCAGATTTATAATACACATGGTCAAATGCTACCCCCAGAAGATACACCAGTATCAAGTCCGAAACCGATTACCTATCGAACGCCAAATTCTTCCAATTATCTTCCAAATCCACCATTAGCACCACCACCTAAACCAGGAAGACCTCCCGCATTTAATCCAGACATCGCAGGGAAGCCTTGCGCGGGAAGGTTTGGAGGCAAGGAGACACCCTGGGACACGAGCTGTTTCTGCAGCTCCGCAAGATCGACGTTCATACCTGGCATAGCAGGAGGCATGGAAAACCCAGGCAGCCCTGTGTTTTGCTGGGGTGGCGGTTGGTTCGACATGAGTGCAGCCAGACGGCCAGGATCCATTTGAGGCATAGATGCCGCGTTGGGTTGTGGCGGAGGCTGGGGTGCACCGATGCCGGGTAGTATTCCTTGGGCGGCTCCGTCGGGTTGAGCGGTACCGCTCGATTGTATTCCCGGAAGAATACCTGGTGGCTGCCTTTGGTCCATAAGGCTATCCGCCTCATCCTGCATCTCTTGTTCTTCCTCTTCACGCATCTGCCGCTTTCCAAAACCGCGGTTCCAAGTTCCTTGGGCTTCAGCCGCCTCTTCTCCAATATGGAATCTATCCTTCATGTAGCCCGTTTCTCCTGGCCGTGCTCGAGACCAGAATCGTGTAAAGTTATCTTTGGAACCAGAAGCAAGAATGTGACCAAGCGGATGCCAGTCAAGAGACCAGATTGTCGCACCATGCGCGTATTGAACGCGATGAGCCGGGTGAACGACCTGCGCCGGCGTGTTGGCCGGATCAGGACTGTCGTACGGGGAAATCGTAGGAACCTGTCCCGAGGGCAAGTTGGGCTCGTCTAGTAGATAGTGATATAATGAGCCATCCTCGCTTCCTGTCGAGACGAGTGAGCTGTGAACGGGATGCCATGTCAAGGACGAAATGGGTTTCTCGTGGCCACGAAGAATGCAAATGTCCCGCATCATACGGAGGTCGAAGACTCTCGCGGTCTGGTCGCGCGACGAGGTAGCGAGAAGATTGCTGTTTACCCGCGAAAATCGAGTAGCCGTCACAGTGTTCTTATGGCTGTGAAGCGTAGTCAGGCACCGCGCGGTCCGAGGATCCCAGAATTTGACTTGGTGATCCTTGGATCCCGAAACCAACAGCCCCTTTGTCGGATGCCAATCGCACGACTTAACATCCCAATTGTGACCCGTTAATGTAGTGTCGCAGGCCATGGCCGTGAAGTCCCAAATCTTCAATGTCGTATCGTCGGAGGCCGATGCGAACTTCGAATCGCTAGGAGACCACGACAGATCCCTAACCGCGTCATGATGCGCATCGTCCATTGTCTCGACGTTGTTGAAATTTGGCCGCCAGTATTTGATATCGCCCCTTTGCCCACCAGAAATCAACCAGTCCTGACTGTGAGACCACGATAGTGACGTAACTCCTGCTTGAATTTGGTCATAATGTGCCTATCTGGAGATCAGTAACCAAGATATTTTCCAGAAATGAAGGTCGCACGTACGTCCATGACCGTTTCGAAGTTGAATGCGGTTCCGTTCCACAGCATGAATTCACCAGTATGCCCACCCGTCAATAATCGTCTGCCTTCCGGCGTCCACCTCACAACCGTAATTGGTTTCTTCGACTTTCCGATCGATTGATGTAAATGCCGTACGGGAATTGTATCTGCAGGCGAATGGACTCGTGCCATGGGAGGGAGCATCTGGAGAAGCAATCATGTCAGCCAACAATCCTCAGTCCTCATGCGTAGGATGAAAACCCACATCAACAACATAGCTTGCACTTGGTCTCTCAGCCTCCATTCTATGTCCTCCCTTGTACCGGGGCTTTCGGGTGCGCATCCATTGTACCAGCGACGAACCATAATCGGTCACAAGTCCTTGAACCCGTCAGTAACCGCGCCTGACAACTGGATCGGAGTAAACAGAACGTACTTGGTCTTCGTGGTCCCGCGGCTCCGCCATCGAATTTCCCTGGTCTCCCAAAATGCTGGGATTCGCCCCCGTGGTCGTCGTAGAAAGCCATGGCACGCGCCGTAAGAAGCTTATCGAAAGGTTGTTGCACGGAGGAAAAAAAGCTCACGAGGAACGCGACAGGGTCGCAATCATGGCAGAAAAGAAGAATCGTAGTATAATCACGCAAAAGAAATGAATTAATATGACAATGTCAGTATTCCAGCCTAAGGACTGAACCTGGTCTAGTCCTACGGTGGTTGTCGCGGAGGAAGTGTTGGAGATGCGGCTACAACTTAACTGCTGGGCGGTCACAGAAAACTGACGTCCGCCTTGGAGCTTCGCCTATCACTAAAGCTTGCTATCATACTACGGATTATTTCTAGCATTTATTTACTTTGAAAACCACGAAGCTCCAATTGTTACTTATTCTCGCTAACCCTGGTCGATTTCGCGATCCGAGACCTCCATGGTCGGCCCGTCCTATTAATATATTGGCCGCGGCAGCTCCAGCATCACCACGAGCAATCATCCCATCGCCCCCTCTCTTTAATCAATCGAACTCGTCATGCCGCTGAGGTACATTCTCGCTTTGCCAATATCCTGAATTCGTGTCATGAACGATTGCAACGAAGCCCGTCTAGGATTGTGATCCTGTCTGAGCGTTGTCCGCCGTGGAACTGAGGGGAAACATTGTGCTTTTGGAGTTCCTTCTTACAACGTTCTGGACACAACCATCCCTGTGGAAAGTTGAAAGAAGATGGATAATCCTAGGAGACATTCGACAACCAGTTTTACGACTACTGCGACCAGCAATGGTGGTTTATCGCTGCAGTCTAGGTCTTCGAACGCACCCGGGCACAATGTTCCGTCACCTGCCGGCAAAGCAGACCCAGGGATAACAAAGAGGACAACACGGAGGAGCAAGTATCGACATGTGGAGGCCTACCATTCGAAGCTACGGCACTCGAGCCTTAGCAGAGACTCGGGTGCCACCACTAGCTTCCTTGGTTTCCGCAACCTGATGGTGATTGTTTTGGGTAAGGATAGCTTCCAGAGTGGTTGTTCTCTTCAGGGGCTGACTTGATATAGTTGCTATGAACTTTCGTTTGATCATTGAGAATTTCATGAAGGTAAGTTGTTTGTTGGCTGCACATGTGATGAAGGACAGCGCTGATAAGTATTCAGTATGGTGTGCTCATTTGCATTAAATGCCATGATTACCGGAGGCAGGACGTTGTCCTTGGCTCTATCCTATTTGCTCTCGTTCCCTGCCACCTGTTCATTGCCTATGTGATTGAGCTCGTTATCGCCAAACAGGCCAAGAAGACAGTAGGCCAGAGAAAGAAAGATGCATCTGCCGAGGAGAACGAGCGTGGGCAGCAGGTTTATCAAAGGACCTGGCAGTTTGCCGCATTCTTCCATACGCTCAATGCGACACTCTGTCTCGCCGTGACGAGCTTTGTGGTATACTTCTACATTCATCATCCAGGCATTGGAACGGCCTGTGAGGTTCACGCCATTATCGTGTGGTTGAAGAACTGCTCGTATGCTTTTACCAACCGAGACTTTCGGCAGGCGATGCTCAATCCGTCTGCAGAGTCTGCGCTACCCGACATCTATTCTTCATGCCCGTATCCTAGAAACATTACGCTTGGAAACCTCACATACTTTTGGTTAGCTCCCACACTAGTTTACCAGCCAGTGTATCCCCGGTCGTCGCACATCCGGTGGTCTTTTGTGGCGAAACGTCTGGGAGAGTTCTTCTGTCTAGCCGTTTTCATGTGGCTTCTTTCAGCTCAGTATGCCACGCCGACGTTACGGAACTCGATTGATAAGATCGCCATCATGGATATTGCATCCATTTTGGAGAGAGTCATGAAGCTGTCCACCATTTCCCTGATCATATGGTTGGCAGGTTTCTTCGCTCTCTTCCAATCCTTGTTGAACGCGCTAGCTGAAGTAATGCGGTTTGGTGACCGCGAGTTCTACACGGACTGGTGGAATAGCTCCAGTCTGGGAGCCTACTGGCGGTCTTGGAACCGACCAGTGTATCTCTTCATGAAGAGACATGTGTACTCGCCGTTAGTAGGACGAGGGTGGAGTGCTCTCGCGGCGAGTACAATGGTGTTTTTCATTTCCGCCGTGCTCCATGAGATGCTTGTTGGGATTCCCACTCACAACATTATCGGTATGTTTCCCCTCTATTTCTAGTAAATGTACTTTTACTCACGATGGTATCAGGAGTCGCATTCTTCGGAATGATGTTCCAGCTCCCCTTGATCGCCATTACCACGCCATTGGAGAAAATGCATGATCCTCTAGGTAAGGTGATCGGCAACTGTATCTTCTGGGTGAGCTTCTGCGTTGTTGGTCAGCCACTGGGCGCGCTACTATACTTCTTCGCATGGCAAGCGAAGTATGGTAGCGTAAGCAGGAGCTAGGTGTGTGACATATCTCGAGTGACGACTTTGGGGATGTATATATTGAGGTTTTGGTGATCTTGGTATAATCTTGTTGTAGACCTTGCTATTTTGAAATGCGAACAATCAATAGCTTCATTCATGCTAGTGAATTCAACTATAGGAGGGTTGATCCTGACTAGTAAGCCGCTGTCGGCTGGAAGAGCGCAGTCTCGTCCTCTCAGAACTTATCAAAGTCCTCTCTTGTTCATGGGAAAACTTATTATTGATATTCGTCCCAGTTGGCTTGGCAGTCAACTACACCCATCAAAGCCCTCTAGTGATATTTGCTATCAACTTCGTCGCCATTGTTGGGCCTTCCGCGCTTCTTGAATTCTCCGTCACGGAGATTCAACGATGATCCCAGCCGGTCATTAGCAATTTGGTGAGTATTGCTTTCAGGTATGTCCCTAGCTTCAATCAATACTTTCGATAGCGGACGAAAATGAAAGCAATGCCCTCCAACTGATAACATCAATCCTCCTCCTTAAAAACAACCAAGTCGGCAGCCTGCTGTCAAATATGCACCTCATGCTCGGGCTGGGTTTTCTAGCCGGTGGACTGAGATACTCCGAGCAGGCCTTCAACAACACAGCAACCCAGGAAATAGGCACATTGCTTCTCCTGGTTGTTATGAGTATAGTGATTCCCACGCTATTCCATTCCTACTCATTATCAGCGAATGCAAAACCGTGCATCTATCTCGACGGGCTGCTTTCGTTCTGCTTTTTTTGTATGCGACTTTTTGTTTACTTTCAAATCTGGTCGCATAAGCCGTTATTCGAAGAATCTATGCTTAGCGATGAGGATGAAAAACTCGCCATGAACAGAGAAGCCACGAGGCAAAATGCTATCGAGGGCTCTCAAAACGTGCTCAAGCAAGACAAACCGCCCTGGCTTCAATAAAAGAACGAAGAATCAACACTCGCGAGCTCCGACGCGCATTAACCATCCAAAGAAGCCCCAGCCCTCCACGCCTGCTTACAGCAATCATAATTCTTTCCCTCGCCACAGCCCTCATCGGCCTCCACTCGACCTTTGCAACCGATGACCTACAAAACATGATGGAGCAGGCAAATCTCAGCAGGACATTCGTCGGCATGGTCATCCTTCCACTCCTAAGCAATGATCTTGGTCCCATCAAGGCCGCCTGGGAAAACCATATAGATCGATTCATTGCAGCGACGGTTGGGAAATGCGTGCAGACTGCATTGTTGGTTACCCCATTGGTTATCTTTATTGCCTGGGGAATGGGGGTGAAGGATGTGAGTTTGTATTTTGATGGATTTGAGGTTGCGACGTTGTTTGCGACATTGTCTGTATGTCAACTTTTTGATTCTGAATGGGAAGTCGAACTAGTAAGTTTTCTCGATCCATAGATTTTCTTGGTTGATTGTTGATATTTCGATCCCTGCAGCTTCGAAGGGGTAGCATTGATTGCGCTTTTCTTAATCATCTCCATCGCGGCGTACTTTTTTTGGTGAGGGCTAGACTGCCTAAACATATATAGATAGCTACATATATATCCATATTGATGTTTAATGGGTCCATTTATATATAGTAGCCGAAAGAGGAGCATCAACCGAGACGCCCGCCAACCAGGACAACAAACAACGTTCCTGGCGATCCTATACTTACCGGAGATAGCCGGCCCTATCGAGTCTATATAAACACCCTTTCTATGCTGTTCCATTCGATTCACTCCTGGATGTGTCACCGGATCGGGGCGGCGTTGATCCGGGTGTTCGGATACGGGCTAGAGTTCAGCCGCTGATGTCAAGTGTTTATCTTAAATAGAACTGCTCCCTCTTCGAAGTCAGACTGTGTTTGTTGAATTCTATTCTCAATAGAGATATCCTGACTCTAAACACTCATCATGGTTGTCATCAGTGTTCCGGATAGCTACGGGTGAGTCTCCGCGTCTACCCCGGGACCGATATCAATCGAGAATGTAGAAATCAACAAAGAATCAATTCTAATGCTATAACAGCTCCGTCATCGCCGTTGCCCTAGGCGCAATCCCCTTTCTGGGCTTCGTCCACGGCCTCATCGTGACCAGCAGTCGCAAGGAAGCCAACGTGCCTTATCCCCACAGCTACGCGACCATCGAGCAATGCAAGTCCAACGTAAGCCTCCCAACCCCATACCTACTAAGGACCAGCTTGACCTAATTGTAAAACCCCCAGCCCAAAGCCGAACAATTCAACTGCGCCCAGCGTGCCCACGGCAACTTCCTCGAGAATGCCCCGCAGACCATGCTCTTCACGCTTGTCGCAGGTCTCAAGTACCCCGGACTGGCTACTAGCATTGGCACCGCGTGGCTCGTGTGCCGGTCTATGTTCCTTTATGGATATGTCTACTCGGGCAAGCCGCAGGGTAAGGGACGGTTGATGGGTAGTTTCTTTTGGTTGGCGCAGGGAGCTTTGTGGGGATTGAGTGTGTTTGGGGTTGGGAAGGATTTGCTTTCTTACTAAACACCCTTCTATGATGTATAATATCCATGGATTATGATATTTCGTTGAATGCAACAAGTGTTTGTATTTCTACTTGTATAGTTGCGCCACACGTGGCTTCTCGGAGGGGTGGTAGATTGTGGCAGTGCACGCGGGGACTGATAAGGATTTTAGATATTCAGTTCCACAATTATTTCAGGCTGGATATTCTCCAATTGTTGAAATCACAGAGGATCTAAGTGATCAGTCTACATCGGAATCAAATACAGCCATGTCGTCCAAGTCGCAATTGACCTATAGCGCTCGCGCCAGCAACCACCCCAATGCGCTCGCAAAGCGGTTATTCCAAATCGCAGAAGCCAAAAAGACCAATGTGACTGTCTCCGCGGACGTGACAACCACCAGGGAGCTCCTGGACCTGGCCGATCGTACGTAGTTTGCTCTACAAGTCACGCAATTCTGAGCTCAATGCGCTGCGATGCAAGGCAAACCCAAACTGACCCGTCATTGATTCACAGGCCTGGGCCCTCACATCGCCGTGATTAAAACGCACATCGACATCCTTTCCGACTTCAGCGAGGAAACGATCACCGGGCTCAAGACCCTTGCAGAAAAGCACAACTTCCTCATCTTCGAAGACCGCAAGTTCATCGACATCGGCAACACCGTGCAGAAGCAGTACCACGGCGGCACCCTCCGCATTTCCGAATGGGCGCACATAATCAACTGCAGCATTCTCCCCGGTGAGGGTATCGTAGACGCGCTCTCGCAGACCGCATCCGCCGCGGACTTCCCCTACGGCCCCGAGCGTGGCTTGCTGATTCTGGCTGAGATGACCTCGAAGGGATCGTTGGCTACGGGTGAATATACCAAGGCGTCTGTGGACCACGCGCGGAAATTCAAGGGCTTTGTGTTGGGATTTGTGTCGACGCGGTCGCTTGGGGAGGTGCCGACGGAGGGTAGTGTTGCTTCGGAGGAGGATGATTTTGTTGTTTTTACGACGGGAGTGAATCTTGCGTCCAAGGGGGATAAACTTGGGCAGCAGTATCAGACTCCTGAATCGGCGATTGGAAGGGGGGCTGATTTTATCATTGCTGGTCGGGGGATTTATGCAGCACCGGACCCGGTGGAGGCGGCGCGACAGTATCAAAAGGCCGGATGGGAGGCGTATACTGCTCGTGTCGCAGGAAATTAAGTGCTACAATGTTGAACGGGTTATATACATCTTTGGCACGTCTTATCAGATGAAGATACCGGAGAATGACTGGTATATTGACAGCACCTCAGCAGAAGCATGTCATATCAACAACCAGCACCTTGTTTGTACACTATCCAATCCAATATCATCTCGATAGGCTGAATCCATCCATTCAGCGTGCTCCGAGATAACCACATAATCCTTCCTATCTCGCTTTGTTTAGTTTTCCCCGCAGTCCGTCAACTGATAACAGCCATTCCTCGTATCGTGACCTGTCATTCGCTGATCTCCTCTTTTCTCACCAGTGCATCGTCGCTCGGCATTTCCTAGTCCGGATGCTTAAGTGCTGTACCCCGGATATCAACGATAACAGCGGTCAATGCGGAAGGGAGAGACATGCAGTGTACTCCGTACAGATTATGCCATATGTACATAGGGTCGCCGTTGGCTGGCTGAGGGGTTTGGTTGTATTTCACCCCTCTTCTTCTTTTACCCTCCTTCTTTCATTCCGTTTGTATCTTTCTAATTATCATAATCATGACAGACGAGAAGCCACCAGCAGCTGTGGACATTGAGAAAGATGTCTCTACGGAGAAACAACCAGCACGCGCCCACGATGCGGACGAGGCGTTGAACGCCTTTGAAGAGCTGCAGGGGGAGGCTATTGAGCTTGATGCGGGAACGAACAAGCGGCTATTGAAGATAATCGACTGGCATTTGATGCCGATTATGTGCTTTGTCTATGGGATGAATTATCTGGATAGTACGTTCCCCTCATTTACTGTACGGCATCTCCGCTGATGATGCTAATTGGTCCCTGTTATAGAAACAACACTATCCTATGCAAGTGTTATGGGCATCAAAGAAGACCTGAGTCTAGTGGGAGATCAATATCAATGGCTGGGGAGTTTGTTCTATTTTGGTATGCTTCATTTACCCCATTCAATCCGAACTAGATCTGATCGATACAGGCTACCTCGCATGGGAATACCCAACCAACGTTCTCCTCCAGCGTCTACCCCTTGGTAAATATTCAGCAGCATGCATTCTAATTTGGGGCGCGATTCTCTGCTGCTTCGCCGCTGTAAAGAACTACCCCGGCGCCATTGCAATTCGCTTCTTGTACGTCCAAACACACTCGTTCACATGACAGCATATTAACAAACCAGCCTCGGTGTCTTCGAAGCAGCCGTAACGCCCGGCTTCGCCCTCCTTACCTCGCAATGGTACACTAAACAAGAACAAGCCAGTCGCGTCAACATCTGGTTCAGCTTTAACGGCTGGGGCCAGATTCTGGGCGGTTTCGTCGCCTATGGTATTGCTATCGGTACAGAACGTCATGGCTCTGCTATTGCGTCTTGGAAGATCGTCTTTCTGTGTACTGGTTTGCTGACTCTCGCCCTGGGGCTGATATTCCTCTGGGTCGTGCCAGATAGCCAATTGAATGCGCGCTGGTTGAAGAAGGAGGATCGGGTGCTGGCTGTCGCAAGAGTCAGGGTCAACCAACAGGGTATTGGAAATAAACATTTCAAGTTCTATCAAGTGAAGGAAGCCTTGATGGACCCGATGACATGGGCGTTCTTCTTCGTTGCGCTTATTGCTGATATCCCGAACGGGGGAATCACCAACTTCTTCAACCAATTGGTACGCCCACCCCCTCCCCCAAGATCTCGACTAAGACCAGGTACTGACAAACGCAGATCACAAGCTTCGGCTACAGCGAAGAGCAATCCCTTCTCTACGGCGTCCCCGGCGGCGCTGTCGAAGTCGTCGCCCTCATCGCCAGCGGCTACACAAGCCACATCACCCAACAGCGCATCCTATGCAGCACGGGCGGTCTGATCTGCGCAGTCGTGGGAATGGTGCTTATTGTCGCGCTGCCATTAGATAATGACGTGGGTCGGTTGATCGGGTACTACATGACGCAGGCGAGTCCGACGCCGTTTGTGGCGCTGTTGTCGTTGGTGTCGAGTAATATGGCTGGATATACGAAGAAGACGACTGTGGCGGCGCTTTATTTGATTGGGTATTGTGCGGGGAATATCATTGGTATCTTCCTTCCCTTCAACTCTTTTTTCTTACAGAGAAAGACAAAGGATGAATGCTGATTATGATGAAGGACCACAAGTCTTCCGTCCCAAAGATGCACCGCGCTACGTCCCCGCTGAGATCACGATTATCGTCTGCTGGGGCGTGTGTCTCCTGATATTGGCTTTCATCTGGTGGTGGTATAAGAAGGAGAACAACAAGAAGGCAGATATTAGGGCGAGGGAGGATTATGTGCGGTTGGAGAATCAGGAGTACGTTGCCCTTGTTTACTATGTGGAGTGTGTGTGGTTGCTAACTAGTGCTAGGTGGTTGGACTTGACGGATTGGGAGAATAGTGAGTTTGTTTATTCGTTGTAAGATTTACTCTGAGAGTATACTATGCATGTGGTTATTGTTATGGACATAGTTAGGTAACTGGATTACCATTTACGATTAATCAAGTGATGAGTGATGCTTTGATGTAGACAGTATGATGCATATGCCATAATGTAGTCCAACTTAGTCTAACCAGGCAAGACTCATACGTCTCCTCGCCTTCTTCCCCTTCCGACTCATAACCTGCCACCCCCCCCCCTGTTCACCCTGAGATGTCGACGTAACCCTCGGCGTCGGACGAACACACATAACCGGCAACGCCAGCTTACACAAAGTGCGCAGTCTCTTCGGAAGTTCAACATAGAGCAACTCGTCTTGTCGACGACGCTCCTCCTTCAGTGCCAACGCTAGAGCTACCTGCTGCGCCTGTCGCTGCTCTCGCTGCTGACGTCCACACACCTCCTCTAATCGAGCCCGGTGACGCTGGCGCTCATCCTCCACCAGGTCGCAGTGATAGAACTTGTCGTTCAGATCAGGCTCGCCGTGACTTTGCTGACTCCCACCCCGACTCTGGCGACGTTTGCGTTCCCGCACGCAGTTCACACAGCGGCACTTGGTCGGGTGCCCTTCGATCACTGGTTCCTTCAGTGGCTGTTTGTCTGAGGCGGTCAGCTCAGAGATGGTGTAGGTGGGTTGTACCGTCTGTTTCTTCCGCTGATACAGCAGGCCTGTGGCTTCTAGCTGTTCGTGGAGTTGCTGGTAATCGGTGAAGTAGTCGATGGGTTGGGCGGAGCGAGGGTTAGAAATGTTGGTGGCGCGGATGGTGGAGAAGGGAGATGGAGTGGTGGGTTGGGTGCGTTGATGAGAGAGGTTCTCAAAGGTATCGTGGGCGGTGAGGTTGATGAGGGAGGTAAGGTGGGAGTTCATGTTTGTGACTGGGTGGGTGGGTATAGTGTGAGAGATGAGTAAAATAGCCAATACTACTGTATAGTGTCGACTGTAGCACGATGGGAATAGTTGAAGAAGAAAGAAAGAAAGAAAGAAGAGGGAGAGGGAAAATGGCTATGCTGGGTAGCAGGCTATAGCGAGGCGAGGCTTGTCATCGAGTGCGTGGTAGGTTATGGTCAGAAGGCTAGTTGAATGAAGTGCCTGAATGGTTTCCTGGTTCGAGGAGGCAGAAGAGTTGCGAGCGAGATTCGATTGGTTTGTATACAGGTGACATAGGGGCTACCGTGGTGTACTTGTCAGAGTGAACAAACTACATAAAAGTCATTTGACATAGTACTTGATATCTACGAGCGACTTATCGGTTGTTAGTTCTTTACGAGGACGGTAATTCCATCGCCTCGTAGTAGGTCCTTTAATAACATAACACGCTCTAATCAGGAATACCAATATCGAAAAGTACCAAATAACTATATTAATAGGGCTACCTAGTGTGGACCGTGGTTGAGCGGAGGCAGTGATCCAGGAACTAAGTGACAACTGTCTTTCTGATATCCACATTCATCTTCAATTCAAGAATATTCCACAACTTCTAGTGACATTCCGGAATCAATAATCCAAGCACAGAGTTGATGCATTGATCAAGATAAGATCAAACAACAACGCTAACCCAAAGCAGCGGGTCTAGAATCGGACCAGTCACCGCTGTCGCCAGAGTGGCGGTCAGGGGGGTCGGCCAATAAGATCTGATAGATACAGTCCGTGCGGCGGAGAAACCGAACCAGATCGGCAAAGTGGGGATTTGACAGCGGTGATTGGCCGGGGAACCGAAAATGGAAGCGCGCGCCACTTGAAACCGGAAAGCGCCTGACGAATGCGGAATTTCGGACCGGTGATTGGTGCCTGTCACTGCCGCCACGGGTTCTTAGCGAGGGGCACGTACAGATACTTACAGAAGGATGAATAGAGACAGTTAATTATGGTATATGGATGAAACAGATGCGATGAAAGGTGAATGAATGGCTGACATGCAACAATAAATATTCCAGGCAGCAAACAATGAAATTGCAAGAACAAAAAAGAACAACAAATAGAACAAAAACAAAAAGATCCTTAGTCTAACCGAAGAGAAGCTAAAAACGCTAAAAACACTAAAGAATAGTATATTCCGTCGGTGAAAAGCCTTATAAACCGCATGTCCTGCATTTCTTCACTTTCTGCACTTCTTTAATCTTTCTGCATATAATATTCTTTACAGACGTTGAGCGTCTCGGTCTCTCTCTCTAGGCACCCGTTTGCATGTGACTTGTACCTGGCGTACATACCTGACATCATCTCGTCTGTGTTGCACCCTTGCGTTTCGTCGTTTTCGTCCAATTCTCCCTGTCACTCGTTGCCTGATTTCTCCTTTATGGCCAACTCCTTTTCTATTCATACAAAATCCCTTTCGACCCCAGCGCCAGAAACCACTGAAATCAACCCGGATGGAGACATAACAACTGCTTCGAGGAAGCCTTCGTCCTCGACCACCTCGACTATGGATCTCGGCTCACCTACTCGTCACACCCCGAAACGATCGCGAACAGCGACTTCCTCACCTCCGTCCTCCTATAGCCATGCCTCGTCCCACCACTATCGACCAACTTCCCGGAGTACGGCCCACTCAAACCCTACCAGCCGTCGCAGTTCGCGGCATTCTTCGCCCCGTCGGGCGCCTACTTCAATATCCCTGACCCCGTCGGTACATAGCGCGAGTCGCCGTCCGCCGCGTCAGAAACGGGAAAGCCTATTAGCACTGCATCGGGAATCATGTCGGTTATTCCAAGTTCCAGACCAGGAGGTCATGTCTCCCCCGCCGATTTCGACAAAAATGTCCGTCCAGCATATCTCTTCCGCTGCGTCGTCAGATATCGGCTCGCCACCGTTGTCGCCGGGGTTATATGCGCAGTCTTCCATCTCCGATCGATCTCTAGACCATGGCCGGCCCAGTACGATATACCCGATTCCCGCAGAGCCTCCATGCAAGGAACCATCCAATACAGTCAATACAGTCATCGACTGGACCTCCCCTTCCACCCGACGGCGGGAGTACGCAAAGATTGACCGCGCCAGTCATGGTGTCCGAGGACTATGGCGCAAAGTCGCGCCACGATGGTGCCAGTTTCGAAATGACCGAATGCCGTTCTTCGAGCCGGATAAGAACGGCAAAACCAACTATGAGGGTAGCGTGAGGCGGTTTCGAATGGATCTCCCTGACGAGCCGGAGCTGGCTAGATCTCGTCGGGGAGGGTTTAGACTTGGGGGGAGGAGGCACACGGCTGTCTAACCTCTACCCCGTCTCTTTTGAGTTTTGATTCTATTGGCACTCCATTTTTAACAGAATGCTTGCGTTCATGATACCACGACCACCGCCACTGCACCGCGCATTGATTGCAGGAGTATACGCCCTGCCTTATTTTTTTTTTTTTCGCTTTAATCACCTAATCGGATGATATTATGATACCCAGATACACACGTTATTGATAATCGTTGTTAATCACGCTTAGTCCAACTATACAATACAAATCCTTTTATAAAAATTCTCCAACCAACGCCGTAGTAGATGCCAGGGTATATTTACATCAAATCGAAGTCGTCCAGATTGTCGCGGTAGCGCATGATGTTGCGCTTGATCTTGCTGGAATCAACCCATGTCACGAAATCCTCCATATTCCGAGTCACCAGGAACGCAGGGTCGGTGACAACCTCCGTTCCGACACGCACATGACCCTGTTCGATGAACGTAATCGCCTATCCAGTAAACCCGTTAGCACCGCACAAAAGTACCGCTCCATATTAAGGGGAAGGGAAGCGGGTCAGAAAAGATGAACAAGCCCCATCCCATCCATCCCAGGGGAACCAAGGGAAAAACATACAGCTTTAACATTCTCCACCATCCCACTCCTAACCATCAAAATGGCCAACCGCCTCCTACAAAACGCCGAAACAGTAACCTCCCTCTCGACCCTACTCAGCCCAGCCCCCTGCTCCCGACTCTGCTTCAACACCCCCATCCGCCACAACTTCTCCAACACATCGCTCTCGACCTGTTTTCTAACGGGATCGGTCTCGGGGTCTAGCGCGGAGAGCTTGTGCGCCAGTTGGCGGAGGGAGCCGGCGAGCACATTGTATTTGCGGTAGTCGGCGGGGTCTTGGAGGTGGTAGCGGGCGCGGACGGTGTGTTCGCGGTGGTCGCTTTCGGATTTGTAGTTGTGGAAGTCGACCTTGCGAAGGAGTCTGTTTTGTTTGGGTTAGTTGTCTTTTTGCGTAGGGGGGGATGGGGGTTGAGAAGACGTACTTCCGCTCGTGATGCTTGAATTGGCGGACCATTTTGGGGGTTTTCGGTTTATTTGGAGAAAATCTGGATAGCTTTTGCGAATGCGATGATGGCGGTGATAAAATTTTGGATGCTATCTTAAGGCGGTGTGGTTCTGCCGGAGGTTATATATGTGCAAATTGTGCAAACATAGCTTAGTCATTTGTGCTCGCACAAGGAGTTTTGAACGACATAAATTGGAGATAGTTACTTGAGGCTACAAGTAGTTAACTACGGAGAAAATGATTGACTAAGCAGCAATCAGAAAGATAACTAGTTACTAGTTAGCAGAAAAGATCAGCAAAAATGATATAATTCAAGCATGGACTAAGGAATGAAGGTGGCAATCCCAATTAGCTGCATTAACATGTAACTGTTAGGGGTTGAACTTGAGTTGTCTTAACTAAAAGCTACCCTTTATCGTACAAGAAGGAATCATTGAAGAAGAAACAAACGGAGCAGAAGCGAAGGCAGTCTTTTATGGACATCCGGGGATGACACTCTTTCCTTGGAAGTCAGGAGTCGTACGAAGGAGTCACCGCTAGTCCTTGTATGCAGAGGGTTCGTATGAAGGTCGTCAATAATTGATTCAGAACCCTTGCAGGTTGCGTTCCGTGCTGGCCTTGGCCGAACCTGTCATCTTTTGGGTTCGTACGAGAACCCCATAACAGTAACTAAGCAGGTTTGACACTTTGTACTCCTATGTATAGCGGGTGATATAACAGTGCATAAAGAATGAAAGACCTTTGAACTATTCTAGGCCATTGAACTGCACAAAGAGAGAAAATAAATAGCATAAAGGTACTCTATACTCTACTACAGAGTATGTAACTAGTAAGAATCCACTTCTTTTATCCGACAAGCTCTTCTGAGTAACTAGATCATATCTAAAAGGGGATATAGTGGGCTTTGGATTTGTGCTGCTGGAGCTTAGCAGTCGTCGAACAGTCACGTGTATGGCGTTTCATATTGGTCGACACAGAGAATGCTCTGTCGCATCCAACATCCAATGTTAGGACAGTAGAAGGGCTTCTCGCCCGTGTGAGAACGGATGTGGGTGTTGAGAGCAGAGGGACGTGAAAAGAGCTTGTCGCATGATCTGCATCCATACTGATTGTAGTTCTCGTAAGATGTTCGGATACCCTGCGGGAAGACACGGTAATGATATTCGGTCTGGCTGATTTTTCGACAAAAGGTGAACCTTCAACCAATTGTTGGTAGTACCAACCTCTGTGCGCGTGCTTGACTACTGGCTTGCCCAGATACTGGTCCTTAAACTGCAGTCATTGTTAGTGCTAACGTACCCTATCTCAAATACATGAGGCCAAAGCTACTTTTTGAAATGATCATTGTGAGATGACTCATGGCCAGAAGAATCTGAGACCAGCCATCTCCGAGGACCCCGGTTGCAGTACTTCTTTATTTATGAGTGCTTATTCCCTAGTCCTGCGGGGACCTAAGTCCGAGCTAAGCATGTGGACTCTGTCTCAAGGCCAGCATAGGTGTTGGACCGAAATCTCAGAAATCGCGCGCTCGCAAACCCTAGCACCAGAGACACCTGATGCCTTGAGGCTGAGAAGCCGACGCTACAACATTTCATCAATATTCTGTTCTTTTCATCCCCTGACAATAGCTCTCAAGAGGACCTGCAGCTCCCGGGAGTGGATGATTTAGCGGGGGACGAAAAATGGGTTCCTTGAGCAACGCCAGCAGCTATTGAATGGGTCCTTTCTATTGCTACCAGCATCTCAGACTCGAATTACTCGCAGGGAAACAAGAACGTCTCTTAAGTGCGCCACCTCCCCCAAAATTTAAATACTTTCTTTCGATTTAATTGTGAATTAGTATCCGCTAGAAAAATGTGACCATGAGCCGGTCAACTTGGTCTTGATCCAATTGGGCCATCCGCATAGATTCAACTTGTTTCACCGCCACATAATAGTTGAGAATATCATTATGCAAGAGCTGGGCTAGGTCCGGTGATGAGGCTTTTAAAAGCTGCAGAGCATCCCCAAAGGTCCGAGGCAATTCCTCAGGAATATCAACCGAATCAGCGACAGTCGCATCCGAGGCTAGGGACACATCGGAGGATCGCAGGGGTCGCTGACACTTAATTCCTAGCAAACCAGCAGCCAGAAGGGTGGCTAATGCTAGATACATATTGGCAGTGGCATCGGCGCACCGGATCTCCCAGTGACCAGGCTCGATCTTGCGCACGGCTACATCACGGTTTTCTGTGCCCCAATCCGCTCGTTCGCCGGCCTCAAGCCTGCCAACCCGTTCGTACGATTGCGCAAAAGGCATAGTGACGGCACATATTCCGGGCAAATGGTGCAGCATACCTGCCAAGAAGGAATCTTCGTGATCGGTGGGCGAGAGAGAAATATGAATATGTTCTCCGCTGCCTTGGTGCAGCTGCGGGAGTTTTGGCACCATGGTGGCAATGTATCCGTGCTTTTTGACGGTGGTCTTGACCATGTCATGCACTCGAACTAGCTCATCGACAGCCTGAATTGGGGGAAGTGGTGCAAGAGCTATTTCAAACTGCCCTGTCGTCCCTTCAACATGAAAATCCTGTATCGATACTCCAGCGCTTATGAGCTCTGTCACACATTCTTCCAGATACTGAAACGATGGTTCGCGCATGGATGCAACACAGTAATGCCCTGGACCAGAACCAAGTGGCACGAGGAGAGGGTCGCCATCCTTCCTGTTGTTATTGTCCTGGAGGATAACCAATTCCACCTCGAACCCAACCAGGAATTGGATACCCCACCGGCGAGCTGCCAGATTTAAAATCTCGGACAATGCCTGCCGAGGGCATTTGGAGGAATTTGGACGATTTTCATCCTGAGGGAGTCTCTCGATAATGCTGCACATTACCGTTGCATTGGCAGCACTACGACCGCAGCCAAGGGTCCGCAAGGAAGACCAGTCGGGATGTAACTCGTGCACACCGGAGCGAGGTAGATCAGGCATGATGGAATTGTCAGCGAGAGCCTGTAATGTGATAGGACCGCATCGTAGAGGCTGGTCTGTACAAGCAAGCTTCAAGGCATGAGTTTTGTGCAAGCAACGTGCCCGTAAAATACCCGACAGGTCAACCCACTGGTAGCGGATAAACTGGACATGTGGATGAGAGCCAAGGAAATCTGAAAGTGAATTCTCGCAAGTGGGTGGGTAACTGGTTTTCGGAGAGCTTTCTGGCGTGGGGGCGGTAGTTGGGGACTCCATGACAAGTCGTGATGGCGAGGAGATCAGGAGACACAACTTCTACTCAACAATGAACAGTTCAAATTTTATAACGTGTCTTTTAAACGGCCACTTTTGTAATGATGGGCCATAGGCAGAGAGTTGTGGATAATAGTGTAGATCACAATAAGGGCTTCACCGCTGTTCGTTTCTGCACAGCAAGATACATACAGACTAACCTCACTTCGGTCATGATGGCTGAAGATCTCGAAACTAATCGAAACCAATAGTCGATATTTGTACATATACCAGATCTGAATTTTCAGATCTGCAAGCCCCGCCGAACCTTCAGGTGATAATCTGTTATGTGGGGCTAAGAGTTGCCACGATTTAGAAGGGTTGATAACGGGAAAGGAAACACGGAGGCACAAGGATACGTTTCTGTATTACCGCCCAGTTAAGAAAGGCTATGGGCTGCTGTCCTCAGAACTAATCGCTGGCCTCCTGAATGTGAGGCCAATGTGAGAGCTATATATACATTGTACAATGACGGGCATATATACGCCAAGATGAGCTGAGTCCACCAGCCGCACGAGCTGAGGTCTCAGCCGCACAGACTGAGACTGCCAACCGCATTCCGCATTCCGTCCTAAAAATATCGTACCCTATGGTGCGTCGGAGTTGTGATATTATATGTATAAATAGATAATACCCGAGTGAGTTTTTAACATCAATTTGCTACAGTATTCCCAACCTACCTTGGATCTCAACCTGTCCCTGTTTATAATTATGCAAGTTATAGCCTCTGCCGCGTCGTCCTCCCCCTCCTCACCTTCCCATAAGGAGGTCACTCTGCGGTCATGGGCGAAACTCAAGACTGTACTCCAAAATGGCCTTGTTTATTTGGATGGAACGAGCTTGGACATCGCCAGTGTGATTGCTGTTGCTCGGTAAAGATATTTTCTCTTCAGATTCTTAATGGCGGCGAAGACCTGAACATGGCTGATAAAGTCCCATAACCAAGTGAGGGATGTGGGGCACAAGTCTCTAGTGAGCCTGAAGTCGCCAAAAAGGTCCACGCAGGCATTGAGACGCTGAATGATTACCTGGCCAAAGGTTACTCTATCTATGGTACGGCGCTTCCGATAACCGTCGAGAAAGAAAGAAAAAAAGTAAATTGGAACTGACTGCTTCTCTTCAGGGGTCAACACTGGGTTCGGAGGCAGCGCAGATACCCGCACACCGGATGTGGCTCGTTTACAGCAGTCACTGCTCCAATTGACCCAGTCCGGTATCTTAACGGGGACTGACTTCGTTCCGCGAGTGGGTGATTACAACTTGGGCTCCCATGCCATGCCTGTGGCGTGGGTACGGGCCACAATGCTTGTGCGGTGCAATCACCTTCTGCGAGGCCATTCCGGCGTGCGGCTGGAAATCATTGACGCCATGTTAAAACTGCTCCAGATGGGGCTCACTCCGATTGTGCCCTTGCGGGGCTCGATTTCTGCATCAGGCGACCTGATGCCCCTGTCATACTTAGTGGGCGTTTTGGAAGGAAACCCGGATATTCAAGTTCATTGGGATCGACAGCCAGAAGTTCAAATTGTGTCGACCAACATGGCACTGGAGATCGCCGGTCTTGAGCCCTTCATCCTGGGACCTAAGGAAGGCCTTGGTTTGATAAATGGTGCGGCCGCTTCTGCGGCTGTAGGCGCTTTGGCAGCGGGTGAGGCCAACCAACTCATGCTTCTGGCGCAAACCCTCACCGGCATGACCTGTGAGGCCATGTTGGGAAATGCGGAGAACTATCATGAGTTTCCGGCTAAAATCAGGCCTCATTCTGGCCAGATTGAGGTGGCAGCCAATGTCCGCAATGGGCTGTTAGGCTCTCGGATGGTTGAAACTTCGGCCGGAAAGGACCACTTCCGGCAGGGACTGTTCCAAGATCGGTATGCTCTCCGCGGCGCTTCGCAGTGGCTCGGACCGGTTGTGGAGGACCTAGAACTGGCCGTACAACAGATCACCACAGAGCTCAATTCCACCCAGGATAATCCTGTGATCGATTCGGAATCGAGGGAAGTGTACTTCTGCTGTAACTTCCAGGCGGCATCTATCTCAATGGCCATGGAGAAGATGCGCGGGGGCTTACAGATGGTTGGGAAACTCTTGTTCAGCTACTCCTCTGAGCTCATCAACCCGGATCTGAATAAGGGTTTGCCGCCCAATCTTGCGGTGGATGACCCTAGCCTGTCATTTACTATGAAGGGCGTGGACATAAACATGGCCGCGTACATGTCGGAGCTTGGATTTTTGGCAAACTCGGTGGCTTCGCATGTGCAATCCGCCGAAATGAACAACCAACCGATTAACTCGTTGGCCCTAATTTCTGCACGATACACACTGCAGGCGGTGGAGCTGGTCTCCATGATGAGTGCGGCCCACCTATATGTGACATGCCAGGCGCTGGATTTGCGCTTGCTCCACGAGACCTTCTTGGATGGCCTGGAGAGTGTGGTGCGGTCAACGCTACTGATCGCGTTCGATTCGATGGAAACGGATGCGGCGCAACGGCTGCAGACCGAAGTCATTAAGTCTCTTCGCAGTTCCTGGAAGGTAACCTCGCGCGAAGACCTGTCAGTTCGGATTCAAGCCTTCTCCACAGCCATGGCACCCGTCCTATTGGTGCATGTAAACGACCTGAACGCGAAGGATGCTATCTCAGCGATAAATTCGGTACAGAAGCGCATCTGTGAGGAAGGACAGTCGCTTTTCGAGGCGACGCGGAACCGAACCTATTCTGGTGATCTCAACGCAGAATCCTCGCTGGGACCTGCTTCCAAGGCTCTCTATTCCTTTGTGCGACGGGACCTTGGCGTTCCCTTCCATTGTGGCATTTGGGAACATCCCACTACCGATGCTCAAGCAGCGGCAGGAATGCCACAACGCCCACGAAAAACGATTGGCTCGTGGATTTCAATTATCTATGAATCCATCCGTGATGGGCGTATCCGTCAGCCCTTACGTGCTGACTAGTGCGGCACCAACGGTTCGAGCGATTCGACAGGACGGAACTATCTCATATAACGCTCTTTATATTGCTAGCTTGACTGATCAGATCAACAATCCGCCATTCCGTGTACGGATTGCCCTCAGAGTAGCCGATCAGCGTCGAAAACTTCTGGATTGGTGGCTGGAATATCAAATAAATACTGGCCCTTTGGCCAAGTGTTTTGCTCTCCGGAGTTCTTGCAAACGTATTTATCTTCAAAATTTTTGGGCGTCCATTACTTTATTTCCGGGTAATGTTCAGCCTGAAAGTAAGTAAATTAGCGGTTTTGTTTAGAGCCTTGAAGAGTTCCTACACAACACAGTTTCTGCCCTCGCCGTCTCACACCGTAGATCAGATCCGTGACCGATCTCTCTCCGATATGACCAATATAGTCTCTTCGTAGCTGAGAAGGAGTCGGATAATGTCCACATGCTCCATGACTATTGCGACCTGAAGTGGCGACGTCCCTGTAGGGCTTTTTCAGTTGATGTCGGCCGAATTTTGCAAGAGGAGTTTCACCATGGAAGATTGTCCTGCACGACATGCTGACCAAGCGGCGGTACTGCATCGGCACATTGCGGCCTTACATGAAGCCCCGGCTGTTGGAGGAGATTCACCAGGGGTAAGGAACCATTTTCAGCAGCCCGTCCTAAGGGTCTGTCCGGGCCTCCACAATCACCGTATTCACTAGATCCCGCCGGATCGCTACCGCCACTCGCTGGTCTCGAAGGGATCCCGCTTCTGGCCAATATATCTGATATCCTCCATGTCGGAACTCCATATCGATATAGGGTTCCTGTAGGCATGCTAGTCCCACCCCTAACTCCAGCCCCGCCTCCAGAGCCGCAACAGTGACTGTATAGGTCCTGCGGCAATTATGCTGGAGAAGTCGCATTAATGGGGTGTCGACTGCCCTGGGGTGTTGGTGCCCCTCATCTCAGTGTCCTCCTCTTGGCGGATTGTCAGGCCAGATCCTATATTCCGTTGGGTGTGGGGACTGTTAGGAGCTGAGCTGCTCCGTTGCCGTGATCTGTATTGGTCCCGATTAACCAGTGAACCACGGTGAGCTTGGAATGGCTGGTTCCGGGATGGTCATTCGCTGGGGGCTCTCAGCTGGCGGGAATATGTTCTTAGACTCTGTGGTTCTCTTCCTCAGTTCCTTCCTTGCTGCCCGTTTAGCAGGGCAATTCCCTGCTGTCGCTGGATGTGGGCCTCCACAAGTGCCACACTTGGCCGGAATGTGTTGGCAAGCAATTCCTGGCTTGGCAGGGCAGTCTACTACCCGACACATGTGCTCAGCGCCTTCATGGGGATCTGCACATATGAAGCAACACGGTGCATGGTTCCCGCAGGCCTTGAATCTTCGGTGGCCCAACTGGCAGCACCTGGGGCAGATTGTGTCCACTCCTGTTTCCCAGTATTGCTCTGTCCTATACCGAGAACCTCCGAAGCGGATGCCATTGATGAGGAGCCTCCGAGCCTCCTCTAGTGAACCAACTGTAATAACAATAGTTGAGCCCTTTTGGTTGCTGTTGTGCAGCTCCTTTGAGCTCCGGAGCCATGTTGGGTTCCTCTTCAGTTGGTATTCAGTGCCCAGTTCAATCTCTTCGCGAGCCAGAGTCAGGTAGGAGCATAGAGCCCAGGGTGCCTTTCTCCAGGAGAATCGTGATCGCTCCAGTATTGGTATATCCTGTATCCACCACCCAGATAAACACTGGGAAACGTTCCTTTGCTACTGCTCGGTTGATGGCCAGAATGATATCCTCCCTCTCTGACCTTGGGGCGGCCTTGCCTCCCTCACGGCGAAATAGTAGTCTCCGTGCCTCCTTGGGGCTGTCCTTGGCTGGCTTGAGTTTTATTGGATCAGGCTGGCTAGCTACAGCGACCGCTTGTCGGTTCTTCGGCTTCTTTTTGGTGACCTCCTGCCATTCCTGTCCTCCAGGTCTAGTGGAGAGTAGTGCAGCTAGGCCTGCGAATCTTGGTTCCTGCCTTGGTTGTTGGCTCATTTCCCTCACCTTGGGGGTCTGGTTGTTGTTGTCATGTTTGATTACCCGGTTCAGTTGGGTATCAGTTGCCGGTGTATTCTGCCTCGCCGGTCCGGGCTGCTGGATGATGTGCTGGGCCTTTGTAAGTTCTGCACGAAGCTTACTGACTTCCAGTTCCAGCTTTGTAATCCGTTCTTGATAGATCCCTTCATGCATCTGTTGTTCTGCTCTCCAATTGGATAGCTCTTCTGCCAGGTGTATCTGTACCTGTTCCTGGACCATCTGATATATTTCTTGTTGCTGTGTCTGGGCTGCTTCCAAGGCCCCCACCAACACCTGGGCGTGTTTTCTCGCGTTTAGCAGGGAATTTTGATGCCTTGGCCTGCCAATCAATGACTTTTGTAGAATTTTTCGCTGTCTGATTCCACTTCTGGCCTCGCTGGCCCGGCTGGGGTCCCTGCTGGAGCCCCCAGGCTGCCAGCGCTCCTGGCCCTCATTTTCATCCATGCTCATATTCTCCGTGCCGCCATCATTAATTACAGGCTGCATCACGTTCCCGGATCGCCAGCGGGTTGGCGTTGGGGTGACTGGCGTATCTTGTGCTTCCGCGAACTGGGAGGCCACGTTGCCCGCTCCGGGGGGTGACGCGTGCGATATACCACCACCACGGGGTCTTTGTGCCTCCATGGTGGTTTATAGGTGCCAGGAGGCCCCTATCGGTCGATTGACGCGTGAAAAAGACGTGTTTTTCTTGGGTGCTGAATTTTGATGTTCCAGGCGCCGTCGCAAACAATGATACCGACGCCAGGTTTACTAGTAGGTTTAAATGAATAACAGTTATGGAGTCCACTAGTTATCTTCACGCCTCATGTAAAATCAGTTAGAAATTGCAGTGATTGGCTGCCAGTCAAGTATCGCTTTGACCCTTTTTGACCCTTTACTATATGATCGTAATCATTTTCCATAAATTATGCTTCGTCAACGAGCTAGATCCATACAAACCACCACAAGAAGTGCAAGCAATTGCAAAGACAGGAAAATTCACATTCTAAATCAATTCGATATTATACAGCATCTCAATCGCACTTCGGCCCTTTACTGTTGCAGAAAAATTACACTCCCTTGGCAGACGAAAGATCAGAAACTCCCTCTCCTTCCACCACTCCGGCCTCCACGACCTCATAAATAGGGATCTCCACCAGCCGCGAGATTATGTGGTGCAACGTAGGCAGTTGACTCCAGTCCAGTCCATCGATGTGAAGATCTGCATGTTCAGCCTTTGGTACTCGATTGATCCGGGATGGTACTGTCATCTGCTCCTGACCGAAATTCACAAAAACGGGGTATTCGGCTTCCGGTTTCCCTCTCTGGTCATTTCCTACCCGGGGCATGTACCGATGCACGAGCAGTCCTTCATCAGTAGGCGAAGCCGTCGTGCTCTGTTCAGGGTCGTGTTTTGCTTCCTTGAGCCCAGTGAGTGTCATCCTTCCCCATACAGCTCCACGCCAACTAGTAGAAACATAATGGGACCTCTGAAGCTTGTTTACGTCAATCGAGCTGAAGACTTTTGGAAATCCGATCTCCTCCCTGCCGGAGATTATCGGATCCGCAAAGTCCTCAAACAGTACCGGGAGATAGCTTCCCTTCAAGGCCTCGCCATTGGGCCGTTTGTATTCGATACCATGGATATAGAGTCCCATGTGGTTATAACCACCGCCCGCGAGCCAGTCCAATCCTTTCAAGCTCGTTTGTGAGAAAGTTACATAAGCCACGCTGCCTGTGCCTGAAAACTCATACGAGGGGTTGGGCAAAAGGTTTTTAAGGAGAGTGCGACTTGTCTTGATCTTGATAGACGCTGTGCAATATGTCGCCTTGGTAGATGCGGCAGCTCGACTTCTTCCCCAGAAATCCTGGCGTGGTCCAGGCATTGGGCCAAAGACAGTCGGCTGTCGGTAATAGAAATCGCGGTTCTGTGACCAGAGGTGCTCTCACAGGAGCTGCGTGGAATGATCCCACTCGTCGTGATCGTAGATGTACGATATAAATTTCGATGCTATAGAAGTTGATCAACATATGGAGCTAGCATGGCCTGATTAGCTTGGGTTATAATTTACCTTCAGCCACGCTTAAATTTCTCCTTCCAGACTCCCGGGTGAACTCCTGAATCGTAGTCACTCGTTCGTGACGCGCCTTTTCATACAGCTTCAGCCGCTCCGGAATGTCTTCCTTTTTTACGTCTCCTGGTAGCATGGCGGCAAGGGAGAGACCATCCTCGATGGCTATTGCACCTCCTGAAGCACGGTACGGCAAGAAGGGATGGGCCGCATCTCCAATGAGTGCAAATTGCTCATTGACCCAAGATGGAAGCGTGTCCAGGTCTAGAAGAGGCCAGATCTTCAAGGTTTCAGGATCAGCCTTGTCCAATACCTTTCGGATTCTAGGATTGAAGTCTTGATAAATGTTGAGAAGGGTACCCTTTCCAACAGATTGCTGCCAGCCATTGATGACTCCAGTATTGCTGAGGGAGTCTGGATGGATACAGACAAAATTCAGAATCTGATTGTGCACACAAGGATACACAATAATTCTGCTGTTGGCACTTTTCCACGTATCCAGGGACCCGGGCGCGCAGAATAAGTTTGCTGTTTCCGGATCGTCGAGAACTTCCTTTCAAGAGACCAGGAATCAAAAAGCATTCTTCCCTGAGCTAAAAGTCTTGACATCACCTGCCTGGACATGGCATCGAGTAACTGAGTGCACACCATCTGCACCGATGATGAGGTCACCCTGAACTGTCGTCCCGTCTTCAAGAACGATGGTGGCACTTTTGAGGTCAATTGCCGCTACTTTACTGGAAGTATGAAGAATAGCAGGCTTGCCTTTGCCCGGAACTTGTGCCTTTTCTTTCAAAGCTTCGTGAAGATGGGCCCGGTGAATAAGAAGCCATTCCTGGATGTGCCATAAGCTTGAGATACAAGCCATAGTTAAGAATATGTCTCACATGCTGCCAAGTGTCTTGGGTAATGTCATATTCAGTTTCAAGCTCGCCACCCGCGTCGAAGTCTCAAATCTACAGACATTTTAGTTTCTGCCGAGTCAAAGAAAACAGGAAACAAAGATAACATACACGCTCCGTCAAAACGGCACCTTTTTCTCGGGTATCTATGCCAATCTTCTTGGGGAGACCATTCGCATTTGGGGTCAAATGGATAGCAGCACCGATCTCGTTGGCGAAACGGGATCGTTCAAACAGCTGTCATACCTATGTTAGACGTATGACACACAAAGGGCAATTGATATAGTGTACATTACCTCCACATGATGGCCCTGCTGGCGAAGGGCAATTGCTGCTACCAATCCGCCAATTCCTGCACCCGCAATGAGCACTTTTAGCCCATGCGTGGAAGGCTTGTAATCGGGATTCGTATTAGGGCCCATCCTGGCGGCTTCTTGGATATTTCCGAAAAGGAGGATGTACACGAATACAGAATAAAGAGAGGTATTCAATATTTAATAACAGGATCGATCGCAGATATATATTTTCTTCTCATTTTCATCCTGCTTCCGAATAAACGCAAGCTATACATCTACGAAGAAAACGTCAGTATTCCGCTAGCTGAAAATGTTGGCCTAATAAGATGCAATGTCTATCAGCCTAAGGTGACCGGTAGGACTCCTGTGTTAGTGACCTATAGTCCGTATGGCAAAGATATACATTACAAAGAGTACGTCATGTAACTCCTTTTCTGAGTTTTCCTGGTCTAACCTTACAATCAGCTTCAGTCCAAGCTCCTACGCCGAGGTTAATCCAGAGCATCATTCCGCACACTCTGCTTGGGAAACGCCCGATCCTGGTTTTTGGACGGCACATGGTTATGCTGTTGTTCGTGCAGACGAGCGCGGCTTAGGCCAGTCGCCCGGTATTCTTGATACCATGTCGCGCGGAACGAGCGAAGCTTTTGTTGATGTGATTGAATGGGCAGCGGAGCAACCCTGGTCTAGCGGAAAGGTTGGTCTCTTAGGTATCAGTTACTATGCTGGGGGTCAATGGCGCGTGGCTGCACGTCAGCCTAAGGGATTGGCCTGTATGATTCCATGGGAAGGAATGTCTGATTATTACCGAGACCGGTGCCGCCACGGTGGGATCCTCTCGGATAGGTTCATTAGGTTCTGGTGGAATCGCCAAGTTGTCTCCAACCAATACGGCCGCCCGAGTCGGGCAAGCCAAAACTGGGGTCCCGACATGATTGAAGGGGATCTCAGTGAGGAAGAGCTGGCTGCGAACCGAAACGACCAGACAATTGACAATGTCAACAACAAGTTCCATGATGACCTCTACTATGCTTCCAAGGAATACAACATGGAAGATATCAAAGTCCCTCTCCTCTCCGTGGCGAATTGGGGCGGCATTTTGCTCCACCTTCGTGGAAACGTTGTTGGCTATTCCAACGCCGGTTCCGAGTTGAAATATTTGCGCTTTGTTACTGGGCGTCATGACCTTCCCTTCTACTACAAGGAAGAGGTAGAGATCCAAAGAAGCTTCTTGGATGCTTTTCTTAAAGGTGAGGACAAAGTCGGTTGGAGTACTGGTCAGGCACCCAAGGTCAACATCGTTCTTCGCAAGGGGAATGTGGGCTTCAACAACGCCGAGGCTGAACGATCCTACGAAAGGCGTGTGGAAAACGAATGGCCCCTAGCGCGCACTCAGTACACGCGGTTTTACTTGGCTCCCAATCGCGAGCTACTCTCTGAGCGACCAACGTCGAAACTGACCAAGCTCGACTATCGTGCTCTGGGCACATTGCAAGAGCCCCAGCTTATTCAGTTCACCACCCCGGTCCTCGATCAGGAAACAGAAATCACTGGCCATATTGTGGCACACCTGAACGTGTCCGTCAGCCCTGATAAAGGCGGACCAGTGCCTTCTGACATTGACCTTTTCCTGACTCTGCGGTATATCTTCCCATGTGGTGAAGAGGTTTCCTACACGGGCACTGCTGGAGATCCAGTTCCCTTGTCTAAGGGATGGCTGCGAGTCAGCATGCGAAAGATCAACGATAAGCACTTGCGGCATCGCGAGTATCTTCCATACCGTGACTATTTCTCAACCGATGTGCAGCCTGTTATCCCCGGCGAGGTTTATCCCGTAGACGTTGAAATCTGGCCTACGAATGTCATTCTCGAGAAGAGAAGTAGGCTGGTGCTTGAAGTCGCCTCAGGAGATACTCAGGGCTCGGGTATATTCCAGCACAACGACCCGAACGATCGGTATGCCCCTCATTCCTTGTCCTTATTTGGCACCGATACTAACAGCACGTAGGTCCCAAAACAAACTACAGGGAACTAACCACATTCACTTTGGCCCTGTGTATGACAACTACATCGTTCTTCCGGTTATTCCGGCGCAGTAAGTCGAGCGATTAATCAACAAGTAAAAGTACCTCGGATGGTGGAGCCGATGAAACAAATGGGGGTCCGGGTATATAGAACGTATTAAGTCTTGTTAGTCTACCTTGTAGGCTTCAATTCATTAAACAATAGTCTTTTTTGTCGTTTCTCTTCTGTCTTTTTCTGTCTCTTTTGGAATCATCACGCTTAAGCCAGCGTCCTGTCATCCACAAACCAACACCCCATAATGAACGAGCAGACCAAGTCCATCCGTCCCATCCAGCGCATTATAACCACTCACAACGGTGAGGGGAAAGCAGTCTTTTCAACTCGCCTTCGAGAAGCTCTGCCTATCCAGGAAGTGAACAATGTCGGCTTCAGTCTGGCCTACACCACGCAACGATTCCCAGTGCAGCTCGCTGCAGATACCGACATCACCGGCTATGAACAAAATCTCGCGTCGCCACCAGGGCTGACTATTTCCACGGGCACTGTCTGTCGAATCATCGACTTTCCGCCCGCCGCAGAAAGTCCCATGCATTGGACTGTGTCGCTTGACTATAGTGTCGTTCTGGAAGGAGAAATAGAACTGCTCCTAGACAGTGGCAAGAAGAGACTTTTAAGAAGGGGCGATGTTGCTATACAACGAGCTACAAATCATGCCTGGAACAACGTCACGGCGGACGGTGGATGGGCTCGCATGTTGTATGTTCTCACACCGGTGCAACTGTTGCATATCGATGGTTTGGAGTCAATAGGAGAGAATATCGAAGGTATTGATGTCAAGAAAAGCGAGTAAATTATGCTTTTTGAATGGGTGGCTTTGAACTGCTATTGATTTCTCGGGTTGTCAAACTCAAAGCATATAACTATATACATGTACCACAACCGTCAAGAATTTTGATGTCAAATAGACGTCTTCAAAAGAATGCATATTCCAAGCATTTGCAAAATGCAACGCATTTTCAATATCAGAATAGAATTCATACCATCGTCTCATAGTAAGAAGCCATATGAAATGGATGAACCAATGAAGCGGTTAAACTCTGTATCGCGGAAGTCAGAGAGTTGATAATCTGGACTGCACGAGGCTACCCGCTCACTTCATTCAGCACGTCGGATGCCCACATCCCAAGATATCGTCAACGACCGGTCCCGACGCAAGGGAACATTCTCCGGATAACAGCTGTTTGATTGAGTCCTGGAAATTCAGACATGGAGGTGCAACAGTCCGAAGGGAGTGGGCAATCTGAAAGGTCAGGAATGTACCAGTGTGCATTCTGTAAGAAGAACTACGCGCGACCTGACCATCTCATCCGTCACGTTCGGTCCTGTATGTTACTGAATCTGGCTGCTGGCTAAAACGGACCTGTTGGACTTACTTAGAGCACTTCAGATACTTCTGAAAAACCATTCAAATGCGAGATTTGCCACAAGGGATTCGGTAGAATGTCCGTACCAAATCCCGTGCAGAACGGCCGGTGTTCTAACGTTATATAGAGATCTCCTGTGGAGACACACAGGGAGCCATCGTTCCCCACAGGAGCATCCCAGGGTTCATGCATTCGCTTATTCGAAGCCGCGCGTATTGCGCGCTTGTAGAAATTGCGCGACAGCCAAGCTCAAGTGTGATGACAACAAGCCCTGTCACCGATGTGTTAAGCGACACATGGTTTGCCAATGGGCGCAAAGAGATGAGTCGCCAGAAGTCGTACACGCCAATGGTAAGACGCGATTCTAAAATAGCTATTTGATATGCATTGCTAAGTAGCTTTTACCCTATCAGGCCCTGAGCATTCACTGACCAGCAACTCGGATGCGGATCAAATTGGTAAGACAGAGCATTTGACTAAGGTACGGAGGGTATGGATCTAATAGCTGATGTAGGAATGGACCTTGATGGTCAATTTGAGGGTAATAGCATGCCGGACTTACAGGTTTTGGGTCATCCAGAGATGACCATGGCCGACATAATCAACAGTGGGAATTTGTCGCAAGATATTCCGCAATCATATGCAGAGTTGCCTCCTGCTATGGAGGTCAATGTAGACACTGTACAAAGCAATATACCCAACAATCCAGGGCTACCAGAAGATAGTCAATTACCTTTGATGGTCAAAACAACCCAACGCCTCTTTTAATATCTCTCCCAGGGTGCTAATACAATAACAGGTCTTCGATGATTTTGACATGGTGAATCGGGATATTACCATGGATTTGGGTTTAACGGAAGGGGATCTTAAATTTCTTTCCTTACTGAACACCCAAAGCACATTCTATGAGAACTGGATAACCACAGAACAGTTGTCACAAGGACCTCAATTACATGATGTGGAGCAAGCTCAGCTGATGGACAGTGACGCTTATCACAATTCGCCATTGACGAATTGGACACCAGGAACTGATGATAATGCATACATGGATCAGGAGTACCTTTCGGTACCTAAACACCTGGATCATCCTAACCCCCCTGGAGCTGCTAAGCCAAGAGCATACTCTGGACGCGTAACAACAGAAACTTAACCAGGTCATGCAGTGCTTCCCTAGCGCAGAGCTTTTAGACAGCCTCATCCAAAATTACCTTATGCAATAAAGGACCCATCTCGATTCATGGATTCACGAATCAACCATGGGGTTGAACGAAGCCTGTCCTGAATTGGTCATGGCTTTAGCTGCGGCTGGGGCTATTTTGTCTCCGGTAGAAGCAATTCAGAAACTTGGATACGCGTTATTGGAGATCGCGCGTCTTCACTTGAATCAGAAGGTATGTGCGTCGGGCTGCTCTGGGAGCTATTTGCTAACACTAACGTCAATATGAAGAAGAGAACATTGCGACGCGCTGTCTGCGGGAGCTTCAGGCGTATGTTTTGATCTTGCACATGGGACTATGGAGCGGTCACAAGCGGAGAATTGAAATCGCAGAGAGCTTTGGGCAGCCGATAGTGACAGTAGTGAAGGGACCTTATTTCTCTCAAATTCACCACATGCTGACGTTCCATAGATGCTACAAAGAGCGTCGAGGTTTAAAGGAGAGGCTTACTCTGCCGTTAGACCAGAAGAAGGTGACCACAGTGAAACCCTTGAGCGAAAATGGCACGAATGGGCAGAGGCAGAGTCATATAAAAGGTATTTGATGCGATCGGGAGGCAATGTGCCAGAGTTCGGACTCTAATTGATTTTAGGCTCGTTTATCACATGTTTATTCACAACATACAAGCATATGTGTCGCTATCCATTAACCCATTGATATCTTACGTCGAATTAGATCTTCCTCTTCCATGCCACCGGAAGTGCTGGGACGCAAAATCTGCCGCTGAGTGGAAATCTTCTTATTTTGAGAATATCCGCAATACCCCAGAGCCACTCCCATCTCTTTCCCGCTCTCTTCAGGATATGTCCACTCTCAGCCAAACTCGCAGCCAGCTGGACTTTGCACTGACTGGGTTCCTTTCTGTCCATGGTATTTTCACCATTGTCATGGATTGCAATTGAGCCCGCTGTGGACCGTCTTCTCAGCTGCGTGGCTTGGTCTTTCAATCATGGCAGCACGAGTTACAGCAGATATTGGAGGAGCTCGAAATGGTCATTGTAGAGCCACTTCAATCACATGTTCCAGAGCTATCTCTTATCTACCAGGCGGTTTCGTTATCTCTATATATACCGCTTGGAGAGTTGGAAATTTTTGCGGGCAAGGACGGTCTGGAACGGTCCAACGACATCCATGACGAATTTATCAAGCACATCAGCCCTGCAAATCTCTGGCAGGCGATATGGCACGCAGGACAAGTATATCACATTGTGAAATTGATACCCAGCAGGGCCGTTACTGGGTTCTATGCTACCTGCCTCTATTTTGCTGCTCTGGCACTCTGGATGTACAGCACTGTCTCAACTATAAGGTCCCCATCTCAGACGAACCGACAGAATGATGTGGAAGAGCCAGTATTATTTCTCTTAGATGCTGAAGTTGACGCAATCGCCCTTCGCCGTTTCATACTCTCTGGGCACGGAACCCCTGCACTGGGCACTGCAGACGACCCGGCATATTTGAATGATCAGGCTGCCGTCATGCGTTGCTTCCGAGAGGTGCTCTGTTCAAACCACCCGGGTGGAACCGTGCATGGACAGACACGCGCTCTAAACAATGCGTTTTCTGCACTTGGAAGTTTCAGTGGGATCAATGGCTGAGATGCACGCATCATAGAAGTGTAGGGTTGAAACAACGATTACTCCAAGACTTTTCCATTGCCTGATTGCTTTCTCTGCGTACCGCTTGCTGTCTCATAATATGGCTCAACAACCCCAAGCTTCATTCCGCCAACGTACAAGTGATTTTCTGATCACCCGTTGTTCGGAACAGCAACAATAGGGATGAATCATGCTATCATGACCTCTGAACCGAACATGAAGACATTCAATAGACGTCAACAGCCAGATACAGAGGCTTATTTTTTCTCATGTCTGAGTACAGCAAGCTGAAAATATCTTTTGAGAGTAATGGCTTTGCGTTTTAAGCAATATGTGTGCTTTCTGTACTTCATCCGCTTTGTCTGCAAGGCTTTTTCAGCCTCTGCTTCAAATCACCCAGCAGTACTTCACGGCCGGTTACGCAAACGTATACCCGACGCGGGGTCGGGCATCTCGTTAATTTGCCACATGCTTGCGAGAACCTACTCCAAGTGCTGACCTAGGCGTAGCCTATCACACATAGGCCAGATAATATCAAAATTGGTTTTGCAGCAGCTGGATTGGTTCCTTTCAGTCCAGATCGTGTGGTCTCTCAGCTTAAGATAAACCCAAGGCACTAAAACTCCAAGGGAGTCGTGGCAGCATCTCCCAGAGATCATGGGTGCCAGAAACACTTCATAGTCTCATGGAATTAGAGAAGCAAGCAACTACTATCAAGAAGCTTCTCAGGCGCCGTACGCATAGTCCTCCAAGCCTAACAAAAAAAGCTTTAAATTAGGTTTTTCAAGGGATGTCAGATGGCCATGAATAATGCTGTTCTTGCAAAAGAAAATCGCGGCTTATATGCAGCACATGGGAAAAAGCTGCAAAAGCGCAAGAGATCTAAGAAGCAGATAATTTGTTAAGAAGGCATGACTAGCTTCAATTGCACCTGTGGTTGCTCCTACTACGCAGGTTATGGATTCAACATCTAACTACTACATGAGTGTTGTTTTGATTGTATGTACTGTCACGAAAATATATTTCGAGTATAGAGTAAAGTGAGTATATCTCTATACTGACCGCGTTATCTGGGCCTTGACATGTAAAATTGAAGCAGAAAAGGAAGCAAAGGAGGGTGATCTTGATGAGCTAGGCATTAAACATATTAGTGATACTGAGGAGGCGGATGACTAGGGAAGAGAAGAAGGGGAGGAAGAAGGGGAAGATGATGAAACTGAGCCTACTGAGCCTATACTGCCTGCGCCTGAAGGGAACACTCAGGTACGTGCCATCAGTGAGTGCCGGAAGTGTCAAGTCACGAGGATGATGAGTTTACATATTATTAGTGTTAGTTCCTCATTTTGATATACACCATTCATTATGAAACTGAATGTCTCTGTCATTAAATATAGATTCATAATCTAGTGAATCTAGATTGAGATTCATTTAATCAGAAACTTTACGGATAGCCCGAAGATATAGATGTAATATAAAAATCAAAAATACTTTAAAATACAGACGAAGTATGCATACATTATGCAGTCACGAGTTTACTTGTGTTTGTATTGGGTTTGAGTTTGGGTTTTTTGGGTTTTGACGATGTCTACTCTTCCCTTTGAAGATGATGCATGGAGGCAGTACCAAACCCACAGCATTAACACATTCAATTTCTGTGGCCCATTCACGATTCTCAGGCTGTAAAAGAGCAGGATGGCCAGTAGCCTCAGCTTTAGTCACCATTCCGGCAGTAGCAATAAGATCCATAGCAAGCTCAGTCTCATCAAAAGTTGTAGATATCTGCCACGAACTTGGTTAAAACGAATAATATTCATATTCAGACTAGGTAGCCTAACGACGAGAATATTGAATCTGGAGAAGAAGGAAGCCGTCTGGCAGGACAAAGGAAAACCATCTACTCATCGTACGATCACGTGTTGGAGGTCTAGGGCTCATCATTTACTCATCATTTGCTCCGTCACCATATCTTCATATGCAATCCCATGCTGCATTATAGTGATTTGTACAAGATTAAACCACTCTTGATAAGCTCTGGGTCCTCACATTTGGCACGTTGATGATTGTATCTTCTTGAGAATTTGGTCTTCAATTGATCAAGGCGGTTGATGAATTTATACACCCAGTTCTGGCCAATTGGTTGGATGTTGGATGAGCCATAATTGGAAAAAGTATATTGGCCATATCTTGAACATGAGACGGTCGGGGAGCTGCTCCATGTTGGTCCATATATAGTTCCCATTGAATAAGTGATTCCTCTTCTTCTTTGTTAATTCAAGGCCATTGGCTTGTTTTTCAACCCGATTTATACTGCCATTCAATCGGCGTTGTAATGTTGTTCGGGGTACATCATATAGGCGTGCAGCTTCGCGGATATTGGTGATTTCTTTCCTTTTTAAAGATGAGATAGCGAGCAGGACCTTCCCTTCTTACTCAACTTCGTCTTTTATCTTGCACGCGGTTTGGTGGCATGGCCCGCTCAGAAGTGGATTACATTATAATTAGTGCGGTCTCGATAAGCCGGTTTAAAGATCAGTATTGTCATAACCACTGTGATAGAGAATGTCTATAAGGGAAGGCGAGCATAGCTAATAGCTTGTACAGATTATCAAGACCGCACTGTATATAATTTTTACCAGTTTCGCTTTCATCTTGGTGCCTTAAGATCGACAGAAGAGATAGTTAACGTAATCCCTGAGCCACCCGGCCACCCATCCATCTACCATCTTACTTTATTAGCATATTTATCAACCACAACGCAGTAATATTGACTATATTATCTCTCTGGACAGGCATTTGATTTACGCCCTATATTTCTGCATTTTCCACATGTCGATAATCTGCGCCTTGGTGGTTCTGGCTGCGATTGAACTGGCAGAACTGCCTGGTTTAGAACTGGCCCAATCGGCTTGTGACTACCACTCGCCACCAACATCATATCGAAATGCACGATCAGATAGCAATCCTCCTGTGTTCCGCCAAACCCTTGACACAACCTATCCCAGTGGAATGTAAGCAGACCAGGAAAAAGTGAATGAATATAACGAGCCAGACATGCCATACCGAGTTCAGCCACACACCATGTAGCATGACCGTGATGAACATGCCTTTGAACCTATTTGAGCCCGCTGGGCGCTCACTCCGGTCGAGGTTTCGATTCACAGGAAGATAGGCCGGGACTCGTTGATGGTCAACGGGCCAGTTATTTGGTTGGGAAGCAGACTCTGGAGCTGGATGCCAGCTCGGGGATGCTGGATACGGTCGTCCACTCTGATGTATTTCATAGTCTGCCAGTACAGACATGGAAGTTGATGTAATCGGGTTTGCTGTGGTGGTCACTGACATCGCGAACGGAGTAAATGAAGTCCAGGGAGTGCAAGATGGTAACATGAAGAATCAACCTACAGATCCAATCTAGCTAGTTCCTTTTTTAGAGCCATTGCCCCTGGTACACATTCAATTCATCCGACAATCGGCCTGCCGGTTCGACGTTCGGCTCCACTTTCTCGGCCCTGAGTTATCGGGCCAGTTTTGCGGGGGTGGAGAACTGATCCGAGTGGGGAGCCCGCTGTCTCGGCATATGGTGATAGTATACCGGGGCGTCGCTGGAGTATGCTGGACTAGAAAGACCATCTCTGCTCAATTTCGGCAAAATAGCGAAGTCCAGAGTTTCATGTTGCACCAGGCGATGGATACAACATTTCCAAAAATTGTGGCCGCCAGCATTGACGGCAGAGTGCACAATGTACGGTATCGCCAAGACCAATTCCACCGTTTACAGTCCGCTATACTTCGCGATCTCGAGGAGATCAAACACTCAATCTCCCAGGAGTTTAGTCGCAGTGCCCAGGAAGTACAGGTGGAGATCTGTCTGGCACTGAAAGATGTCCGCACGCATTATTCCTCCCTGGACGCTGCTCATATGCTGTACAGAATGAGTACTTGGTTGCCAACGGACACGGCAACATTGATAGAAGGCGCGGGGCAGGGATTGTGTACATTTTGCCCACTCGCCATACCCTCTTCTATTCGGTTATAGCAGCGCTAAGTGCAGCGCTTGCGGCTGGGAATTGTATTATTTTGGAGGTAAGGGACTACCGGCTACTGGAGCAATGTATCATTTGTGGTACTAATTTTATGGTGAATAGCTTCCACAGACCACTTCTCTAGTCTCCTCTTTGCTTCGCGGACTCCTTTCACAAACACTAGATGGAGATATTTTCGCCATTGCCGATGAGCGACCGGAACGGGAATTTTTGAGTACAATGGTGCTCGTTGACCAACAGGTTGACCTTCTCAAGCAGAGAATCTTCCTCACCTGGTCCTGGCACAACGTTGGAGCCCGGCGGACTGCTACCGCCACGGTGCAGGTATCTGGCTGCATACTGAGCGGCAGTCTCCAGGAAGGCGTCAAGACAAAATTCGTTGACAAGGACGATATCCGATGAATATGGCGACTGTCCGTCAAATGCAAACCGAGTCTCAATGAGATTGACAGCGGCCTCGTAGATTCTGGCAGTCCTATCCACTATAGCTGCGGTTCTCCACGTTTTGGGAGATTTGAGCCCAGCGTAAAGCGAAAGATTGCTCAATGATACGGCTCAACATCAACCATGTTGACAAATTTGACTTTCTTGAAACCTATCCGCAAGCTCGGACAGAGGCCTTTAAGATGGAAAATATCAGGAATAGCTTTGCTGCAAGTGGCCTGGTTCCTTTCAATCCAGAAAGGGTACTTGGGCAGCTCAATATACAACTCAAGACCCCTACACCACCAGGCAGCCATTCTACCGATTCAGCGCCCAAAACACCTCATAATTTCAAGCAACTGGAAAAGCAGGCATCTACAATCAAGAGTCTTTTGAAGCAGCGTACACAGAGTCCTCCAAGCCCAATGAATGATGCAATAAACGGGTTGTCAAAGGGTGTGAAATCCATATGAATAGTGCAATCCTTCTTTCCAAAGAAGTCCAGGATTTACGGGCTGCACATGAGAAAACGCTGCGAAAGCGGAATCGATTCAAGCGACAGATGGCTCGTACAGGTGGCCTGTCTATTCAAGAAGGCATAGAGCTTATGCAGCAGAGGAATGAGGTACAGAGAACTGAAGATACTGTACAGATGGAGACTGCACCATCGACATTTCAACCACATGTACGGGCGCCACCACAGTGTTCTGATTGCAATGTTCTGGGACATAAAAGGACTCACTGTCCTAATTGCAGTGATAATTAGTTTTTATATATAAATGCTATTTTGAATGTTTAAATTATACCTTTCGCTATCTTTGGTCGGAAAGTGCGCGACCCGCTTGTGGGTTACCTGTTATTTACGCCTGTAACGGTCATGACGACACTGAATCTTGATCTTTGGCTGTAGCCTACATGAAATTCAATGAAATACAAGTGTATTCGGACTTTTCATGATCTAATTCTGTGGCTTGTTTGTTTTTTCTGAAGCTGTAGGATACTGATTACTGGTGGTGCGTTATACTGCTGAGCATTGTAAATTAAAAGGGAACCAAGCCATTTTGGCATGAATATATGCAAAATAGTTGACAGGTGGTGGTTGTCCGAAGCAAAATAAGGAGTTTTCAAATGTCGAGCTCCGAACGAGGCTGAAATCAAATATGATCGGCAGTAACGAATATGAGGAGACGAGGCTGAGGCAGTGTTGCATCGACTCTCAAGCCAGTGTGATTCTGGTAATATCTGATAAGTTAATTGGATAATGGCAATAACAAGCAACTGTGTCAACTACTATGCTCGGAAGGATGTCATAGGCACTATTCGGAGTGAATAGAGGAAGAACTCTAATTCTAGATATCTATCTATCGTACGTCCTTTTTTATAAACAACCTGGCGGCCGTCAACTAAGCGCAAAAAGGAAGGTCGTTGCGGAAGAAGTTCAAAGAGACAAAAGGAGTACAAAGTGCATAATGCATGTATGCGGTGGCCATAGTCAAAGGATGCTGGCTGCATAGCCGTAATCCCCGGTCCTATTATCTCTCAATCATATCCTCTGTGGATACGATTAGGCATGAGCAGGAAGTACGTCGTAAATGGGTAGGCAATTCAGGCTCTGATTGGTCAGTCGGAGCATATCAATCAAGTCTTCAGCGTATATGGAAGTCAACAAACTGCCATTCAGGGGTACTTGGACACAATAGAACATAGAAGAGATATGGAAAGCGATTGTCTGTAATGAGCACATGGCTCTATACTAGATGATTATGCTGTCGATCTCCACACAGACATTGATACAATGGAGTTTATGCCATTGTTTAGTAGTGATATGCACTGTATGCCAAATGCTAAACCCGAGTAACTCCAAACCAACCAATGGCTTGCCGTACTCTCGCCCAAAACCAGCCGAACTCCATGCAGAAAATCATAATCATACCAAACACACCCTTGGTCGCGCGACCAAAAAGCGGCATCACCCTCTAACTCACCCGGGAGGCACCCACCGAACTATTGACCAAAGTTAAGCACACGCTGGCTGGTTAGTAGTTAGGTGGGTGACCACCAGCGAATCCCGGCTGTTGTATGTTTTTGCATCTTCATAGTATTTTTTTTACCTGGCGAAAAGTGAAGTTACTGAAAGAGCAGATGAAATGTTCGAGAATCAAGTCAAAAGACCAAAGGGCAACAACCACCTGATGGCTTGCCTTGCCGAAAGAATTCATGGAGCGCCTTTATTTGACCAACGAAGTGAGACCATGCCGACTACATTTGCCTCCCGGTCATGGGTCTACATGGCCGGACCTAATCGCAAAGTTTTGATCGTTTCGAAACGTCGGGAGCCGGGTCTTTCCACAGGTCTTCCCTCGAAAAAACCCCGGTCCCGAAGCGGGACATACGACGAGCAGATCAGAACTGCCTGTCAACTAGCTAAGCTACCATCTATCATCTAAATACAGGTAGCCTCCCGCGCGCCGGGAGGAGGGGGGGACGGTGGGGGGCTGCTTGGGGTTTCATGGCTGTCAAATAGCAAATTGAGCTTCTTGGGTTTGAACAGAAAAGCAAGAAAAGCAAGAAAAGGAAAAGAGGAAGGGGAGGCCAAACAAAAGGAAAACAGAGAGGAAAGAGAAGGGAGAACCAGAGGTAAGCCTGGAGGTCCCTGAGTTTGGTGAGTTTGGAAGTCTAATGGCGTCTGCAGATGTCTGTATAGAAATTGAATTTTCCCAGCCAATCTGAGAGGGCAGTGGCTCCTGTCTTTGTGTTAAGGATGTTGGCCACTGGCTGGCAACCCCATGGATGTGCTACTGCTTTGCGGCCCTCACTGCAGTAATAAAAGTGAGAGGGCTCCTTTCTGCGGCAACATGAGCATGTCAGCAGGGCATCCTCGTGTTTGAAACGCTCGTGGTACTCTGCAGTCTCCATGGCCTGTCCGGGCAGCAGGAAGTCGGCCGAGGGTGGCTCTGGGGAGGGATAGTTATGGGGTCGTTTATCCAGGCCAATAGAGAGATATGAATATTATTCGTTTTATCTACTGTGACGGCTCAACGGCTCGACGCCTCAGTGGCTGATATCGACAAACGCCGCCATCCGAGCAAGCAAACAAAGAAAGCACTTAGCGCGGCCACACAACCCATAGATGAAACTTCTTTTTTCCTGTAGATAGATTCCTCTTCTTCTTTTCTCTCCAGATTCGATATTCTTGTCGATGGCTACACTAGTTTAGATATGAATATCATTTCGTTGGTATCTACTAGTTAGTCCGAGCCCGTGACATAATATCGAATCTCGCCTTTTCTTTTCAACACGCCTACCTTATTGGTTCGATCCAGCGATCGTGGAGCCATAGTAGTGCGTCCCCCACACCAACCGACTGATATGAAGATCCTGGCCAGTATGGCTCGACCGAACGATACCGTTGCCCCCTCCCGGGGGCCAACCGAAATGAACGATGATGATACCGACCAAGAGAACCGACGATCCTTTATCTTCATTAATGGGGATGAGAATGAAGAACAACACATGGTGACCCTGGAGCAGTTTGTCAAATATGCTGCTGAGAAGCCTGAGTGGCTGTTTGAGAAACTCCAATTGATACACCGACGATATGATGATTGCCTTGATGATCGTGAGGTCTGCCTTGCTGAGGAGGAACTGCGAAGCCAGGCTAAGGAAGGAGAGCTCGCCCTCCTGCGCCGTGATATGGATGAAGTGAAGGGACAACTGCGGGACTAGGATGATGGTGATAGAGCACTGCGTCAGAAGCTAGCTGAGGCTAAGTCTGAGCGCGATGCCTATGCCAACCAGATTGCAAAGATGGCCATACAGTTGTCCAGCATTGGTAATCAGGAATCTACGCCAGCGGTCATCAGCAACCAAAATACTACCAAGATCCCTGATCCCCCGATGCTGACTGATGGAAAGGAGCCCCGATTTGAAGACTGGTTGCTCCTGATGACCCAGAAGCTTGCTGCTAACGCTGATTACTTTGACACGTCCCAGCTCCGTGTTGCGTACGTTGCCAGCCATTGTGAGGGCAAGGCCCGAAAGCACATTACCCTTCGTATGCGAGATGATTCCAGGAACCCGTACGCTGATTCAAACGATATGCTTGACCACCTGAAGACGATCTATAGCGACCCGAACCGTGTTACCACTGCAAAACACCAGTTCCAACAGCTGTACATGAAGGTTGATGACAAGTTCCATGACTTCCTTTCTGAATTCTTGTACCTTGCTGCTGAAGCTGGCGTTGCTGAAGATGACTGGAAGGATGAGCTCTACTACAAGCTGACGATCAAGCTCCAGAAGCTGTGCATCTCCAGCAGCATCAAGGAGGGTACTTTCCAGGAGTTCTCCAGCAATGTTTCCCAGACTGCGAGCCGACTTGAAGTTATCAACCACCGGACCCAGAATAATCATTCTTTCACCCCAAACAACCGGGACTCCTCAAAGGGAGGAACTAACCGATCTAAAACCACTGCCAAGAAGGAACTGACCCCATCCCGAAGCACTAGCCCTACTAGTTCGCGCACTGCTAGTACTAGTCGTGACCGATTGATGAAGTAACGCCGTTGCTTCCATTGTCAAGAGCGTGGACACCTTGCTCAGGACTGCCCAACAAAGGCCACAACCCCTGAATTGAAGGATCTTGAGCAGACACACGACACTCTCTGAACTTACTCCACGTGGCGTTCGCTGCCCTGGATCCCAGGGCCCAATCCGGTAATAAAGCGCCTGAGAATGAACAGAACGACGAAGCGGGAAAAGTCTAGCCCAGGAGAAAGTCTCCAACCTGGGGCTAGATGGTGTTGACCTAGGCGAATTGGATCTCAGTCAACTGATTGGAGGACAAGGATTCAATGTGAATAGTCAGATAGCTTACAATAAAATCAGTATCCCTCTGACTACCCTAGCTAATACCGGGGCAAATGGTTATCTTTTTATACACACCAAACGCGCGATAGAATTAGCGAAATTCTTTGGGATTCCCACCCACCAACTGAAGACATCAATAGGCATCAAAAGGTATTATGGACAAGCCGGAGCAGCAATTACCCATGCCATAGTGTGCCACTTGCTTATTGGCAGACGATGTTTCTTGAATCAACCCTTTCTGATCGCGGATCTGGGCCAGCATGACTTGATCATTGGAAGGAAGTGGTTTAATCGCCATGATGTGTGGCTAGATGTGCAGAACTGGAGACTGGTCTGGCCTGAGCAACGAAGCCCCATGGATGCTATCATGAGCAAGCAGTATCTGGAGGCACCAAAGCAGATCCTGCAGCGGCCTAAACCCAACCCTATCCACCAAGCTGATATGGGGCGACGTGACTGACAATTTGAGCAAAAGGAATGACGTGAGCGCTACTGAGTGCCTTGGAAGGAGGAATCAGACTGACGAGCAGATATAGCCAAGATGTCATGTGCCCTACAGGACCACAAGAATAGTGATCCTTCCACCAATCAGAAGCCCCGAAAGAAGATGACAAGCCAACAAACAACCCAGATTGATATTGCAGCAATTGGAGCAGCACCATCCCAGTGACACGGTGAAGAAGAAGGATGCTGAGATCTTTATCACCAGTCTGTCTGAGATCAACCGCGTCGTTTGTCACGGTGCTCAACTAGGATAATGGAACATCCTTCTCATGGGTTCTACCTAGGTAGCTATCAACGAGAATAATCAACATGAGGGGGGAAGGAGAAGAGGAAGGATATGCCGCCAGCACTGACGTGGCTAATAACCCTTGCTTCCGGCATATGAGAGGTATGCATGTGACCAGACCGTCACATCATTGAGGAAAAACGCGCTGAGGACTTTCAGAAAGAAGACAGCCATGAGCAGGAATTAGTACAACAACTGCTACCCAAGCAGTATCAGGAGTATGCTGATGTCTTCTCCAAGGCTGCTTCTGATGAACTTCCTCCTCAATGGCCAAACGACTATAAGATTGAACTGGAAGAAGGGAAGACAGTATAATTGGCAGTGGGATACAGTCCCCTTTGCAAGCAGACTGCAGAAGGGCTGGAGGCTGCATGGGACTACATTGTGGACAACCTGGGCAAAGGCTTTATTGGCCCTAGTGCCGCTCCCTTTGCATCGCCCATTTTGATGGCCCAGAAGCCAGGTGGAGGACTATGGTTCTGTGTTGACTATTGGAAGCTGAATACAATCACAAGGAAGGACCGAAGGACCAATATCCCATTTCCCTTGTGAATGAGCTGGTTGAGAGAATCAGCAGCGCAAGGATATTCACAAAACTAGATATCCAACAGGGATTCCACCGGATTCAACTGAGTCCAGATTCAGGGGACCTGGCCACATTTCAGACCTGTTACAGGACATACAAATATCATATACTACCCTTTGGATTGACTAATGGGCCTGCTGCCTTCCAGCATTTTATCAATGAGACTCTGATGGGTTACTTGGATGAGTTCATGACAGCATTTGTGGACAACCTTCTGATCTATTCCAAGGATGCAGTTGAGCATGAAATCCATGTTAAGATGGTGCTTGAGTGACTCTGCACTACTGGCCTGCAAGTCAGTATCAAGAAGTGTGAATTCCACGTCACAAAAACTAAATATCTGGGATTTATCTTGACCACTGATGGTATTGAAGTCAACTCAGAGAAGACTACAGTGATTAGCAACTGGGCAGTACCAACTACAGTCTGAGGCGTGCAGTCTTTCTTGGGATTCTGCAACTTCTATCAATGATTTGTCAAGGACTATAGCCGCATTGCAAGGCCACTGAATCGACTGACCAGGAAGGATGTCCCTTTTATGTGGATGGATAAGTGTCAGCAAGCCTTTGAGGAGTTGAAGAAATGGTTAACAAATGCGCCAATACTACAACACTACCACCCTGATCTAGAGACAAAGTTAAGAGACTAATGCATCAGATGGAGTGATAGCAGGGGTCCTCTCTCAGAAGCATGGGGATCTCTGGCACTCAGTTGCTTATTATTTGAAGAGCATGTCTGATGCAGAGCGCAACTAACTATGAGATCCATGACAAGGAAATGTTAACCATCGTCTGTGCACTGCAAGAATGGCAAGCTGAGTTGGAAGGATTACAGCTCTGAGAATGCTTTGACATCTACACCGACCATCGAGCATTAGAATACTTTATGATGACAAAGAAGCTGGATGCATGGCAAGCCTGATGGGCTGAATTCCTCTCCCAGTTCTATTTCTTTATTCAATACCGACCCAGATATGAAAACACCCTTGCAGATGCCCTCAGCCAGCCAACAACTGAGATACAGAAGGATGAGTACCGCCAACAGGTACGGTAGGCTGCCATCTACTAGCTCCTACCCGCAAACCGTCCCCAACAACCAAAACTCCATAACCAAAAACATACCCCACAAAAAACCCCCTAAAGCGCATAAGCCCCACAATACCACCCCCCAAACAACCTCGCCTCCTCCCCCTCCACCCCCCTCAACCACTCCCCAACCTGCCTGCCCCCCTCCCCCGCCAAAACCCTCTCCCTCATCCTCACATCCTCATCCTCGTCTTCCTCTTCAACATCCCCCATCTCATCCTCCTCGCTAGGCCAGAAACTAGCACACTTGACGCTTCCGTAGCCGAGGCGGTTGCCGAGGTTTATGAAGCGGTAGACGCGGATGGAGGCGTTCATGTGGGTGTGGGTTTCTTCGTGGGAGGTTGCGGTCCACGAGGGAGGGGTTGGGGTTGAGGTTCTGAGGGGGATCCAGGATATTGCGAACCAGTATTGTGTTAGACCTCGTCCGGGGCCGTTGTTGCTGGTATTGTTGGTGCGGGTGTTTCTGCTGCTTTTGATGATTTTTCGGGTTCGATCCCGGCCTGCGGTTCTGCGCGCAGGTACGGTAGTGTTTCGCGGATCATCCATGTAACAGCGCAATCTGTCCCTCCATTCAGGGCGATACCGCAGAATGCGCTCTAGCGTTGGAAGGACAGTATCGAATGTCGTCAGGCAGACCGTAAACTGGCGGAGCCTCAGGTCACACAGTTGCGTATGATAGTCCGCTTTCTGCTTCTCGAAATGAAAGAACCAATCCTCAACATCCTCCTCGTTAATCCTCAATGGCCAGATAGTAATATACCGTATCTCGGCAAGTGCATCATCTGGGACCTCAGTATTGAGTTTATTAAACATCGCTCGTTCCGTGACGAAGGCGAATTCGACGCGCGGGATCCAGAGGTTTCTGGCGTCGGCGTGGGTTTGGTGGTTTACCGTCAGGAGGGCGAGAGGGTTGGGGGTTAAGGACGTGGATGCGGCGCGGGGTCTGTTGGGGGCGCTGCCGGAGAAGATGGTGGTAGAGTTGAAGAAGTATTTGTAGATCTTTTTGCGCAGGTGTCTGGGGAGGGTGAGGAGGAGGGGGTTGCCCTTTTTCTTCTTTTGAGGGTTGGGGGGCATTGTGAGACTGCATGTAGGTGGAAAATGAGAAAAGGAAAAGAAGGAAATAAAGAAGGGATATTTATAAGAAAATCTGTGAATAGAGTCACTCCATTGTCTAATAATTGTATTGTCCAGTAAATGATGCAAAAGAATACAAACAAGAAGCGAAGTGAAACAAACTGCAAAATCATAACTCATCCCGCGCTGGCTCTGGAGGAACAGGGCGACCACTGTCCTTGGCCAGATCAACGCCCTTCTTCTGCCTCCATTTCTCCCAAAGCGAATGGAAATCCTTCTCCATCGCGCTGTCCATTTGGTCTGGGAGGACAATGATATACTCGATGTACAGGTTCCCTGGCTCCTCATCGACATCGTCGCTGTCGTGTAGATGGCCTTCGGAGTAATAAGGCATGCCTTCGCCCTTGACAGTCTCGACGGATAGAGGCTGGATGACCTCACCCCGACTCCGGCCCAGACGAACCACATGTCCATCCAGATGGGTGATATTGCGCGACCAGTCACCCATCCACGCCTCTCGCAGCGACAGCGCCTCCTTCCAGAAAAGATCCTTGCCCTTTCTCCGGAAGAACGTCCCATCCGTGCGCTGCTCATCCGTCGAGCCCAATTCAGCCTCCTTCTCCTCCAAAATAAGTATAAGATCTCCAGCAACCCAATCGGGACTCTCCTCCGCCTCGTTCTCAAACACAATGCGTGTTCCCTTATCCATACCCGGCTCGACAGTCGCAAATGTCTCCACATCGTTCTGCACAACCCGGTGTCCTTCACACACTTGGCACGGCTTCTTAATCGACTTCCCTTGCCCCCTGCACTTATCGCATGGCATCTGGATCTGCTGGAACATTCCCGGCGCAAGCATGTGTTTCTGAATCACCATCCCCCGTCCATGACACTTGTCGCAGGTAATCACCTCACGGTCCGCAGAGCCCGTCCCCTCGCACGCCTCGCAGATCTGCTGCTTCTCAATCGAAAACCTCAAGTCCCGACCTGTGTAGAAGTCGCGCAGAGGAATTCCGACGCGGAGCTCCATATCCGGTCCGCGTCGGTGGCCTGCTGCATGCCCGAAGTGTCCGCCGCCGCCGAAGAATCGAGAGAAGAGGTCGAAGGGGTCGTGTGCGGGTCGTCCGGCTGTACCGCCTTGTCTGTGCTCTTCTACGCCTTCATGGCCGTACTGGTCGTAGATCTTCCGGGTGGTTGAGGTTGAGAGGACGTCGTAGGCTTCTGCGATTTCGACGAATTTCTTCTGCGCGGTTTCGTCTCCTCTAAACCACACCTCCTCATTAGCATAAACCAACAACAGCAACAAAAGAAAGACTTACGGATTCTTATCCGGATGAAACTTCTTGCTCAGCGTCCGGTACGCCCTCTTAACATCCCTCTCTGACGCCGACTTATCCAACCCCAGGATCTTATAGTAATCCTCCGCAGCCAACACCAACGGCAACAGCACAAAAACAACCAAGAAAACAAACTGGATGAGACGCATTGTGGCGCACAATTACCGCGAGCTGCCTTTGCAGCTCATGCGCTTGCTGGTGTCTTTCTTGGATTCGAACGCACGCGTTTTGGTGTCGAGGTATCGGGATCGTCTGTATTGTATAGTTCGTTGTCCGTTGTCCGGTTTCCGGTCGTAGGCGTGCCTTATCACTGCGGGTGATAAGGTTGGTTTGTTTTGGGATCAGGACATTCGGCGTGAGGCACAATATATCTGGGTGTGTATTTGAGGTCGTTGATCCAGGATTGGAGGAATTGGAGTCGGTCGGAGCTATAAGATAACAGGCATAGCTTTGGCTGAGGTGGCCCTAACTACGCGGAGAATGGTTCATCCGGTCACGTGCATTTTGTACAAAATCGACAAAGATAAAAAATAAAAAAAAGAAAGGACAAGTAAAAACATTAAATTGATAGAAAATGTATTGAATATTCATAAATACTAAGTCCGTTGCGTCATAAACATAACTAAAGAATTACAGTAGACTGCCTCTCGCGTCAAAAATATCATTCCGCCAGGTTTTTCCCAATCCATGAGTCTCGTCTCCCTCTTCAATAAGCTCCTGTGCGTGTCTGTTTTCATCCTGCCATTTCTTGATAATGCTACCAGGTGCGTAGACATCTCGGAAAATTCCATTTCCTGCTACATCCACTCCAATACCCGCTTCCACGTCGCCATCCGACGGGGGCTTCATTCGCGCAAGCACGGCCCGAACAAAGCTTGCCAGATCTTTCGGGTTAGCAATACGGGCAGCTCGCAAGCGTTCACGCGCAAAGATAAGCTCCCGGTTCAGGACATTTGCGGCGGTAACAATCTGCTCTGCGATCTTCTTCTCCAGAACCCGGCGCACCAAGTGTTTGAGGAACGGCTTGGTCAGCCACAAGAGGAACCTCCATTTGCTGCGGTGGATTTTGTAGTCTAGCTTGTGGATAACGACACGGACGCCGCGGAGAGTGAAAATGTGCTCCAGGCGGTCTCGTCCGACTTCCACGTCCAAGGAGATGTCGAGTCCGCGTCTGTCGAGGTAGAAGCTGGCGACGCCTTCGTCTTTGAGACGGAATAGGCCTGCGTGGGTGCGGAGCCAGTAGCCAAACTCTGAGGAGCTGATGCTCAGTCCTAGGACCGTCACGGTGAACGTGGTTTTGAGGTCCGTGGCTGTTCGTTTAGCGTGCTTCTTGACAATATCGATATCGTTGCGAGTTGTGACATGTGCGCGATATGGAAGGAAAGACGAGTAATTAACTGTCCGGCCAGGTTCCAAGATCAGATTCTCCACAAGGAGGTCCAATTCAGGCGCGGCCATCTCCAAGCGCAGAATGGGAATGTACTGGACATAACGGAGCAGAATCGGGAAGAAGACCTGGGCAATGTCCGTCGGCAGCTCGTTCTTCTTGTCGCTTAACCCTCCAACGGCATTTTTGTAGATTTTCGTAGTCGTTTCGCTCAATTTGGATACCATAGGGTCTTCAGATACAGACTGGATCGTCCGGTCGACTTGGATTAGGAACGCGACCATATCCTCACCCAGACTGGTATTCGAAGTGATATTCTTGGCCTTCTTCTTCAGTTCATCCGTCTTCTCGTTAATAGAGTCGAAGAAGTTAGGATCAGTGAGCATCTCCTGCAGCGTGTGTCCAAAGTCTTTCATCAAATTCTCAAACTCTGGATCTTTGTTGGCATGCTTTACAACCGCATGGAACTTTTGCTCCAGAAGTTTCCATTCTTCCGGATGGCCAATGGACCGTACCAGGGCCCAGAATTGCTGCATTCCCTGTTTCAGGTCTGCATTGGCACCAACATCTTCCTCTGTTGCTGTTGAGGCCTCCTCCGCTGCGGTAGCATAGGACTTGGCATACCGTTGCACCAATTGAGTCAATTGAGAAATCGAATCCGAATAGTCTGACTGCTGACGAAGATCTGAAACGGCTTGTTTCAACCGGTAAATTAGAGTCTCTTTCGTCTGTGGCGTCAAGTGCTCCTTCGACTTGTCAACCGCCTGTTTGCCAGTACGACCCACTCCCTCGCCAGCGATATCTACCACTTCGGATGCTTCTTGACGAAGGTCCTCCGAAGAGGGTTTGCGACCCTCGTCCTTACCCGCGCCCTTGACAGCATTGGCCCTCGCCTCTGATGGCTTCAAATCCTCTCCAACCTGGCGCGACGTTTCAGAAACGGACAGTGCTGTATCGGAGAAAATCTGACGACCGACGGTGGTGACATCTTGGAGGAAGAGACGGAAGTCGGCATTCACTAGAAAGAGGCTTCCTATCGTGCGGAGACTCTCGTATGCTAAAGCGGTCAGCGGTCTAGTAACAAAAGGAAATCAAGCGTAAGAGACTGTACCGGCACTAGGATTAGCTCGAGATTTGGCACTGGACGCCCTCTCAGCGATGCGATCAACATCAATTGACGCCCTAGACCGCGACAGATGCCACAGAAATTCCTGCAATTGATCATCGCTGTTCTTCTCACGTAAGAAGTCGATCAACACTTGAATCCAAAGACGGGAATCCCGGATTAGTTGACGACAGACGGGTCCGATATCCTCGTGTCTCGAATTGAGCAGGTCAGACGCTAGCAATCGACGAAGATTCACGATGGTTTGATCGTTGGATGGCATGTACCCTTGAGAAAGGGCACGGATCATCTGATAGGTACGCAGCTTATTCTGCAGTCTGCGATGTTGCGAGGCATTTTCGTCGTAGCGAGGGAGGAGGGGTTCTGTTTCTCCTTGCGGCATGGTTTAATTCCTTCCAGTGTGGAAGCTGATGGCTCAGAGAGAGAAGAAAAAGGGAGCAGTATCCGGTCGCATCACATATGACAGAGGTGAGGTACAGAGTAGACATGGTGATGAGGGGAGTTGTCATCCCAACCTGTTTTTGACGCTGTACGGCATGATGACGACAACCAATCACATGATGCAGTATGGTGCAGGAATGCAAGAAGCGAATATCAAATGTAGGGAATTGGATTCTTATATGGCCACATATTATTATCATTATTACTGCACCACTAATGGATTTATGTAAAAACGTAAAATTCTGGGCAGATCCACCGACAAGCTTTCGATCGATGCACGTGAATCCGGGGAGAGCTGTCATGCAACCCTAGCCATGAGTATTATTATGGAGCATCTACCCAGGGGTACTCGGCATTCCGATGATCTTTCTCTTACATACAGCCTTTCTTTGCACTTACTGTCGTCCTCTCCGGCGACGGAGCCACCCACTCAATTTTGAATAATCCTATCAAGGCCCGTGATTAATGCTGCTCGCGGTTTATCCGGAATTCTCCGACAAAAGCGTTTCGATGGAGCTGGGGGCGGTCCGCTTTCCGGATGAGGAATAGAACCGCCGTCCTGGATTCAACACAGTATATACAGTACTCCATATATAGTACTATTAGATGATAGGTCAGGCTGTACGTAATTAGCAGTTGCATTCTACTCCGTGCATTAAGTACACGTAAACAGTACAGTGAATACTCGGTAGATTCGAGACTGATTTCGATATCTGACATATTTTTCTGGTTTTGGTCGGATTGATCGGCCGAATTGGAGAGGGCCCCATGACTGTTGGAGAAAAAAAATCACTCAATCCTACAGATATGTACGGAATCTCCAGATGCAGTATCACCATGCCCTTGCAGCTGAGCTCTTTAATCGCGCAAGTCAATCAAGAATGTGTTTTCGTATTCCTCTGTATACGCTGCAGATATTGTCCCGTAGAACACTCAACAAATATACAGAGTACTTGGACAGAGACGGTTCGGGCATCGTCCGGGTCGGGTTCTGCGGGGAATTTTATACACGGTAAACCTGCCGGGTCCAGAAGAATTCTAGTTTGATATAGGGCAAAACCCGGAAAGGAAATTGCTCGTCTCTCGCGCGAATGATTGCTAATCGTCCCTGCAGGGGGATTTTTTTTTTTTTTTTTTTTTTTTTTTTTTTTGGTTCGATTCTCCACAGGCCAGACTTCGGGATGCCAGTCGGATCGGGCTTATGAGTCGGCATCTGTACTTGTGTATAGTACCATCCATAGCTGTTCAGAAGTACTGTACTGTAGTCGCATCTGATTAAACCTGATTATATCATTCCCCCTGTGCTCTGTACTTGTAACATGGCGTTATTCAAGGGATTCCAGTCTCATCCGGTGTCTGCAATTGTAGTAGTAATAATACTCTGTAGAATCTTCGTTGGTGTACTCTGTATCTCCGCTCGGAATCGCCTCCACCGCTCCACTACCATAGTTCCTATTACTCTTGCTTTCTCTTTTCTCTTATATCTGACACTTTTTGCACTGCCATGACTGGTCAGATGCCATTCGAACTTCTCCTGTCGCGCCAAAATGCGGTGGATAATGCGCTCCGATGAGCCATGTTTCTGCCCCGACTCTTCCCGATCTGACTCAACTGGCCATGGCTGAATCCTTTTTTTGTCTCCTCCTGTGCCGTCGCAACGGTTGTTTTGGTGCACCCTCACGTCCCTTTTATTTTTTTTTTTTTTTTTTTTTTTTTTTTTTTAATTTTTTTTATTTTTAATTTTTTTTTTATCACCCTGTTCAAATACTATAACCGAGGCACCTCAAATTGAATAGCACGACATCGACTCAGTACATCGTTTCATATTTAACACGGGGCCTGGGGCCGCCAACGAAACACAATTTTTATCAGATATTGGAAGCGAATTTTGAGATCCTGCCTTTTTTTTTTTTTTTTTTTTTTTT